CTCGGGGATGCTGCCGCGCCCCGGGGATGTTGCGGGATACTGTGGGATGCTCCGGGATGCTGCTGCCCCCAGGGGATGCTCTGGGATGCTGCCCTGCCTGGGGGATGCTCCGGGATGCTCTTGGATGCTCTGAGATGCTGCTGCCCCCAGGGGATGCTCCGAGATGCTCTGGGATGCTCCGGGATGCTGCCCTGCCTGGGGGATCCTCCGGGATGCTCTGAGATGCTCTGGGATGCTGCTTCCCCCAGGGGATGCTCTGGGATGCTCCGGGATGCTGCCATGCCCAGGACTTGCTGCCGTCACTGCCCCTGGCAGGGACAGACCCCAAGGTCGGGGCCACTGCTTGTGCATGACCTTGGTGTTCTGCTTGGTCGTTGCTTGCCCTTTCCTAGGGCCCAATTCCCTTCCTAACTTGGGCTGTCAGGGAAGGGAGGTTGAGCCTCTCCTCGGGTGTTCTCTGCGGCCCGAGCAGGGGAGTCGCCGACGGGAGTTTCCAGCATTAATCTTTTCAGTGTCACAGCAACAGCCAGAAAGCATATTATGAAACTCCCTCTCTCCCCTGCATTTATGTGCACAAGCCTTTGTGTGAATATTTCTCTTAATTCCCAAAGTTTGTGTTTTCCACAATGCAACAGCAGAGAATAATTTACCATTTTACTGATGCATAGGCCCACTTTAAACTGAAGAAAGCATGATAAACAGGATAGAGTGGCATAAAAGGCAGCAATAGAAAAATGTTGGAGTGGAGGCAGGAGTAGAGAAGGAAAATGAAAACCCACAAAAGATCAATTTCTGAGCTAGGAATGGAAGCTCTGGCTTGCTGCACCATGCCCAGAAAAGCTGCACAGCCAGAAATAGATGTTCTCCCGCCTAATGAAAGGGCCACAAATGGAAGCTCCAGGTGCACGCCTTCCTCTGGCCTGGGCGCTGCGGCTTCCAACGTGACCAACGTGGCTGTGTGATACCCGATCTGCAGCCTCTATTTCCCACGCCCTTCCCAGGGACTGAGGTGTGGGAACAGCCAGCAGAATCGGGCACGGCGGGTTTCTGGGATGTGCAGCCAGGCAGGAGGAAGTTCATCCCGGTATGAAAGAAGGGAAAGGCCGTCTGGATGCAGAGCTGTTATCCCTGGGTGCAGCTGGCTTCCTGCAAGGATCAGCGCAGAAGTGTGAGCAAGGCGCTGCATCTTTTTGCAGCCTCTGTGATGCCAGGACTCTTCCCGCTCCAAAATCTTTGGGGTTCCACCTGCTTGCTCTGCAATGGAGCACTGCTGCTCTCCCCCTTCCCTGGAAAGCCAAAGCAGCGCGTGTGAGCTGTGGCTGGTTTCTAGGTCATTCAGCAGAGACGCTGTGCTGGGCTGCCTGATCCCGGCTCTCCTTCCTGGAGCAACCAGGACAGCCCTTGGCCAGAGCCACCCAGGCCAGTGATCCGCAGGAAGAGGGCTGCAAGAGCCCCGACAGTCCCTTCTCAGGGTATCTGCCGCCCGCGTGCTTGCAGAGCTGGAGGAGGATGGTGTTTACATAACCCACAGTGTTTGTTTAAAAAGAGGCAAAACCGGGAAAAATAGTTACGAAGCAAGGCCGGGCGCCCATCCTGAGAGCGTCCTGGGCTGGGGACCAGCGTGCTGCCACGTCGACCTCCCCTCCTGCGCCCACAGATCGGCCCTTGCAAGGACCCCGGCCCGGGGGGGCCGGGCGCTTGGGCAGGAGGGCGGCAGGCTGTACATTGGTAGGCTGTACGTCGGTAGGCTGTACATCGGTAGGCTGTACATCGGTAGGCTGTACATCAGAAGGCTGTACATTGGTAGGCTGTACGTCGGTAGGCTGTACGTCAGAAGGCTGTACATCAGAAGGCTGTACATTGGTAGGCTGTACATCGGTAGGCTGTACGTCAGAAGGCTGTATGTCAGAAGGCTGTACATCAGTAGGCTGTACATCGGTAGGCTGTACATCAGAAGGCTGTATGTCAGAAGGCTGTACATCAGTAGGCTGTACATCGGTAGGCTGTACATCAGAAGGCTGTACGTCAGAAGGCTGTACGTCAGAAGGCTGTACATAAGTAGGCTGTACATCAGTAGGCTGTACGTCAGTAGGCTGTACATCAGAAGGCTGTACATCAGAAGGCTGTACGTCAGAAGGCTGTACATCAGTAGGCTGTACATCAGAAGGCTGTATGCCGGTACACAGGCCATACATCGCTGCCTGTCCCCGAGCTGCCACATCTGTGCGGTGCTCAGCACAGCGAAGTCCCAGGCCGGGGCGGGAGGTGACAGCAGTGCGAGGGACAGCTCGTCCAGCTGCTGCGTGTGCAGGCTGCGGCTCACCGTGCGGATGGAAACTGCTGGCAGGTCTTTTTTTGAACCGGTCAGCGTCCTCTCTGCTCTGCAGAAACGTGTCTGCTGACTGTGCCAGGCAGCATTTGGCAGCCAGCGCCACCGGTGTGGCTGACAAAGTCAGGCTATCTCCTCAGCGTTTGATTTGCAGCCGGTGTTGCTGCCAAGCTGGGTTGGGTGCCAAGCTGGAAAATGCCACTCGAGGCATTTTCTTAATTGCTCATGGTAAACAGCAAGGGGAAGCCGGCTCTGCTCTTGCACTGCTCTGGTATCTTCCTGCCCCAGGCCCCGCAGCTTTGGGGCCGGTGCTGGTGCTGGCGTGGCTCAGGCCTGCTGATCCCGCTCCCGCCTGCCGCTCTCCCTCCTCGGCGCGGGGGTGGGCGCGGGGGGGTCCTCGCCGGCCCGCTCTGTGCGTGCGCAGCCTTCACAAGGGAAAGATGCTGCTGCTTTCCTCTGCTCACGCGCCCCAGCTCCCTCGCCCAACAAGCGGGGGGGGCTATAGGAGTCAGTCTATACGTTGCTCTTCCGCGCTGCAGCAGGGGCAGCTCGCTGCGGCCGCCGGCACCCACGCCTGCCGCTGCTCCTGCATCGCTCACGTTTCCGTTGGCTCTGGCAGAGCCCCGGCAGCCGTTCGGAAACGCGGCGATGGCACCGCTCTCGCTGGTCTTGTGGGTCGGCGGGGATCCGGGCAGCGGCTCTCGGGGCGGGCAGAGGCAGGAGGCTGCGGCGAGCGGTGCTGCAGAGCGGCTCACGCCGAGGATCTCCTTATGTAAAACTCGGCTGCAGAAATCAGCTCTGCCGCTTGAGGTGGTGGGAAGTAGGCTGCTCGTTTCTGCTCGCAGCAGATGTAGGCAACAGGATGTTGAGGTTCTGCTTTTGCTTCAGGCTCTTGGTTTTTGGCTAAGCTTTGCTAAGTGTCACTTAGTCCCCTCTTGCTTGGCGTCCTCTACACAGCAGCCCGGAGATGTGCAGGGCTCCTGGTCCCCTGGTCCCCGGTGACGTGGAGGGCAGCTCTGTGCTGTGGCCGGGGTGTTATCCCGGGCTCCGGAGACGTGAGCTCCTTCTGCCACTGACCTGCGGTGGGACCCGGCAGCACCTTTGCTTTGGCTGAACCAGGGGTGTCTGTGGGGAGGTCTGGAAGCGTTGTGTAAGGGGGTAAGAGATTTTCTTTGACAGAGTCCAGACAGTAAAAGCGTGCGGCAACGACACATATATTTAATAAGGACACCAACAGATGGAAGCTCGGAAGAGAGAATCCCTGTAGGGAGGTTATTTGAGATGCTCCGCAGCGAGGAATGAGCCCTTTGAAGTATCTGATAGAGGCTGGCGTTAGAGGTAGCCAGACCAGATGGATGGGTCTGCTCTGACCCAGAGGCCTCTCTGCCCGCGCGAAGGCATTCCTCGCGCTCGGAGCCGGCTGATGATTCACAGGAAAGCATCGGGCCGTGCTCTCAGCCACGTGAGCCCTTCGGGTGGTTGCGGAGGGCCAGCAGCACCCCTGCGCAAAGGGCCGGGCCGGTTTTGCAGCTGGACCGTCGCCTGCCCTTTCGCAGGTCATCGCTGGGACCTGCTGCCGGGCACGGGGTGAGCCAGCCCAGGGCTCCGGGGAGCCGCGAGCTCTGCCGCAGCAACTGTCCAGAGCTGGTAATGCCGCTGCCTGTAACCGATCTGCTGCCACAGCCCCGGACATTCCTCCCAGCGCTTCGGACGCTGCACGGCACCAGTAACATTACGCTCCTCTCTCTATCAAGCGTGTGGGAGGTAATGAATTTGGGAGTGGGAGCCCTCGTTAGGGGGAAAATTCCTGAGGGAGGCCAGCATGGCAGTCTTTATTTCTGCAGGGACTGTTGGCTGTTATTTTTAAACAACAATAGTATAATAAATAAATAAACTCGCTGCCACGGAAGGATATAGCATCAGCCAGGGCTGCTGAAGTCGGTATTTCCTCAGAAAATGGAAGGGGCAGGTGTTTCCCTGCCTCTCTGTGTCTGACTCCGGGGAGCGACCGGCTCTGCCTGGCTCTGGGCAGCCCCACCCCGCCCTGGGGCCACTTGCCCTGGGGGCTGCTTGCCCTGGGGGGCAGCTCCCAGAGAGCCGGGGGGGGGGGGGGGGGGTGGTTTGCTGGCGCGTCCAGAGTGGAAGGAATCTGCCGTCCCGCCGGCTGTGGTGCAGCACAGGTGCAGCCCCGAGAAATGTGGGATAAATCGGGGGGGATCTGGTTTCACAGCCCCCTGCCCTCTCGCGTGGGGGGGCGGCAGGGTACGGCATCCCGGGGGGGGGGGGTGTGACAGCGGGGTCGGGGCTGGCGCCTGGCCGGGCGCTGGGAGCGATGCGCATGAGCCTGCGCAGGGGATGCCCCGGCCCCGCGTTTGGGCAGAAATAGGTGGATTTAAGAATTTGCGTGGGAAGGGAGGAGAGGGAGGGAGGGGCGCGGCGGCAGCCTGTCATCACCCGGCCGGGCGGGGAGGGGGCTCTCGGGGGGCGCTGCCCCGCACCCCGCCCCGTATCACACCCCACACCCCCCCCCAGCCCCGGAGGGCGCGTCCGGCGGGGGTCGGGGGGGGCTGCGGCGGGCCGGTCCCTCCCGGCCGGGCGGTGCCGGGGGGCGGCGGGGGCGGGCGCTCTCCCTGCCCGCGAGTAGCGCGGCCCGGGGGAGGCCCTTGGAGCGGCGGTGGGGGCGGCGCGGCCGCGGCGAGCCCGGCGGGGAGCGGAGAGCGGAGCGGGGAGCGGAGCGGAGCGGAGCGGGGGGCCGATGGCGTTCAGCGCCTGGCAGATCCTCTCGCCGGTGCAGTGGGCCCGCTGGACCTGGTCGGCGGTGCGGGGCGGGGGCAGCCCCGAGGGGGAGGACGGCGGGGCCGGAGAGGACGACTCGCCGGCGGAGGGCACGGCCCTCGGCTTCAGGCAAGTGACCCCGAGCCCGCCGTCCCACGGGCGCGGGCACCCACGCGGGGCCGGCCATGTGGGGCTGCGAGCGCGTCCCGGCCGCGCCCGTGTCCCCCCCCCCCCCCGCCCCTCGCTGCCCGCTCGCTGCCTGGCACCAGCTCGGCTGGGGGGGGGGGCTGGGGGCCGCATCCTGCGCCGCGGGGAGAGGGGTCCCGGGGCTGGAGCTGCCCGGGGAGATGCTGGCGGGCACAAGGCAGGAGCATCCAGGCTCGCTTCCCGGAGCGGTGGGGGGAGATGCCGACCGTGCTGCCGTGCCCTTGGAGGTCCGTGGCGGATGCTCAGGCAGCTCGAGAAGGACCTGACAGAAGGAATCCGGGCTGGGGGTGCGTGGGGTGGGGGGGGTGCTCCTGGTGGTGTTTCACCTGCTCTCCCTTTTCCGTTCGCTAGCGTGTCCCGCTGGACGGGAGAGAGCGGCTGCCCGGGATGCCCACGGCCGGCCGGCCCGGCCGCCGGTCTGGCTGGACGCGTAGGCAGCGTGGAGGATTTCAGAGCTAGCCCTGAAAGTGGTAATTCCTCACTCTTTTCCCCCCCCTCGGCAGCTCGGACTCCGAAGGTAATTTTGAGACCCCTGAAGCAGAAACACCGACCCGCTCGCTACTAAAGGAGTTCAGCGAGCCGCCGCGGGGATCGCCGGAGCCTGAGGCCGGGACCCAAGGTAAGGAGCCAGCGTGCACCTTCTGCTTTTCGGCTCTCCGCTCCGGATGCGGAAAGGCAGGGTGGGGTCAAGAAGGAGAAGCTGCTTGTTTTGAATAATGCCTGCCACATTTTTTGTGGTTAATGGCCTGGATGGTTCAAATGCCAGTCCTCGGGGCTGTGGCTCTGCAAAGGGCTATTCTCTCACTTGAGTGCTGTTGCTGGCTTGTCCTTGTGTCTCACGCTGGCTGCCGCTCCTCTGAGCCAGCTCCCCATTAACCCTTGGCCTTTTGGGGACCAGCTCCCCGCTCTTGTCGTACCCTTCTCTCCAGGGGGAATGGCGGTTGGTGTCTGTGGCTGAGCTCGGTGTTTATGTCTGTTTTTGTGCTGCCGGGAGGAGGCTTTGAAGCTCCAGCACCTCTGCAAGGACCGCTGGAGGTTATCGGGGCAGGGCAGGGAGGAGACCTCCCCTTTGCTCCGCTCTCTCAGCAGAGCGGCGTGACTGGGCAATGTCAGGATGTCTGTGAGCCCCGGGGGTGTCTGTGGGAGGGCAGCTTCTCCGGGGTGCAGGGCAGCACATGGGGGGCCGGGAGGGTCCTGGATGGGCCATCCTGGGCATCCTCTGCCCTCTCTTGCCTGACTGCCTCTCGCTGCTGCAGGGCCCTTGGTATGCCACTTGCAATATTGTGCTTTTCTTGAACGCTCGCAGCAGCGGGCCGGTACCTTACTGCCCAGCTGGTTTCAGAGCGTGCCAGCTCGAACCAGACCCTGGGTCCTCGCCGTGCAGAGGCCCAGGTGCTGTGTGACCTTGGCAGTAACAGGATGCTCTGGCTCTATCTCCTGCGGTGTTGTTTCGCTGTCGGGATGGATCTGGGTGCCCATCCAGGTTTGGATGGCCGCACAGGTTGGTTTGCCGTGATGGAGAGAGCGCTTGGTTCATGCTTCCAATAATTGCAGCTCTAAGAATAATCCTTCCCTTTTAAGAAGGGATGATAGAAGCATCTTTCCTTTGGGGCATAATGTCTGGGAAGGGGGAGAGGGGAGGTAAAGGCTTTCCTAGCAGGGAGGAGGATCATTTCTGCCAAAGCTTCTGCTCAGGGCTGCCTCAGAGTCCAGGGAGTCCCCGTCCCCAAAGTGTGCCTGTGCCCCTGCATCCTGGGACGAGCGGTTCCTCGGGGCCAGCCCGGCCCAGCCGCGGGGGAGCCGGCTGCTCCCGGCGCCCGCACACAAAGGTCGCAGTGTTGCAGGGCCGAGGGGATGATCTCTGGCAAAAGCTGTTTTTCCGCGGTGGCTGGTGGGGAGCAGGATGTTGGCGACAGCGGGGCCAAACCTGCTGTGTGACTGCAGCCAGCTGCATCCCTGCCCGGGGCTCCGGCTGCATCCCTCCAGTGTCTCTGAAATGGTGGAGGGGAGGGATTCCCCGGGTGCAGTTCTGAGCTTGTGGTGTGCAGAAGGCATCCCGGGCTGTTAAATCACCGTCCCTTAGGCAATCTGTACGTTAAGCCCTCATCCTCACAGTGCTGTTTTGCAGCAGCGTGTGCCCTTCCATCTGGCTGCAGCTCGGGAGCAGCAGCAGTAAGAGCTGCCGTGATCGAGAGGCAACCCGGCGTAATGGCTGCTTGTCAGGGCTGAAACAGCCGAGCTGTCGTACGGCGAGAGCCGCTGCCCTGCAGCCGTTGGGGAATTGCTGCCGCCGCTGCTTGTGTGCACCTGGGGCAGCGGCAGGGACACGGGCAGGGGCAGCATCTCCCAGCCTCGGGGGGACCGGCAGGAACAGACACTCGTCTGTCTTACAGCTGCAGCCTCACCCTTACTTGGGAATAAATAGGGGTAGGAAACTTGTAAGACAGAAGCTGTGACTCTGGGGGCTGGCTGCTCTGAGCGCAGCTGAGAGGTGGCCCGCATGCATTAAACCCTGGTCTCGGGGACAAAAATTCAGCTGGTCCCATTGCCCCGGGGCTGTGGTTAGGCTTTATGTCCATTCAGGGTCACTCATGCAGTTTTCCTCTTGCTGTCTCGGACAGCGGAGGCTGTAATTCTGTCCCATTCTTGCTAAAGTATCTTCAGTATCTGCGAGAAGAAGATATTCTGCGCAAGGAACTGTGCAGAAGCGACCAATATGGATCCATCAGTGACAGGAGCAGGCTCATCAGCTTTTACTTCTGTTACCCTGATGCAGGGCACGTGTTTTCCGGTGCGTTAGCGGCAGCATCATTTGCCGGTATGCTAATTCTTAACAGAATAGATTTAAAAATAGATCAACGTCTGTTAAACAAAAGCGGAAAGCCAAAAGAGGAAAAGAAGTCGTTAGCTACGTAAGCCTGAGCCGAGTGCACCGGCCAGATATCCTGTGCTCAGCCTGTGTGTGCGAGTGAGCCGGGAAAGGAGAAAAGCGTGACTCACGCTGTGCACAAAGCATGAGCCGCCTCAAAGGCTGCGGATAGTGGAGGGGTTGTTCTCGCCGGCGTTTGGCATTCAGGGCCGTGCAGGGGATCATTGCTGCTTCACTTGGTTGCTGTATGTGGGATGAAAAGGGCGCGGAGCCTTTGCATCACAGCGCTGCTGCTGCCAAGTTTTTCTGATTCATTTAAGGCAGCGAGGGATGGCATGTAGGAAAGCTGTTTAGTTAGTCGGTGTTTGTGTTTAATTTCAGCCTAAGGAAGACAAGCGTAACAATTATAATGCACATGCACAAAGTGCCTATTACTGCGGTGCCAGACTGTCCTGTCTGTACGTTTTTCTTCAGAGAATATAAAATCTCTATTCTCACTTTGTATTATCCCCTCCACGTACGCTGGCCGGACCAGGAGCAGGTTTGCAGTCCGTGCCCAGCCGGTACAACTGCTGCTTTCAGGGATCCAGGGTGCCTTTTATTGGGTCTGTGTTCGGGCTGGGTCCTGGAGTCACTGAGCATGCCTCGCTGCTGGCAGTGTCCGTTTTCACACTGGGACTAAAATGTCCCCACCTGCAGGGCACAGCACGGGGGGTGAAACGGGAGAGCTGGGGGTCACCTTTTCAGGATGCTGCTGAGAGGCACCTGCTGGGCTGCCTGCGAGAAGAGCCGGTCCGAGGCGGGTAGCTGCGTGCGGTGCGTTGGTGTGAGGCTGCCCAGCTGCCTTCTCCTGGGGTCCCGGGGGGTGTTCAGCACCGTTTCGGCCCAAAAGGAGGGTTAGGGCAGCGAGGTGGCAGGCCAGGCAGCTGAGCTGGGGGGCACTGGCTGTTTCTGCAGGCTGGTTTCCCTGGCAGGAGACGTGAGCAGGGGGAGTGCGTGCTGAGCCGGCGCGGCGGCTCTCCAACGTGACTGCACGGGGGTGGCTGGGAGCTGCGCTCGCTTCGGGATGTAAATGCATGCAGAGGCTGTGGAGGAACAGGGAGAGCTGCACGCAGCTCACCAGGGATGGGAAGGGCTCCCTGGGGAACAGGCAGTGCCGCTCCGGGGTTGTTGTGATGCTCGTACCCAGCAGAGCCAGGCAGCGGCGGGGGCCGGGGTGCAGACCTTGGCTCCTGCCAAGCGCCCCAGGGCCCTTCGGGTCACTGGTTTGTGCATCCTGTGCGATTGTTCCCGCAGGAATGTGCGCTCCGGTCCTTCGGCAGCTGGTGGGAGGCTGCGTTGGAGGCAGAGGAAATGCTGAGGGGGAGGAACTGCAGCCGCCTGGCTGGGACCGGGGGGGGGCTTGGGGCCAGGCTGTCCGCCCCAGTCCTTGCTGGGCAGGAGGACCTGTGTGGGGTGGGCTTGCCTGGGATGCCACCACCTTTGGGGCTGCTTTACAGGAGGGGCTTTTGTCCTGATCCCATCAGCGGGCAGGAGCGGCCGGGGCTCCTCTCCATCGCTCCCAGAGGCAGCTGAAGTGCTGGATGGTGCCCCGGGAGCACCCGTGGTCCCGGCAGGGCTCTGTGGCGAGGGCTCTGCCCCACAAACCATCGCACTCTTCATCCTGGCAGCGCTCTCTGGAGAATTCTTTGACCTTGTAGCTTTGCCTGCCTTTGTTCTCTGCATGGGCGATCTCGGTGCCAACGCGAGCCCGTCCAGGGGTAGCCTCAGCCCCCGAAGCTGCAGTCCCGCAGGGAAGTGAATAATTCAGCCCAGACAGGGGTGAAAATCAGGACTCTGGGGCGCTGCGTGAGCGGTCGGGGAGGGCAGGGATGGGGTTCTTGCGGTGGAGGTGGGCAGGCCCCTTGCTGCCCCTTCAGCTCTGTCCCCGCGGTTCCCTGGGGCTGTTGCTCAGAGGCAGCGCTGAGCCTGGCTGTTAACTCGCACCGGTGATTAATACCTGTCTCGTACCCAGGGCCTCTCCAGGGAAGGGGAAAAAACCCACCGAGCTTGCAGAAGGGACAGTCTGACTTCAGAAGATTGCCAAAATCGCAGGCAGGCTCCTGAGCTGCCCTTCACCCACACTTTCTGTCTCCCAGTACATTCCAGTTCCTCAGCTTTCGGACTGGCTGAGCGGGCGGGCTGTGCTGCGGGCAGGAGTGGAGCCTCTGAGCTGTCTCGGCTGCAGAAAACGGGTGAATCACGAAATTGGAAGACCTGGGCGGGTGGTGGTTCTCATTTTTGTGAGGAAATGGTCACATGCACCATCCATCCTTCTCTCCCCGCCCTGCAGACATCCACGGCAAGGAGAGGTGGTTTGCGTGCTGCCTGCTTGTTATTCAAGAAGTAATTACTCATTGCTTGGGTTAGAAACCAGGATGGGCTTATGTCTGTGAGAACAGCGGCAGCAAAACCTTCCGGTGGGAATGCAAAATGCATTTTAAAGGTGCCTTTTGCCCTGACTTTGAAGTCTGTTCTTCTATTCAGGGCTGTCTCAGTGAGGTTTAGAACATCTGAGCAGCACAGCAAGTGTAATAAAGTTTTCTTTGGGGTCTGTTAAGGAGGTTTTCCTGGTTCCTAATGATGGAAAGGCCTGGCAGGCGCTGCCTCGGAGTGTTTTCTGGCTGCACTCCAAGTACATATCCACTGGATTTGTGTTTACTGATGCGTTTTCTGGGGCAGCAAGGCAACGTCTGTTTGGAGGGAGCTTTTTTGCAGTCGGAGGGAGCTTTTCTGCAGTCTCAGGGAGCACACAGCCCCTCATGATTCATTTCCATGGTTTTTAGCATCTTGGAGATCAATTATGCAAACCACGAGCCATCAGCTGAGTCAGGGTTGTTGGCTCAGTGTCCTGGATTAGCCCAGGGACCAGATATTTGCCTGATTCACTTTTCTTCTGCCAGCCTGTGACTTGCTGGGTCACCGGCAGCCGTGAGCTGGTTGCAGATGCCCCGTGGTAGGAACAGCCTTGCCGGGGAGACGTGCTCGGGGCTGTGGGTGCGTGTGGGCCTGCGGGAGCTCGCCGTGGGCATCCCCCGGGCAAAACGAGGGCACGCTCACCACGAGTCCCCTCCGCGGCTGCCACCCGATGCCAGGGCAGGGCTGTGGCAGCGGAGAGGGGCAGGCAGCTCTCCCCGGCACAAGGTCTGCATCACCCGTGCTGCTGTTCCCAGCCTGGTCTTCAAACCAGTTCAGTCCTTGACTGAGCGCGGGTTTTGTTCTGCCCTTGCAGAACCTGGCTGGGCTGCGTCTCCCCGGAAAGGTGCCAGCAAGAGCGGTGGGTCCTGCGTGCCCCCTGATGGGTGCTGAGCATTCTGCCTTACCCCGGGAGTCTGTGCAGCCGTCCCTGAGATGTGGAAGAAGGGGTGCAGATGAGCTGGGGGGAGGTGGCGCTGGGTGTTTTTCTCTCGTGGCTTTGCACGCCTGTGCCGAGGTCCCGGCTCTGGGTGTCGGTGGGTGTAGCTTTCAGGCTGCCTCGGTAGGTAGGGAGCTTCCCCATCCCTTGACAGCAAAGAAAAGATTAAACAGTGAAAGGATTTAGGGGAAGGGATTGGAGTAATAGCGACTAAGTCATGGATCAGGATTTGTGATTAGGCAACTCTGTGGTGAGCCTGGCCTAAGCGCGCAGGCGGGATTTCTGCAGGCAGAGGTGCCGGCAGCGCCTGGGCAGGACAGAAACTGTGGGCAGGCGTGCGTGGTGCTGAGCCGAGCGGCTCCCGCTGCCGGCTGGCCCCTTCCTCCAGGCTCGCTGCTCTTGGGGGGCTCTCACTGCTCTGCTGTGCCCCCCTTCCCTCCCTCCCTCCCCATCGCCAAATGTATGGGGGGTTTTTTTGCTCTCCCGGTGCTTTGGCTCCTCATGTTGATCTGCTGCAGCACAGTTTGTGAGCGAGAGCCTCAACCGCATGTGGCTGCTGTATCTGGAGCTCCCAGTTTACAGGGGACACTCCCAGTTTACAGGGGACTCTCCCACGGGCTGTGTGTCCCTGGCGTGAGCGAGGACTGTCCGTACCGTGCATCAGCCCCGTGTCGGGCGCCTGTTGGGACCGCTGAGTCTCTGCGAGAGAGCAAGGGCTGGGGCGTCGGGGGAGAGCAGCAGTGCTGTCAAACCCACTCCCACACCTCGGGGCGCAGCGGCCGAGTCCTGGGGAGCAGTTTGTGCCGGGCAGGTTCCCTCTGCCTGGTGCCCATCCAGCTCTGCAGCCCTGGCACCGGGCAGCTGACCCCCAGATCCCCTCTGCAGCCTGTTACACGCTTACGCAGTAAGCACAGCATCCCGTTCCCATTCGCCCCGGGGCCTGCTTATTCACATTTCATGGTGTTTTCTCATGTCGTGCTTCCCTGAATTCCTCCTGGTAATTTTTAACTCTCCACCCAGGTGAGCAGTGACTCCCTGTCGCTGTGGTCCCACTCAGACACCAGCGTCTCTGCCCCGGGAGCTGCCGTCCCACAGTCAGTCCCGGCCGGTGTCTGGCCCTGGGGAACCTCACTGGGATTTGCAAAGCCCCTTCGGCGCTGCCGCTGCCCTGGCTGGGAGCAAGCGGTGGGGAGGGGAAAGGCGTAAATGGGGGTGTTGGTAGGTCTGCTGGCACGGCGGTCATCGCTCGCCCGCAGCGTGCAGTCGATGTGCTTTTTTCTCCACGGTGTCCATGGGCTTCAAATTTTACAGAAAGCGCTTGAAGCTGGGGTTATGCAGTCATTCTGGCAGGTGGGGAAGCTGAGCTTTGGGTCACTGGATCCCCCATAAAATCTGACCCTGGAGCAGCTGCGAGGAGCGGGGAGAGAAACCCCTCTGGAAGTGGGCGCACGGCAGGCAGGGCTTTAACCATGTTCTTTTATCTTTTCAGAGCCGAGTGGCCATGGTGACCTGCTGGTAGGGGAAGCCCGCCGGAACAGCTTGCCTGGGAAGCACCCCAAAGATGAGGCTCAACCGGAGATCAGAGCCCCTAAAGCCAGCTCAGATACTAATGGGGAAACCGGCCCCCAAGACTGGTCCCTGACGCAGCCGCCGGCTGAAGCCCAGCCTCCGGCTGCGCTGGGGAGCAGGGCTGACGCTGGCTGTGCCGCTGCAGAGCCGGCCCCGGTGCCCCATGCGGGCAGAGCCCCCCGGGAGCGGGTCATGTCGGGGGGGGACGTGGCGGACGCCGGCACGGGGCTGGTGGAGCTGAAGGCTGATGCCCTGGCCCAGGAGTGCTCGCCCAGCCAGGGCCAGCTCGGGAGAGGGAAAACACCTTCACTGGGGAGGAAGACGGAGGAAACGGCAGAGGAGACCCCAGTGCCCCAAGCATCCTACCAGTTCGACCCCGAGCAGTACAACGAGAGCGCAAACCCCTTTGTGGCAGGGGGCTGCCGGGCACAGAGCTCCCCCCCGGCAGCCCCACGCTGTCTCCCCCATCCCGGCGGCAGCCCTGGTGAGCTGGGGGGGGACCCGGCCCTGGAGCCCAAAGGGCAGGTCCCGAAACCCGAGGTCGATTTTACGGAGGGGGGTGAGAGCGTGGAGGTGAGGAGGGCTGCGCCCAGGAAGGGCAGCAGGATCCCCGCCAGCAAGCTGACACCGAAGAGACACCGAGAGCCCCCCAAGAAACCAGCTGAGGATGCGGAGAGGGGTCCCACAGAGCCGCCGCCTCCCCGGGGCTCCCCCCGGCTGGGTCCTGCGCTCTGGGACAGCCCGGATCTCAACCCCTTCGATGGCACTTCAGCCCTGCAAAACTCGCCGACTCTTCCCAAGGGATCTTACCAGTTTGACCCCGATAACTTTGACTCCGTGGATCCGTTTAAGCCCACCAAGACCCTCGCCAGCACCGCCGCCGACTCCTGCCCCACTGCCGATAACAGCCTCAACGAAATCCTCGAGTCTCAGACGCTGGAGGTGCAGGACGATCTCCTGAAAGGCAGAGACTCCCCGAAGAAGCCCAAGTCGCGCCTGATAACGTGAGTGCCGGTGCGCGCGGAGCGGGCAGCAGCCCCCTCTGTCCCACCCCGCCGGTGGTGGTGACGGTGCTCCTGCCCCCGTGCCTTCCCCGAAATACCGACGTGCACCTCGGGTTCTGCTGCCGCCCCGGTTTTATCCTCCCCTGGTCCCGGCAGAGGGGCAGCTCCCCTCTCCCAGCAGCACCCCAGTCGCTCAGAGCCGGATGGGAGGAGAGGGACGGGTGTCCCGGCGCGGTGCCGGTGTCCCGGGTCCCAGGCAGAGCAGGGAGGGCTGGATCGGGACCCGCTTTGCTGGATCACCGCTTTGGAAAACCCCCGGGGGCTCCAGCTCGTGGGGTCGAGGGGCAGGAGCTGTAGGGTCGTGCAGTCAGAGCAAACCTGTAACGGAGGCTTGAGCCCGCAGGGTTTGCAAGGCACACGCCGGGGGTTGTAGGGCTTCTGGAGCTTCTGGACACAGTTCTGGGTAATCAGATGCTGCTGGGACATTTTGTGAGCTGCCACTGAGTTTCTCTTTTTATAACAGTGGAAGAAAATAGAGGTTGAACAGGCAGATTGTTTGTTGCTTTTATCACATCTGCACAGGCGGTGGGGAGCTTGTTGTCCCTTGCTGAACTATTTAAGTAGATTTATAGTTCCTGAACTGTGCTGTTTAAAACCCCCACGTAGATGGTGACCTTTCACAGTGCCTCCTGGGAATGCAGACAGCATTACTGCCCTCAGGGAACAGGTTTAGTGGCTAAACCTTCCTGTTTTCTTGGTGTTTTACCTGTTGTATCACAGATGTCCTCCAGCCTGGGTCTGGGCAGCACCGAAGTCTCAGTCTGACGTTTAAGAGAAGCGGCTGCTGAGCCGGGCTTGGCTCTACCTGCCCTCCCTCCGCAGGGTCGCTGGGCGGGCAAGGGCAGCAGCAGGGATATTGCACGACATTGCTCAGCCAATGTGGGGTCCTTCCACTGTAATTTGTGATTGCGCTTAACACGGGTAATTGGAACCAGTCGAAAGCAAAAGCAAGAAATGAGATTAAAAGGGGAAATTTTAGGAGCACAGTTTGTGGCTGATTTGGCAGCAAAACCGAAATGAGCCGTCGCTCTGCTGTCGGATTCTTTGGTGGGAAAACTAGAGAGTGGGTTATTACAGAGAGAGCAGTTAGAACCTATCAGGCAAAAATAAGGGTATGTTGGATGTTTTTCTCTTAGAAATACTTTGCAAAGGGTTGACATGGATTTTTGTTAAGAGTCGGTGTTCCTGTGTGTGCCCGTGGGCGAGCAGGAGCTGGCGGTGAGGGGAAGCAGCGGGGAATTTTCAGGCTCCCTCTCCATCACCTCAGAGCAGCACGGGCTGCTCCAGGCACTCGCCTCCCCGGCAGCGGGATTTGTGGTTGAATCTCACCTTGCCACCACGAATAGCAAATGCAGGATCAGAGCATCCTTTATTTGTGTGCTCCTTCCAAAAAGACTGAGCTGGGCAACTCACTGTGCTTCTCCAGATGAGAGCTAATATCCAGGTCTTTTCACACGTTCTTCTTCTCTCCATCTGTCTGTCTCTCTCCCTGTCCATGCTTTGGTGCATCAGGACTACTGAACAAGTGAAATTTCTCTGTTTTCTGTTGTAAGTACTCTCTTCTGTATTTCTTTCTTCTTCTCCTTTGCTGTTTTTTGTCCTCTCTCTGGGTGTGTGCTGGCCCCACTCGTCTCCATGGCATGCAGGCTCCTTCTCGCCCCTTGCCCCGTGCTCCCCGCTGTGATTTGTGTCCCGCTCCCCTCGGGCCGGGTCCCCGGGGCAGCTTAGGGTGCCGAGGGCGGCGAGGAGAGCGCTCGCTCGCAGCTTGCCGGCTCCCAGCGCCTCTCCGTGATGTCCAGCTACTCAAAACCAGCGCGTCGGCTGACGGCACGGGCGCAGGTTTCTGGGCAGTCCGGGCCCCTTGCAAGGATGGGGAGGTTTTAGTCCTGAAGGTGAGGGTGTCTCTCACCCCCTCCCAGGCAAAACCACCCGGGAGGCGGCTGCCGTAGGGGGGTAGGGTGGAAAGCGTTGGCGGGGGGCTGTCTCCTCTGGCTGCAGGACGCGTCAGTCCCAGGGGAGCTTTGCCCTCCCAGCCGGCTCCAGACAGGGCTCTCCTTCAATCTTTGGTGGCTGCCGGAGCTGATTTGCTGGCGGCTTTCCCCTGAAGCATCCCTCCGGGGCGGGAGAGCTGGTCTGCAGGGTCCTGGACGGGTTAGGAAGCACGGCTCGAGTAAAGCAGCCTTCGCTCGCTGCCCTGCAACCTGCGCTGCTGCAGCGGGGCCGCGCTGCACCCCCGGCATGAGCAGCCCTGCGGTGAGACACCAGTGAAATATCGAGTGCCCCGGGCTGGGCCACCCCCCGGGCTGGCTGCTGCCTTGCCGTATGCACGGACAGAATTAGAGCTGGGTTCAAGCGCTGACACTCGTGTCTCGGCTGGGAACCGGCCTGCCTTTCTGCAGCACCATGTCCAGCAGTGCGTGTCTGGCTCTTCACCGGGGACCCGCAGCCCGGTGCTCCTGCCCGTGTGTCAGGCAGGGCCGCCCACGTTTGGGTTTATCCAGCTGTAAACGCCGGCACAGGCGGCCACGTGTGTCCCGGCCTCGAGGGCTGTGGGGCAGAGCCGGGGTCATCGCCCTTGGCTGTCTGCTCCCCGTTTCCCTGTCCCCTTGAATTACAGAGCTGTTACCTTGGTGTTGCGGGGGGAGATCAAAACAGCCATCGGATGGTGTGATGGCACCGGCCCGCGGAGGCGGTGCGGAGCAGGGGTGGGTAAGGCCACAGCGAGTTGCGGTTCAGCTGCTCGTATTAGGGCACAGGGGAAAAAAACAGCCAAGAGCGATTTTTTCAGTCTGACCCAGGTGTGCACGTTCGCGTGCAGATAAAATTTCCGCGTGCTGTGCCACCTTGCTCGCCGTGCTCTGCTGGCACACGTGTGCGATGGGGCGGAGAGGCTGGAGCGGGAGGTGGGTTTGGGCGGCTCTTTACACGCAGACACAGCTTGCTGCAATGCCTCTGCCCACATCCCCGCGGTGGGGAGCGCTGAGGCTGGAGACAGAGCCCCTCCCCAGGCACCCGCGGCGGGCTGCCGCGCGAGCTGCCTCCAGCTTAGTGAATATTTCACTCCTGGGGGGTTTGGACGCGGCGGTGAGCCATGGCGGGTGGCTGAGCGTGGAGCAAGATGTGGAAGGAGAGCTCGTGCTCACGCACGTCGCCTCGTCGCTGACTCCCCCAGCCCCCGTGGGTGTCGGGGGCGCGGACCCCGTGCCACGCGTGGCCGTTCCCGCGGGGACTGTCCCTCCGCTGCCGCCAGCCGATTTGAGATGGGGATGCCCGCCCGGCGCGTCGGTATGCGGCCGTGCCTGCGGTCCGGCGCAGGTGGCCTCGGGGTTGGCACATTTTGAGGAACGCGGGACAAAGTTCCAGGGAACTTCCTCGCTGGAGGGGATCCAGCCACGGGACCACCTGCAAGATCAACCTGAGCTAAACCTCCTCCCCTCCACAAGGCCCTTCCCCCCGGCAGAGGAGCGTTCAGGGCACAGCGGCTCGCCCTGGTGCTCTCCCGCAAGCAAAGCAGAGCTCTCTAACCAGCAGCCCTCTGCCCCGGCCGTGCGGGTCTGACCCACGCGGGAGACACACGGATGCTGTGGAGATGTCCCAGGCAAACCTCCAGCTGCGGGGACAGGGCATGAGACGGCCTGGAAACGGTTCCTCCCTGCCAAAATTCAACATGTGCTCGGGGTGCCGTCACGCTGGACGCGCAGGGTGAGAAGTGCAGCAAGGGAAATCTTTCTTTGCCGGCTACATGGTGATTACTTCTCTCGCCGCCAGCATCTCGGGGTCCTTTCTCTGATCCTCACCTTCAAGTGGAATAAACGCCTCAAAGACAAACCCAATTGCGCTGTAGTCCTGTGTTTTGTTTGCTCGTTCCTTCTGTTCGCTCCACAGCGTGCTCTGCCTCGATATTTCACTGGTGAGTGGGGTTGCTGGCTCGCGGCGGGGTGCAATGCTAGCGCTGGGGCTGCCTCCTCTCGCTTGGGCTGCCTCGCACGCGCGCCCGCCTCCTCCCCACGCAGCCCACGCGAGCCCACGCCTCAGCCGGCTGCTTCTCTCTCCTCTGCAGGAGCGGCTGCAAGGTGAAGCAGTACGAGACGCAGTCCCTGGTGCTGGACGTTTGTGCCCAGGTACGGGGGATCCGGGCACGGGGCGGCTCGGACGGCGGCGTGGGGGGAGCCGGGAACCGAGGGGCTGGTTCCCCGACAGCAGCAGCTCCCAGCGCCGGGGGGAACATCTTCCCCGTGGGCATTTTCTGGGGGAAGGAGGGAAGAGGGCTGTGTGTTCTGCTCCCCCAGTGAGAGCCTGGCCCTGAGGCTTTGCTGGCCAGTAAAGGCTCTCTGTTCCCCTTGGGGTTCGTTAGGGACCGCGCGTGTGCAGGATCTTAGCCCTGTCCCCAGCGTGGGCCAGAGCGAAGCACCGAGCTCTGCGGTCGGGTTAATGGATTTTGCCTGTTAATCACTTCTGTCCCTGGCACCGTGGGTTTCCCTCTGCCAAAACCTGCCGCGGAGCTGGTGGGGAGCAGCTTGGCGGTGGATGCTAAGCCTCCCATGCTATCCACGGGCTGTCGGGCAGCCTGGCTGCCCGAGCCCCACAGATGAGCTCAGTCCTGCCTAACCGCGTGCCTTGATCCTGCAGGATGAAGGAGCGTTGATCTCCGAAATCCCAGACATTGCAAATCGGGATGGGCATGCCACTGATGAGGAGAAGCTGGCCTCCACCACCTCCGTGCAGAAACCGGCTGGGCTGGAGAAGAAGGGCGAGCCAGAAGATGACCTGGAGTACTTCGAGTGCTCGAACGTGCCCGTGCCGGCAGCGCAGCACGGCGTGGGGGCAGGTGAGCAGTGGGGCCCCGGGGATGGGCCGTGGGTGCTCCCGGGCGCGCTACAGCCTCTGACCGTGAATTGGTGCTGCTGAGGCGGCGCAGCCTCGCCACGGTTTGTTTGCACTGACAGGGCTAAAGGCTGCCGCAAGTTATCATGAAATCTCCAGTTGCTTATTGGGGAAGAGTCGCGGTACGGGCTGTGGCTGTTTAGTTTTTCAGTGCAGAGCCCCCTCCCCACGGCCCCCGGGTGCTGCTCGGGCTGGCGAGGCTCCCAGCCCACCCCGGGGCAGGGCTGCCAGGGCTCAGCGTCCCGGCACGAGGGCTCTGGTCGATGGAGATCTCCGTGTCGCTGCGGAAGACCCCCCGCTAATGCTCCTGGTGGCATTTTGCTGTCAGTCTCCTATATAATTAGCCTCTCTGACCAACCCATTAAAAAATAATTAAAAGCCAGGCAACATGGCATTTAATCAATAGCAAAGTTATAGGTGCGAGCCAGAGCAATCACCGCGCGGAAGGTTTGCAGCTCTCCCCGGGGCGGGCACCCATTAATCATTTCTCCTGAACGCTGTGCAGAGCTGCAGGCTCTCAGGAGAGGAAAGCAGCCCTTTGTCTCTAAAGGGAGGAAAAATTTGATAGTCAGCAGAGGGGCTGTGAGGTTTTATTTATTGCTGCTCGTCTCAGAGGGCCAGGCAGGGGTGCACAGGCTCGGTGCTGGCTGCAGGGACGGTGCTGTGAGCCGTGGCAAGTGGCCACCGACCAGAGCGCAGGGATAAATGGGGGGAAATAGGAGGAAATCTGCAGTCACCGGCGTTATGTTGCTTCCTTTCTTTCCTAGCTGGGCTCTCGCAATGCACTTTTCTCTGCTCAGTGAACACATGAATAGCCAGTCATGCCTACAGTTGTTGGAGTGAGGTTTATAAATCCTCTGCTATGTGCAATGGCAGCGTGTCCCACGCGCTGCAGACGGGAGGAGACAGCTTTTATCTTCTCTCCGCTGCTGTTGGGAATAGCAGGGGCCTTGTGGCAGCTCCTGTGGACACTGGGCCCAGCTGGCGTGGGCTGAGGCTTGTGCTATTCGGAGTGGCCCGAGCAGCTGGGATGCATCATGCCCGTGCCGGCCAGCAAAGTGCAAAATGACCCCGTGAATCTTCAGTCCTCCTCCTTCTCGAGTTGCTGGTGTGGGTGGCAGCTGTGGGGATACTGGCACGGGCTGAGCTGCCACCAGAGGGGAGTGTTGGTTTCCAGTCCGGGGAGTGCAGGAGGAGAGGCTGGGAGGGGGCAGGATGTGTCCTCCCTGCACGGGTGGGAGCCGTGGGGCAGGGGGGCAGGACGTGCCCTCCCTGCGAGGGCAAGAGCTGGGGCCAAAGAAGCCTTTTGGGAGGGGAAGCTCAGGGGATGCAGGGGGGGTGCCCCTCTGCATCCCAGCAATCTGTGTGTGCCGCCAGGGTCTTGTTTCCAGGTAGCTAAAAGGTTCTATGTCCTTGTCTCTAGGCTTTGAAAAGGAGATCTCCAAGCAGATGGAAAAGGATGGGCCTGGCCTCTTCCCCGTGAGTGCCTCTTGCTTCCTCCTCCCTCGCCTGCAGGGAGGCTCAGGGCAGCTGTGCTGGTGTGGCACTGGAGTGGCACTGGAGTGGCACTGGTGTGGCTGTGCTGGTGTGGCACTGGTGTGGCACTGGAGTGGCTGTGCTGGCACTGGTGTGGCTCTGGTGTGGCTGTGCTGATGTGGCACTGGTGTGGCTGTGCTGGCACTGGAGTGGCTGTGCTGATGTGGCACTGGTGTGGCTGTGCTGGCACTGGAGTGGCACTGGTGTGGCTGTGCTGGCACTGGTGTGGCTGTGCTGATGTGGCACTGGTGTGGCTGTGCTGGCACTGGAGTGGCACTGGAGTGGCTGTGCTGGCACTGGTGTGGCTGTGCTGATGTGGCACTGGTGTGGCTGTGCTGGCACTGGTGTGGCACTGGAGTGGCTGTGCTGATGTGGCACTGGAGTGGCTGTGCTGGCACTGGTGTGGCACTGGAGTGGCTGTGCTGATGTGGCACTGGAGTGGCTGTGCTGGCACTGGAGTGGCTGTGCTGATGTGGCACTGGTGTGGCTGTGCTGGCACTGGTGTGGCACTGGAGTGGCTGTGCTGATGTGGCACTGGAGTGGCTGTGCTGGCACTGGAGTGGCTGTGCTGGCACTGGTGTGGCACTGGAGTGGCTGTGCTGATGTGGCACTGGAGTGGCTGTGCTGGCACTGGTGTGCAGCTTGGCAGGGCAGGGGGGCTGCAGGGAAGCTGCAGCAAGTGTTGCTACTGATCCCAGAAGTGCTACCACAACCTTTCTGAAATTAGTTTATTTGGGAGCTAAAATTCTTGAAAAGCCCACACGGGGACTTGATAGAAATAGCGGTGATTTCCCGGCAGGGCAGGAGGAGCGTGGCAGGGGACGGCTCTGTCCTGGGTGGGAGGGAGAGGTGCTGGGGATGGAGCTGGGCTGGTTAGGAGCCGCAGCTGTGGCCGTGGGAGGGCAACAAGAGCAAACGCTGCGTTTGGAAGGGGCTGAATGACAGTGAAAGGCCAGAGGGGATCACGGGGAGGGGACGAGCCGCAGGACAGGGGCTGTGTCCCACGTGGAGGAGGCCAGGGCTGGCTCTGACGGCCGGCTGGTGCTTGGGTGTTCTACGAGGGATCCTCAGACGCTGCTTTCAGGAAGGCAGCTGACAGCAGAGATGAGGGGATTAGTAAAAAAAGCCCTGGCTCAGCAGCCACTGGTGACCCTGGCACCCCGGCAGTGGCACATCTGCCCTGGGGCACCCCCGATGTGCCCGAGTGCCCCAAGACCCCTCCACTGCAGGGGGGCCCTGTGCCAGTTTAGCCGCCCCTGGCCAAAGCTGCTCGAGGTGGCAAGCAGATGACAGTGGGATTAGCAACATCAGCAAAATTAGCTTCTCTGAGACAGATTTAACTATGCTAAGCCCCACAAGGACGTTGGGCAAAGTGAACCTTTTGTTTGGTGCTGGGTGGAGGGTGGGCAGGCTCTGCTCCTGCAGACGAGCCAGGGGCATCCCAAAACCCCAGGGTGGGAGGATTTGCCAGGGGACGGGCGGTGGGCAGAGGTGCTTGCAGGTGCTCAGGTGCGCGCCTGCTTTTGGGAGCTGCTGCCGAAACCACACGGGGCTGAACCTCCCCAGGGTCAGGCCGCCAGGACCCAAACCTGCCCCGGGGGTGGCTCTGGGGGTGGCTGAGCCACAGGCCACCGCTCGCCCAGGGCTGAGAGCCGTGAAGGGCTTGGTCGTGCTTGAACCTGAGCAGCAGCCAAAGCGCAGGGGAGGAGGGGAAGGAGAGAAGTGCTTTAGAGCTTTCGTTTCCAAAACACGGCGAAAGCAGACTGCCTCCTCCAAAGCACTTCTCTATTTATGGCCTGGCAGCTGGTTCCCAAGGAGATGGCTGCTCAGGGCTGTCACTCGGCTGGGCTGATGAAAGGAGGAACAGGCAGTGGTGCGTGCTTCAGTTTGAAGGAAATTTTTTTGGAGGCCTTTTGGGCTTCCCCAAGGGGAGGGATGGGGCCGGCATGCAGGCAGGACTTGGTGCCCGGGTCAAGGCTGAGCTCTCCCCCCAGTTTGGTCCCTGCGGCTGCAGCACTGGTGCAAAAGAGCTGGGCTCTGTGGGGGGAAAGCAGTGAGCGGTGGGGGTACAGCCACCACGGCTCTTGTAGGAGCACCTGTAATGGCAGCAGGAGGGCGCTGGGAGCCCGGCCTCAGCGCCTCCAATTTCGGGGCTCTCCTGGGCAGCTGGGGCACCGCGGGGTGGGAGGGGAGCGGGAGCAGCCTCGGAGCTGGGTCAGCCGGCCCCCTGCTCCCCCCACCGGCTCCCCTGTGCGTTTGGGGCGATCAGCAAGGCCCAGCAAATGTCCCTGCAGCTGCCGGCAGCGATTCGGGTGCGTTGGCTGCAGCGACATCTCCGCCTGACTGGGAGGTGATGGCGATAGGAGACCCGGACCCTCGCAGACCCCCCCGGGTGGCTCACAGGCAGCAAGGATCCTCCAGGCGGGAGATATTTTTAAACCAGCCACGGGGAAAGTGATGTTAGAAGTGAGCACATCCCTGCCCAGAGCTGGGTCTCCTCCTTCCAAAATGGGCCCTCAGTGGGTCTCCCCTTGGGGATGCCAAGCCCCAGGGCAGCCGGTGGGGGTCCTATGGTGCAGCCCCGGCTCCCAGCAAGCGACTGGTCAGAAAGTGCCCTAAAAAGCCTTTGTGGGCTCTGCTGGGTGCCTGGTACCAGGCTCTGAGCTGTCAGGGTGCCAGTAGGGAGGTTTGGTGCCTGAACAGAGGCTGATAAAATGGGGGAGAACCCCTAAACGGGAAGTGAGGTGGAAACCCACGCAGCATCCCAGCTGGGTTATCCCCCCCAGGGCAATCCCGGGCTGTGCTCCATGGACAAGTCCCCCGCAGCCGTCACCAGCGTGAGCAGGAGCGAGAGTCCCCTGGACGGCATCTGCCTCAGTGAATCCGAGAAGACAGCCGTGCTCACGCTCATCAGGGAGGAGGTAACGGCCGGGGACCGCGTCCTCCCCGGGTGCACCCCAGCACAGCAGCCACCCCGGGGCTGCCCCTCGCCAGACCCCAGCCCGGCTGCTGCTGCGGGGGGGGGAGTGGGGGCAGCCCTGCTCTGCCTGGGGGGAGTCTGGTGCCCTGCGCATCGCGGGCTCGGGGCAGCGAGGGGAACCACCCAGAGCACGTCCCCAGGGTCCTGTGTGTGCTGCAACCTAGATAATCACGAAGGAGATCGAAGCAAACGAGTGGAAGAAGAAATATGAAGAGAGCCGCCAGGAAGTGTTGGAGATGAGGTAAAACCCCTTCTCCGGGCACGTTCGCCTGGCCGGGCTGCGCTCCGTGTGCTCCGCGCCGGGAGCTGGGTTAGCGGGGCCGTGATGGGACGATACAGCTCGGCATCGCCAGGGTGGGACACGTCAGGGGACGTGTACCCTTCGTGCTTGTGCTGTGCTGAGCCTGCCGCTTGCTCTGTCGCAGGGATAAAATCCCGTTAGCCGCGCTGGCCCGGGCGGCAGAGCCTGGCGGGGGGTGTTCGGTGGGGCAGCGGTGGTGGGCATCGCGGGGGCAAGGGGTGACCCTGGGGTGGTTCGCTGGCAGCAGAGCTGTAGGTGCGTGTCTGCAGAAAAACTGCTGCCTCTCACTTGCATTTTTTTTTTTTTTTTTTCCTCCCTTCCTTCTAGGAAGATCGTGGCTGAGTATGAGAAGACCATTGCCCAGATGATAGGTAAGGTGCCGTCTCCTGGCCGGGCGTGCAGGGCAGGGAGCTGGCTGCCGCCACTGTCCCCACTCAGTCACTGTGTCCCCGCTGTTTGTTCTCCATCACAGAGGATGAACAGAGGACAAACATGACATCTCAGAAGAACCTGCAGCAGCTCACGATGGAAAAGGACCAGGCTCTGGCAGACCTCAACTCGGTGGAGAGGTCCCTGTCGGATCTCTTCAGAAGATACGAAAACCTGAAGGGCGTCCTCGAAGGCTTTAAGAAGGTCCTTGCCTTGGTTTCCTCCTGGTCCCCGGGCGCAGCGTTCCCGTGCAGCATTGCCCCCACCCTGTCCCGTGCAGCAGCAGCATGGCTCTCCCATCCTGTGCAGTTCTGCTCCAAACGCCCCGGCCCCTGCCCGGGGGCTGCTCGCTCGCTTTCCTCTGCCATTTTCTGATAAACGAGCAAAGAGTCTTTCAGACACCCCAGGATGCCAGCGTGGGGTTCTCCAGCTCTTCTCTGCTCCCCTCCCCAGCACAGTCCTGCTGGAGCACCGTGCCCTGGGCAGAGCTGTGGCCAAGGGAAGAGTGGGTGCCAGGGCAAAGCACCCCAAAAAACCCGGCCTCCATTTACACACCATTTCTCCATGCTGCTGAGCTGGATAAGGGGCTCCAGCATAAGGGAGAAGCTGCGTCCACTTAAAACCTTTTTCTTTGACACTTAGAACAGGGTATATCATCCCATCAGAGCAACATCTCCATGCTTAGTCCCAATGCAGATGGATGTACTTTTTTCTTCTTTCCAGAATGAAGAAGCTCTGAAGAAGTGTGCTCAAGATTATTTAACCCGGGTCAAGCAAGAAGAGCAGCGGTATCAGGCCCTGAAAGTCCACGCAGAAGAAAAATTAGACAAGTAAGGTCATGCATGGCATTGCGGGGTGCTTAAAGCCCTTGTAGGGCTGTGGCTCCACTTGGCTTTCCCGAGGGTGGAAGGCAGGAGCTCACTGATGTGAAAAGTTGCCTTCTGCAACCTCAGGCCCAAGTGACTTTAAATGGCTGTAAGCCAGCACAAATCCCTGAATGGATCCTCTGATCTCTGCTTGGTTGTTTTTAATGGAGAAACTGAGGTTCATGGTCTATTTGCAGTCACTCCCCAAGTTCCCACGTTTCAGAGGGCTCAGGTGTGTGGTGTGTGACAGCTCAGCCGATGAGCAATAGCTCACCAACACCCAGTAGCCCCGAGTGAGGTGGGTGAGGAACTGGTTTAGCTTTGCTCTGAGAATACAGAAGTTTGGAGGAGCTGAATTAATCCGGCTTCGTGCAGATTTTCCACATGGGGAAACCTCCTCTGATGCACGCAGGCAGGCAGGAGCCAGGCTCTGCCGGTGCCGCGGGGTCTGACGTTGTGCCGCGGTGCTCCTGGCTGCTCCCAGACGTGACCACCGTCCCCTTCTCCCCCGACCCCACCGCAGAGCCAACGAGGAGATCGCCCAGGTGCGCACGAAGGCCAAAGCGGAGAGCGCAGCGCTGCACGCCGGGCTGCGCAAGGAGCAGATGAAGGTGGAGTCCCTGGAGAGAGCCCTCCAGCAGAAGGTAACGCGCCCGCCTGCCTCCGCGAGCTCCGGATTTCCATTTTGCTACCCTGAGCGCCCCGAGAGTGCTGGAGGTGTCCTTCAGATTTTTCGCCCAGAAAGCGTTTTGTTTTCTTGTGGTTTTTGGGGGGGGTATTTTGTTGTTTGCTTGTTTTGTTTGTGTTTTGTGGGTTGGTTGTTTTTTTTGTTTGTTTAAATGTACGACCACATCCTCTCGCGAGGAAGGAGATGCGAGCTGTGCCCGGGTGCAGGCACAGCTGTGCTCGGTGCTGGCATACCGTGGCTGTCCTGGAGCACGAGCACTGTCCTGCTCACACACGTGTGCCCGCTGGCAGACACGTGGTGGGCTGCAGCGGGGCAGCTGCGGGGTCTGTCAGGGATGAGGAGCGAGCCCCAGGGTCCCCACGGCACCTGGATGATGCACAGAGGAGCTTTTGCAGGGGCAGGAGTAGGAGCCGGCTGCCCTCTCCTGCGCTGGCTCGGTGGCAGATGGGCCCGGGTGTTCTCCCCCATCTCTGCCGCCGCGGGGGTCCCCAAGGTCTGCTTTTCTTCCAGAATCAGGAGATTGAGGAGCTGACCAAGATCTGCGACGAGCTGATAGCGAAGCTGGGAAGGACAGACTGAGTCTCACCGCCCCTCGTCCAGCACTCTGCACTTGGCCGCTTTTCTCGTAACGTCAAGCACCTTGCCTTATCACCCAGGAAAACCCCCCCCAGCAGAGAAGCACACGCGTCCAGCTGCCTGCTCCGCTCGGCTGCCGGCCCCCGCGGCCCCCCGTGCAGAGCAGAGCCGGCCCCCACGCTGTCCCCGTGCCCCGGGGGCTCCGGGGTCGGGTTCCCCACGCGCGTGTCCCTCCCGGGGCCAGCAGCAAGCGGCCGCCGCGCTGTCCGTCTGCACGGGTGCCACCTCTCAGCCGGGAGGTGACACCCCGGGCTCTGTCCCCCTCGGCCGGGTCTAGCGGTGCCCCTACACGCTCTGTCACTCACTGTCTCCATTTCACGGGTCCAACGCGTGGTAGGTCCTGCCCGGGGACGTGGGTGACGCCGGGGTTGGAGCCGCCGGGGAAGCTGACGGGGAAGGGGACCGGGCGCTGGGGAAGGGGACTGGGCATGTGGGTGCACGGCTGGGGAGGCAGCGAAGGGGGCTCGGGGACCCCAGGCACCCACCGCGGGTCTTTTGGGACCACCAGCGTGAAGCAGCCTCCCAGTAGCTCGATCGGTTTGGGGAGAGTTGGTGGTGTTCAAGGGGCTGGTCCTGGTCTCTGGTACAGGGGTGAAACACAGCACGGAGTGTCCTTGTCCCTGGCCGCGCCAGCCGCGGAGGAGGGAGGCCGACGTCTCCGCATTCGTGCACTTTATTAGCATTTATGAGCACTCGGGCTCTCTGCTCGCTTCCTGCAGGTGGGCACGGTCCTGCTACACGTGTCGTTGCCCCGGGCATGGATACAACCAGTTAACCAGCAGTAACTTAAGTCCTCTCGAAGGCGAGCCTGGCCAAGGGGTGGGCAGGAGGCTTCTGCACCAAGAGGGGCTTGAGAAATGGAGATGTTGGTTCTGGAGAGCTGGAACTTGTCCGTCTGTCCCCTCCGGGGCCGCCCTGCCCGCAGCCCTGGCACCTCCCGAGGCTTGTTAACGTGGGGTTTCTAGTCCGGTTTAAAATGCACAAACCAAGCCTCCTGCTGTCGGGTCCCCAGGCCATAGTGAGGTTAGTTCCCCACTTTGGATGTCGCAGGCGGAAGGAAGCAAACCCTGAAGTGCTTCACGATTCTGCTGACTTAAGGCTCTTTTCTCCAGTCGGTGCAGAAGGGCGAGGAGTGCAGTACTGCCCTGGGTCTTGTGCTGCTGTCAAAAACGCCCTTATGGCACTGAATATTAAAAGAACCAAACAAAAGCCAGCCTTTACTGGCAAAGGCAGCTCCAGGCAGCAGTAAAATACACTTTGAAATCTGTCTGGATGCAGCCCAAAATCTGACTTTCCACACAGGCTGCCTGCTCTATCTCCAAGGTGTTTACTTTTCTGGACACGCCGAGCTCCAGCAGAACTGCTGAGGTTGCCCCTGCACTGTGCTGGAGCCGGGGGGCTCTGGGCTCCTACGATGTGTTTCAATTTGTGTGCAGACCCCGCATGTGCCCTCCTGGTAGCGCCGCTGGCACGAGCCTGCCTTGCCCAGTGAGTGCTGGGGGGGGTGCCCCAGGCTGGGGGGTGCCCCAGGCTGGGGGTGCTGCCCCTCGGGGCCAGCACAGAACCATCCTGTCCTGCCAAAAGCAGATCAGTGAGGTCAGGCAGTGGCTGCAGCGGTGGAGGATTCTCTGCTATCGCCTTGAAGGGACAGTCATGAAGCGTCAAAGCGGGGAAATCTTCGCTGTTTGGACTGTTTCCTGCCCAGCCTACCTAAGACTTTCACAAACCTTTTTGCTGCTACCTTTTTGTAAAAGAACTGAGCTGTTTTCCTTCTAATTCCCTGTGTTGAGCGTGCAGTGCAAACATCCGTTTATACCCATACCCTTGATATATATTTTATTAGTTATATTATGTATAGAGAGAATTTATTATACACTTAAGCAGATAAAGCTGCCAGCAGCCTGCCCTAGTGTGCAGAGTCCAGGCCTGTTCACCGTGCTCCCAGTTATCCCAGTGAGCAGGCTGCTAGCTGGGTGGTGGGGAAGCTGATGGCTGATGCTGCTCGGAGCTGTGCACCCGCGGCTTTGTGCTGAATATTCACCCCTTTGCACAGCTGACAAAAGGGAAAAAACCTTTTTTTCCTTTTTTTTTCCCCCCTCTATTCTTTTCCCTTTGTCCTCCCCACACGTCCCTCTAATGGGCTGGTAGAAAACCCCCTGCCAGATGAGCTACAAAGACTTTCCCTGTTTGGGGAGTCAAACTGCCAGCCCCAGCCCACCGGCGCGCGGCTCCCCTCCGTTTTAGCAGCATTTGGGGTTTTGCAGTCTATAGCACCGCTCTCCTCTCCTCTTTCTCACGTGTCCTGCTCCAAAACAGCATTCCTGCCTGGATGTGAGGGGCCCTTTCCTGGCTGCATCAGCCGGGCTTCGGCAGGGTGGTGCTGCAGCCGGGAGTGACCCCCCGGAAGGTGCTGCCCCTCTGGACCTTCTGAGGGTCTGAATTAAAACCCTGAAGAACCCGGGGTTTCTGAGGGAGTTGGGTTTTTCTCTTTGCAACCCTTCAGACACCAGAGGGAGCAGGTCGGCAGGGAGCAGCGTTGCAGGAGCTGTTGGAGCTGGTAGGCAGTTGTTTTGGGGGTAGGTTCTGGTTTGTCACCCAGGTTCGTGCCCGTAGCAGCGGTCGAGGTCCCAGCACGAGGCTGATGGAGCCAAGGCGCGGGGGGGTCCCGCAGACCCTCGGCCTTGTGCCCTGCCCGGGGACCCCCTGCTTGGCACCCCGGCTTTCCACGAGGTATAAATGCCCCGGGCCGTCCCTGTGAATCTTCCTCCCGCTCTGCCTGGAGGGGTGAAGCTCGGTTGGTGTTTGCTGTGGCCGGCCAGGGCCGGGTTTGCTCACCTGGGGGGTCAGCTCTGAGGAGCAGAGCACCAGCCCCGGGGTGCTGGGCTCCCCGGGAGCCTGACCCGAGCTCGGTCTCTCGTCAGGGGTGTTGTTCTGGCCCGGGAGGTGGCATATAATTGCAGAGATCTCGATTTCACCACTCGGCACCGCCCCAGCCTGCATGCAGCGCAGTCCCTGCTCCAGCCTTCCCCCCCAAAGGCCAGGCGGGCTGCGGGGAGCGGCTCCCACCGCAATAATCACTCTGGCAGCATCCCCCCCATCCCGGCTCCCCCCACCCCACGCTCGCTGCCTCTCACCCCAGGGCTGTTGCGTTCCTGTGCCTGTCAGCATCCACTTCCAGTCTGGGCAAAGAAGATTCCTAAGGAATGATTTATTAACTATAATATGGTTATAGTTACATATATAAAAATATATATATAATGGTTATAGTTATATATAATAGAAGGCATGTGGTTGTAACGGTAAACGGGCAGGCCTGTTGCCTCTCGCGTGCGTCCCGGAGCTCCCGGGGGGGCACAGGGGCTCCCACCCAGCTCACGCTCCCAGGCTGCCCCGCCGCGCCAGCCAAGGTGTGTAACCAGCGCGGGGCAGCTGCAGGTCCCGCCGCGCCGGGAGGGCAGCCCGGCTCTGCTTGTCGTCCTTTTCTCGCGGTAGGATCGCCACGGCCCTGCCCGGCAGAGCCGGGCGCCCGCCCGCGCCGCCGTTTGTGCGTTTGCCAGCAGATCTCTGTCTCCCATGAAGTGCCAACGAGGAACCAACCGCCCCGCCTGCAGACCCCTTCCGCCCGTCCCTCCAGCGCCGCCCTCCCAGAGGCAGGAGCTTTCTCTGCACTGACTACTACCCCGATCGCTTTGTACCACGTATGCCGCTGCCATTGCCATCAATTTTATATGTACAATAATTTCCCTTTTATATGTCAGGTAAATATTTGTAAGAGTTATACTCACACAAATGAGATTATTATAATGATTACTAATATATTTTTTCCATGTTTCATTGCCTGAATAAAAATTGTGTTTATCACTCTTGAAAGCTTTCTTAGTGTTTGTCAGGTCGGTGAGGGCTTTTTGGAGAAGTTGGCTTTATCTTCCAGGATGGGCCACGTTCTGCCTCTGTTTTATTAATGTGGTTTACAATGCAGTTGGTTTCAAATCAGCATGGTTACCGTCTGTTCCTGAAATCTGTGCTCGTGAACTCTGAAACTCAGGCCTGAGGTGACTTCGATGCCCCCTTGACTCCCACCACACTGCGGCGGAGCTCCCGGCAGATTTTGCTGAGCTGTGGTGCAGCCGCCGGTGAGCTCGGCCAGGCTCAGAGCCGAGGGCAGCGGTGAGACGTCGGGCAGCGGGACTTGGCTTAATCCCCGCACCGTCCCTGATGCCTTTCGTGGCCTTGGGTAAATCCTCTGGCAAGGATGGAGACCGCCCGGCCGAGCTGTGAGCTGGGGAGTGGGTGAGCACGGGGACAGCTCCGCCGGGCTCCCAGCCCCATGTGGGTTTTCAGTTGTTCTCTTGCAATTCTCTTTTGGTGGGCTGGAAACTTCTGGAGGGTTTTTCCCCAACTTGGCTGCTGCAAATGGCAAGAAAGGGGTTATTCTCTGGGTGAAGCAGATGGGCTTGGTCCAGATCTTTGAAAGTCACAAGGTACCGTGTCCGGAGATGGAGAGGGTTCCCACCGGCGGGATGTGGAGCAGAGCCCAGCCCGGTGAGCGTGGGCAGGTCCGGCCACCTCCACCAGCACCGGGCCAGTGCTCTGCCCCGCTCCGGTGGCCCGGCCCAGCCCGTGCCCTTGGGGAGCAGCATTTGTCCTCTCCTGATAAGATGGCATTAGCCAGGGGCTGCAGTAAGAGTGTGATCCCCAGCCCGGTGATCCAATCGCCCAAGCAGATTAGCGGTAAAATCTTAAGACAAAACCGAGGCTACGTGCCCTGTGCTGCACACTGCTGGAAATGTCCGCCCTGAAGACCCTCCTGGCCCTGGCCATCGTCACATCCCTGGCTGGAGAAAGTAAGTGTCCGTAGCTCAAGGCAGAGCTCGCTGGGGTAAATCGCTGCTGCTGCTCCTCTGCTTGCTGGCTGCCCCCGTCCCTGCCGCCTGCCCCCAGGCTTGCCTGCACCCCTTGTGCCCTTGCCCGTCGCTGCTCCCGTCCCTGCAGAAAAATGGCGTTTCAGGGGGGACAGCGGCTTTCTCCTCCAAGGGGGACCCTGCCCCTCGCCCTCGCTCTGCCACCTGCACAAAGCACAGGCACGTGGTCCCTCTCCGGGGAGGTACCCGAGCCAGAAAACAGCAGCTTCTGATCGCTAGAGCGGTGTTTCCCGGATAAGATTTGGTTCCTCAAAGGCAAAAAAATCACAAAAAGCCATTTTAAGAGGTGGGAAGGTGGTTGTGCTGCTCAGCAATGCCACAGAGCGTGGTCAGGTCAGGACAGCTTCAAGGATCTTTGCACCAAGGGAAGGTGAACCCTGAGCTGTTTGATGGTAGGTGAAAGATTGTACCACGCTGCAAAGAACAACAAAGGAGAAGCATGAGACAAGCAGTCCCGCTGTGGAAGTGGGGGTCAGTGTGGGTTAATGGCAGGCGTTTACTGGCATTCAGACCCACGAAATCCCAGTTTCCCCTGGTTTTTCCACCTTTCCAAGAAGATGAAGGTGGGAGCTGGGGCCTCCTGCGAGATCCGAGCTGGGCCCGGTTGCCACGAGAGGGCTCTGCTCAGCCAGCAAACTAGATAAATTTTACTCCCAGCATCAGTGGTAATTTAACCATCGCCATCAAAATCAAGCGTTCATAATTTCAGGCAGGAGCAGGATCTTCAGATTTGGGGTTTTGAGGGGGGAGGTGCTTTGTCTGCAGCTATTTAAAACAGTGCTGTTATTTAAAGTCTTACTGTCATAAAATTATAACAACCCTTTCACATTTGCTCAGCTGGTTCCTAAACTGAGCTGGGACCTCTGGCAGTCATGCATTTTCCTCTCCTAAAGGGTCAGACAACTCTCAGGCCTGTTACCGGCTCTGACGTGCAGCAGGGGCGAGGGGCTGGCTGTGATCTGCCGTGCCCGTGGCCTCCTCTGAGGACGATTTGGAGGGGACTCGTCCTCCCCGGCACACACGCCTGCCTGTCACCGTACTTGTCCCCAGGGCAGTGCCTTTGGGGTGTGCTGCCCGGGCAAAGGGCTGCAGGGGGGAGCTGCTGGAGTTTAAAGACATGCAAATGCACGACACCTGCTTCCACTTCCTCCCTTCCCCCTGCAAAATGCTCATTACAGTGAAATTTGGCACAAGAAGGAGGCAAAGATCAAGGGTGGGCTTTTGAAAACACTATTTCTATTTTTATTGTAAAAGAAATTACAGGAATCTCAGCTGCAGGGAGTTTTTGCAGAGCAAGGACTCGGAAGAGGTAGCCTGCTCAATTTAGCTCTCATCGTTTTCAGTCACACTTGCAAGTTTTGCATGCATTTCATGGCCAGGGGAGACCCCCCGCTGAAGCCCACAGTGTGCTGGGGCCTCACCAGTTCCTGGCTGGCAAAGCTGCTGGGTCCCGACCCTCGCCCGTGACTCCCTGTCCCTGTGCTGGGGTGTCACCAGTGGCCGTGGACACCCCCAGGCTGCGAGTGGCACCCGGGGCTCTGGGACGGTGCATCGCCGCTGCTCTCACTCCTCCTCCTCCTCCCCGTCTCCGTGCAGGTAAAGCCCTGAAATGCCACAAATGTGTTGCGTCCAACGAGAACGACTGCAACAAGCAGGGCTCCCACAGCTGCCCCCGGTACGCCGATGCCTGCTCCACGATCACTGCGCCAAGTAAGTCCCTTGGCTGGGGGGACTGGGGGGGGGACCAGAGGGCTGGGGGGGACCTTAGGAGAAGCAGAGGACCTGCCAGGGCAGAGCAGGAGCTGGCTCCCTCTTGTCCCCATGAAGCAGGGATGAACCACCTGTTTTTTTTTCCAAGTTTTTGTCCTCAGACACATGCTTTTGGTCTGAGATAACTCACAGCTCTTTCCTGGCATAAGGAAGGTCCTTCTCCGTGGCATGCTGCTCCCATCTTCCAGAAAGGCTTCACCACCCTCAGTGCAACCTCACAGTTGCTGGGCAGCAGCGTGGCCAGAGACACGGATGGAGACGGTTCCCAAAACCAAACGCACACACACCCCCCCCTTGGGGTCACTCCATAGCCTGGGCCATATGTATTTTCACGCGTGGCTACAACTCCGTGGTCACTGTTTCAGAGCGGGGCTGTGCGCGGAGCTCCGTGGGGTCTTGCAGGGGTGTGCCCGTGGGGCCATCCCTTGGCCACCGGGCCCGCCGCTCGGCTCTCCCGCCAGTCCTGCGGGCAGGAGAAAGACCCTTTAATTCCCCGTCTGCAACACACCGTGCTGGGACGCCGCTCTGCTTCCCCCCGTTCCTCCCCCAGCTTAGCGGAGGAGCGAAGCCCCCGACGCCCAGGACTGCCTGACCCCCCCCCCCGCTGTGTGTGCCTTTCCTTGCAGACAGCATCATTAAGTCCTGCTCCTACAAGTCCTTCTGCGACCAGGCACGGCACGGCGGCTCCGGCGGGGCCACCCTGAGGTGCTGCTTCAGCGACGACTGCAACGGGCCGCTGCACGGCGCGGGCGGGGGGGCCAGGCCGCTGCACCTCCCCAGCCTGCTGGCCACCGCGCTGGCCGGGACGCTGCTGGGCTGGCTGTGAGGGTCCCGGGCCAGGGGCGTAGCTGCTTGCCGCGGTAGCCTAGGGCCGGTGGGTTTGCTCTCTGCCGAAGGCGCGGGAGAGGCTGAGCTGCCACCCGGCAAATAAACGCTGCAGTTGAAAACCCCGTTCGCAGCCGCCGCTTCTCATTTGCAGGAAAACCTCGACCTCGCCAGGGAACGGCCCGAACCAAAGTGGTTGGGCTCCCGGGTGCTCCCGGGTGCTCCCCAGGAGCTCCCTGGTGCTTTGCCAGGCAGAGCCCGGGGGGCCTGGGGCAGAGCCCCCCCTCCCGGCACGCTGCCCCGACAGATGCTTCTGGACTGCTTCGTGCTAACCTGGGGTGCAGGGCTGCGGGGAGCAGCTTCTTTCCTCCTGCCATGGGCCTGGACGGGCTATAGATGTATTTGGTGTGGGACACTGGCCGAGCCCGCTCGGGGCAGCTCCTTGTGCCGCGCGGCGGGAGGAGATCACCCATCGGGACCCCCCGGCCGCTGCTGTGAGCCCCAGGCACGCTGCACGGGGGGTGGGTTTGTCCCCAGACGAGCAGCGCTGCGTGTCTGCCCTTGCAGAGAGACCAAACTTTCAGGTGGCTGATCGACCCCCTGACTGTCACAGCCCCCTCTGGGAGATTCTTGCTTCTCCTCCTCCCACCAGGCTTTCCCTTCGAGGCCCCCATGATGGGGTGTGCCCCCCAGATGCCCATTGTTGTTACTTGATAAAGTGTGATTTTATGTAAAAATCCTCCTGCAGCCCTGAGACCCTCTGGGGCTGGCCTAACGCAGGTGCGGGGGTCTGACCCGGGAGATTTTGCAGTCAGAGGAGAAGAAAAGCAGTGCCTGGCTGAGGTAAGGAGGAGGTGAAACGTGGGGGTGGCTGGGGAGGATGCAGGACAGGGTGGGCTCAGCTGCATGTTGGGATTAGAGCAAAACTCCCGAGGCTTGCAGAGTTCCCTGGGGCAGCGGGGTCCGGGGTGAATCCTTGCAGAGGGGAGTGCTGGTGTGGGGCTCGCTCTGCAGTCTGGGGCAACTGGTGATCCCACAGCTTAGGGAAGACCCCCCCAGGAGTGCCCGGTGCTGCTTTGTTTTGTAAGGGAGAATGGTAAAAGCAAGTGAACGAGAATGAGGAGGAAAGAAAAGGGAATGACAAAGGGAGGAGAGAGAAGGATGGCTGGGAGAGTGGAGAGGAGAATTTGACTGCAAGAAATGTAACGCAGGGGAAGCCAGCAAACTGCTGACTGAAAGCCCAGCCAGTGCTCCTCCAGCAAAGCAATCTGCCGGGAGTTTCCCTTAGTCATAATGCAAGAAAAAAGGGAACAGGTACTGAAACCGAAAAGAGCAAGTTTGAACAGAAGAAGAAATAATTCAGCATGCTTGGATCCAGCCATGGAACGCCCTGCTGCAGGATGCTACTGAAACAGAGACCTCGGGGAGTGCTAGGGGATAAGAGGGTCAAAAGTCCTGGAGAAGATGGATATCAAGCCTTGTGAGGGTTAACACCAGCAGAGAGGGAAGCCTGGCTGCTGGCACAAGAAGGGAGGTGTCCAGAAAGCAGGTTATTCTGTGTCTGCAGTGGGCCCCGCTCCTGCCCCTGAGCACACGTGGCTATTTCCCTGTGGGGGACCCTGGATGCTGCTGGACCCCCAAAGGCCCTGGGGCAGAGATGTGCCCTGCCCTGGGAATTCCCTCATGCCCCTCCGCCTGCTAGTGGGGTGTCTCTGCGAGTTCAAGGGGCTGCTCGCACCCCCAGGCAGGCTACGGCAGCAAAATATATTGAAAAATACAGGAGGAGAACTGAAAGGCTCCCTGGATAAAGGAAGAGCAGCAGTGTGACTAGCTGCCGTGTGACTGTGCCCATAGAAAACTGAGCCGCTTCAGATCCAGGCTCTGGTGCGGGTCACAAGGTCTGCAAGAGATGCCCCAGTATAAAAATACTCCATGGAACTGTTGAGTCTTTGCAAAGCAGGAGGGATGGGGAGGGGAGGAAAAAGTGGTTGGCAGGGCAAGGCTGGAGAGCTGCAGGGAGGAATGCCGGAGGCAGGGACACGCGTGGGGTGGGCGGGGGTTGCGGGTGGGCGTGGGTGAGGCTGTGCTGAACTCCGGGCCCTGCGTCTCGCCTCGGCTGTCCCACCTGCACCTCGGCGTGCGTGCCGTGCCCTGCGCGTGGCCACACCGCGCCTCTTCAGCGCGGGTTCAAGTGGGCGAGTGCTGGTGGGTACCACTGCCCGGGCTGCCAGGGCTTGCCTGGACGGGGCCCTGGCCTCTCCCACGGAGCGGCCAGCCCTGCTTTGAGGCAGGAAAGTTACTTTTCCAATCTTCTTGTTTTCTCTTTGTTTGCCTTTTTTTTTTTTTTTTTTTTTTTAATTCTAAGTATAACGCAGTTGCTGTGGCCTGCGTTTCCATAACTGGTGGTTTTTCATGCTTCAGGTTTTGGTTCCCTTATAGCACCTTCAAAAGCTCTATAGTGAGTGTTCAGCACTTTCAGACTCCGGCTCCGTCAGGGATTGCAGCTGGGCGAGGATGGGCTGTAGGGTCTGTGGCTGCCTGCATGCACGGGGAGACGGGCAGTGCAAGGAATAACACACCAGCTGCCTCGAGGGATGATCCTTCTCTTACAAGGTACCTGAGGGGCAATGCCAAAATCCTGCTCCGTCACACACAGCAAAATGTGCATCTGGGCTAGAGCCACCCTGGGTGTATCAGCTTGTGATTGTACACGGTCCTGCCGGGGCTCTCCGGGAGCGTTGGCAGGAGGGGATGCGGAGGGAGGTCATCACTGCTTTTCTCCTGATGTAATTAATGAATTACGTGTTTTGGGCTGCAGCTCCTGGCAGGGCATGGGGCCAGACTGTCCCCCAACGGGGAAACCGTGGAGGGGTGAGAGCGGGGAGGGAAGCTGCTCCCCCCAAACGCAGCTGCTGTTGACCAGCAACAGCGAGGAGAGCGGCCGCGCCTGTGGAGCTGGACGGTTGCGATGAGGGTAGATGGGGAGAACAGCCCTGTCAGGGTCTGGGAAAGTTCTGGAAAAAAAAAAAAACAAAACAAACAAACCTCTTGTGCAAAACGCTGGGAAAGCACCACTTGCACGGTGCCTGTGAGAGCAAGGCTCCCTGTGCACCCTCGGTGGTGGCGGCAGCACCAGCACCGGTTTCACCCACGCCAGGGGAAAGTGCTTCGGGGCCAGATGCAGCTCTGCAGAGAAAGCGGGGACTTTCGGAGGGTGCAGCCACGGGGAGCCCCCGCTGTCCCGGGCGGCATGGGGTGGGGAGAGTGCTTCCTGCTCCCCAAATCCACCCTCAACTGTAGCAGCAGCTTTTCCAAGTGATGCCCGGGCAGCAGCTGGGAGCCAAACTGGGCGGCTCATCTCCGTGCAGTGCCACATGCCAGCACATGCTCAAGAGCCTGGTGAGATTCAGCGCCTGTTGTATCAGCCACGGGCCAGAGGCTGCTCTGCTGTGACAGACTGTGGTTTTGTCTGCTCCTGGGGCGGTGACACGGCCCGGAGCAGAGTCACACAGAAATGAGCACACATGGTTTCAGTAACAGTGTTTGGGCAATCTTCTGCAACATGGAAGGGGAAAGAAAAAAAAAACCAACCCTGTTCTAAAAATGACCCAGGCCATAGGAAATGCTGGGGGTTGGGGCAATGTGTTTAATTAACAACACTTTGTACAGCAAGCGCTGAACAGCCTGCACTGCTCTGGGAAAAAAAAACCCTAATCTTCAACTGCATGGCACTGGATCCTCAAAACTAGAGTCTTGCCTTAAAATGAGAACAGGAATGACCCCGCGACACAGTGGCAGCAAGGGGCACAGAGCTGGAGGTCGGGGTCATTTGTCTCGTCTGGAAAGCAGCAGCATTGGGGACACTCTGTAGGCAAGGATTGTGCAGAGCTGACTCGGGGGTGGGGGGGGGGGGGGGGGGGCCTCCATGGGCTGGGCCAGGTAGGGACCCTCTGCGTGTGGGTGGTGGGTGCAGCTGATCTGCTAACGAACGGCTCACTGATGCAACCCTGAGGTTTTCTGGGTGAGCAGGCAGTGCCTGCAAGCCCTGTACGTGCCTGAGTGCGCTCAGCTTTAAAACAAGGAGCAGAATCCCTGCAGGAGGTTGATGTAGGCAGCAAGGGTCCCCAGTCTATATCCCAAAGGGGGACGGTGACTCGGGTCTGCCCGCTCCAAACATCATCTATTAACTCCAGGCTTCATTTTTGCAGCTTTCTCAGATGACGAGGATCCACAGGGCTGCACGAGCCCAGGCACTGTACCGCAGATATAAGCATTTACAGATTTCACTGCTGGCTCACCCGAGGCCTCGCCCGCTGCGAGGGCGTCTGCAGTGTTTTGGGGAGCGGTGTGCCGTGGTTTGGACACCCCACGTTAACTGCTGTGTTACACGTCGGGGTTCACCCCTCTCGCCCTGCCGGGGCGGCGTGCCGACCCCCTCGGGTGGTTGTTCCTTCCCAGCAGTGCTGCTGTTAGTGCCGTGGTGGTTTTGTGGGGTCCGGGCTGGGGGTCACCCTCCCTGGCCTGAACCCTGCAAGTCCGTGTGCGCGCACGAGCGGAGATCCGGGTGCATCCCCAGGCTGGCGCGAAAACCAGTGAGCACTCAAACTGCTGCTCAGGAGGAAAGCCCCCAGGTGTAGCTGGGTCGACAGGGTCTGAAATACCAACAAAAATGGTGCTGATGGGTCTGAGCCCGATGCCGAAGCTGGGGCGGTTCACCCCAGATGCACACCGCTGCCCCTGCTTGCTTGTATTTGCTCAGATGCTGCTGGATTTGACACCACACGTCATAACAAGGCCACGGAAGCGGGGGAAGGTTTTGTAAAGCAGTAACGATGCCCCACGCGGTTTGGAGGCCCTGGGACTTTGTGTCAGCGTGAGGACTAACTGTAGAGCAGGAGCACTGAAGCGTGCCTGCCCTTAAAAACTTGTGGTGCAAAAGACTCCGCTTGCTATTTGAGCATCTGGGCTAGGGGGGCGGGCGCTGCTCATAGGGCTGGGGCCGGCCCTTGCCCCGGGCTGGGTGGGGGTCGCTGGTCTCAGTGGGGGGGGGGGATGCAGCCGTCCCCACGGACCCCGAGGGGCAGCTCGCCGGCCGGGCGGGGGAAACTCTTTGCCGAAGGTCCCGGCGAGGGAAGCGGAGCCGTTTGGAGGGTGTGGATTCACGGAGCCGTTTTCCGTCGGGTTCGGGGGGGGATTTGCCAGGAAGGACCCGAGCCCAGAGCTGGGCAGGGATTCTCGGAGCAGCTCTCCCGCCCCCCCCGCGGCGGGGGTGCAGAGCTGCCGGCGGGGCCCGGGCTGACCCCAACCCCGCTCCGCAGCGGGACCCGCCCGGGGGCGCGGGCAGAGCCGGGCCCGCTGCAGGTGCGCGGGGAGAGGGACGGGGCACCCACGGCCCCGCGGGAACATCCCCCGCCCCCCGGAGCCGCCCCCGCGCCCCGCACTCACATCCGGGGCCGGGTTTGCTAATGGGAGGCGTAATTAACCCGGAAAAAAGCGACGGCGGAGCCAGGGGCACACCCCCCGCCGCCCGGCCCTCCTCCGCGCCCCCAGCCCCCAGCGCGCTCCGCCGGCCATGCGCGGGCCGCGCAGCCCAGGGACGCCGTGGGGTGAGTGCCGGGGTCCACGCGTGTCCACGGAGCCGCCGTCCCGCCCGCGGGCAGCGCTCCCCCGCGGGGCGGGCTGGGGAGACCCTCGCTGCCCCGTCCCCACCCGCGGCAGGACTCCCCCCGAGAAGGGGCTTCCACTCCCGCGCCCCCCCCCCCTCCCCAGCCTGTGCCTGCGCGGCCCCGGGGTGCAGCATCCTCCGTGGGGTCGGTGCGGGGATGGGGCAGAAACTCCCGCCTGAGCTGCTGGGAGCATCCGTGCGTGGGGAGAGGCCGCGCCGGGGCCGGCAGCCCCGCGAGTCGGTTCTGCGCGTTCGTGCTCGCAGCGTGGGGCGGCTGGGGGGTGGGATGGAGAGCTCTGGAGGTAGCGGGGGGGGGGCTGCTCCTGCCGGGGCGGCTCGTGGTTTGGGGAGCAGGGTCCCTGTGGGGGGTTGGGGGGTGCCGAGCTCTGCTTTGGGTCTGTGGGGTTGGTAGGAAATGTGCGGGGGAGGATTTGGGATCCGCAGCTATTCGGAGCGTGTTACCCCCCCCCCCGAGTGTTTTTAAGTGGTGAGATGAAGAAATGCATCTCCGCTGCTCCCAGCCTGCCTTTCAACAGGTTAATTATTTCATTAAGGCGGAGGGCTGGAATTAGCAGGAGTTAGTTGCTGGGCTCTGCCTACACCGTCTGTCTCGCATGTCGGCCGCCGGATAGACGTCGGCAGGGCCAACTCGGGAAACTCCTCTGCCAGACCAGGTAAAAGGAAGTTGTGCCGCAGCCGTCGCCCCACGCAGCCGTCGCCCCACGCAGCCGTCGCCCCACGCAGCCGTCGCCCCACGCAGCCGTCGCCCCGCGCAGCCGGGGCTGGCCCGGCGCTGCCTGGGGGCCGCGGGCATCGCAGCTTGGACCCCCGCGAAACGGGGGCGGTCGTCCTGCACCCCAACCGGCACCGGGGCAGCTCGGGCCGGCAGGCGTGAGAGGAAGAGGAGGAGGAGGAGGATGCTGCTGTGGGTGCCCGCAGGTGCAGCGGGCCGTGCTGCGGAGCGAGGTGCTGAGGAAGTGCCCCTGGCCCGTGCTGCTGCTCTGGGTGTCAGCTCTCCCATTGCCTTGGCTTTTTCTGCTGCAGGGGGGCCCTGGGTCGCGCTGCCAGGGCTGCAGCTGTGCCGGGAGCAGGACAGAGCGGGGCCGGCGTCCTGGGGGTGCTTCCTGGAAAGTCTGGCTGTGTGGCTGCCCACGAGGCCTTTGAGCCAGCAGTGACTGCAGAGAGGGGCTCGGGTGCTTGGACTGTGCCCTGCACCTTCCGCCTCTCTTGGAGAGCGCTTCCCTGCACCTCGGGAGGCAGGCAAGAGGGTGTCTTTGCTGCAAACCCTCTTCTGTAGTCTAATTGCTCTTGTCACCTCATTAGCTGAGCCAGAAAAGGGTTGTCCTTTTCGGTGGGATGTTATGGCTTTGAAAAAGCAGGGAAGAGAGTTGCTTCAGAGGTAGGGAAGAGTCTTGGAAGTCTCCGATGTGATTCACTGTGAAAGGGCATAAATTCATAAACAGGATTTGATTTGGTGCGATGCTCGGGAAGTTCAGGGGGTTGTCGGGTGGCAGATTAGCCTCCAAGAATCAGGTGTGGGCATCGTCCGTAAATCGTAGCTTCCTGTGCCGAGTGCTGGTGTGGTGTCCATCATGTTTCCATAAGGGATGACCTCTGAAGCTCCTCCTTGCTGTGAGGCCTTTAGGGACTCATCCATGCTTTTAAAAGATACTAATTTTCTGTGAGGTCCCTCTTATTCTCCCCCTCAAGCTTAGTCTTGTGTCCTTCCTACAGCAAACTCAAGTTTGGGTCTCACATAGAAATATTTATGATTCGGAGTTTACAAAATGCTTTATAAATAGTAAATGTTAGCGCAAACTGAGCATTTTCTGGTCCTCCCAGAGATTCTGGGCAGGGGGACTGATTACCCAGATGCTGGTGGGGCTGCAGATGCCACTTTTATATTTTTCCTATGGAAAAGAGCAATTCTTCGTGGCTGCAAGGAGCCCGACAGTTCATGTCCTGCAGGTAGTGGGATGAGGGGACGGGGAGCACGGGCTGGAGGGCAGGGCTGGGAGCAATTGCATCTCCTCTGCCCAAAGGTTTTTGCATGTCCAAGTGCAATCCAGGGTCAGCTCGCACAGAAGAGTTGAGCTGGTTTGTGGGTCCGTGTTAATTAGGGATGGCGGGGGGGCGCGTAGGGAGTCCCAGGAGGTGTCCTGTGGGTCTGGCACAGCAGCCCCGAGGGGCCGGGGGCTCATCCCTGTGCTGCCTGTGGCACACCTCGGCTCCTTCTCGTCCCTCTCGCAAGCAGAAATCTCTGGACTTTTATTAGCAGCAGGAGAAAGAGATAATTCATGAGGCCTGGCCTGAGTGCGTTAGTATGGTTGAAGGCACTTTGGAATCTGCTTTCTGTGTGCTTCCCCCCGCCCACAAAAATAACCCCACAAAAAAGCAGTAAAATGTGAAGTGCCCGTGTAACCTACGCATCAGGGCAAACGTGTTGTTTTAAAGCAATCTCTTCTTCTAAAGCAGTGCGATTTCCCTCTGAGCAAAGCCCAGATACCCATCTCTCTAACGCTGGTGATAAACTCTGAGATCCTGATAACAGGTTGGCTTGTTTTCTGCCACCTCTACCTTTGCAGCTGCACCACAACTCTTGCACAACACTTGCCTCTCAGGGCCCCACTCCACTGCAGCTATTCAGCTCAAAAATAGTATTTCCTCCTTTTCTGCATGAGATCTTTTATTTGTGCAGCCTCCACTTCTGGCACCTGCGCGAGTCACCCCTCTTCTACCAGACAAACCACACCAGGTTCAGCTCGCATCCTTTCGGTAACCGCTGCCTCCATCCCTGTCTGCCCACCCCGAGCTGGGGGGGGCCCTGCCCGCGTGGGGGGACAGATCCTGCTTGCTCTCGCTGGCGCGGAGGCCCGTTCTGCTGGGGCAGCCCCCTTGCAGGGGTGCGGAGGGGGTCCCCTCGCCGCGGCTCTGCCGCAGGGGGTGGGCGGCTGCCGCTGCCGACTCGAAGCGGTGGCAGCGTGCACCCACTCCCGCTGACTCAGAGCGGCCGCCGCTCCCACGGGGTGACCGAGAGTGATGCTCGGGCTCCCCCACACCCACAGGGGACACGAGCAAAGCCCCTCCACGGGCACCGCGGCCGCCGCGCTCTCCCGGCCAGCTGCCCGGGGCCCTTGCCCGCGTTGTGACGGTCTCGGCACGTCTCCCCATTTCTGCAGGGGGGGTTTGCGCGGCGGCTGTGCGGGGGGGGGCCGGTGCTGCAGCCCCTCTCCGCTCCTCCGCGGCTGCGGGGAGCTCAGAGGGGACCCCCTGGCTGGGGGGCAGCGCTGGGGGGGCCCGTGCCCGCGGCGGACCTGGTGACACGGCTTGGCCGCGCAGCGATGGGTCATTGTTTTCCCTGCTGACTCGGCATCCTGGCTGCACAGATTTTCTGCTGGAGTTGCAGATTGTTTTCCATTTCCTGGGAGTGTGCTCCGGCTCTCTCTAGCGCGCAGCCCGCTTCGGGATTATTTTATTGTGGTGGCTCCCAGGGACCTGGTGTCTTGCATCGAATCCTTCGTGACTGCTTCGTCCTCTCTGGGTGGGCCGAGCTGTGGCACGGGGCTGCCCCACGTTGCTGAGCTCTCTGCAGGGAAGCTTGGTGGCACACGGCTGCTGCTGTGAGAGTGTCACTCGGAGTCACTGTCACTGCCCTGGGACGTGCTGGTGGCCGCGGTGCTGCCCTGTGCCACGAGTGGTCTCAGCCAGGCTGGCGAGCGTTTGTTCAGCAGTTTGGGGTGGTTGAGTCCCTCTTCAGCTCCCGGGTTCCCAAAGTCCTGCAGTTCCTTGCTGAGCTGTTTTGGTCCCGCTCGCTGGCCTGATCTGCCCCGCTCCTGCCCGCACCCCGGGCCGGCACGCTGGCACCCCTTCTTGTCCCAAAGGCGTGCTGGGTGACGTTTGTGTTCGGCAGCTTCTCTGCAATGTGAACGCGCGGCAGTAGCAGTTTGACTTTGCTTTCTCACGTGTGAAGCCGTGGGCTGTGGAGGCCTGGGAGAGGCAGCGGGAGGTTTGGGCAGGTTGGGAAATCAGACCTGCGGGAAGGTTGGCCGTGGGACGTGATGGGCAGGAGGGAGCAGGGTGAGGAGCGAAGCCCCAGCCCCTCCTTTGAGCCTAGTGTTGGGGTTGGCGGCTCTCGGGGCTGGGGAGTGATGCGCACCTCTGCGGGCAGGAACACGATTACGAAAATGCCTCATTTTTCAGTGAGGGGAGGCAGCTAACGTGGTCATTTGGACCAGGTTGTCCCTTCCCTCTCGCTCCTGTGAGCTTGGGTGCCGGCTGAGCGCCTGCGCTGGCATCGCTGCGCGTCGGGCACCCCTGGGTGGGGCTGGGCGGGGCTGGGCTGGCTGTGGGTGCGGGAGCGGCTCCCTGGGGAGCTGGGGCTCCGGGACCGGGGCACCCACCTCTCCCTGCCTGTCCCCCCTCCGCAGGGTGATGCGAGAAGGAGCCCGGCATGCCGTACTTGGATCGACAGAACCGTATCTGCGGGTTCCTGGACATTGAAGAAAATGAGACCTGCGGCAAGTTTCTGCGGAGGTATTTCATCCTGGACACCCAGGCCAACTGCCTCCTGTGGTACATGGACAACCCGCAGGTAGGCTCCGCACTGGGCACGGCCCTGCGAGCTGTTAGCGGGTCTGCGGGCACAACCCGGGGTCCCTGTGGGGCTGCCCTGCTGGAGGCATCTCCTCTGGCTCCCCGGAGGAGGATGCTGTGTGGGGGGTCAGTTGTCTGTCGGGGTGTCCCATGGCTGAGTGTGGCCACGACCAAGCCCCAGCAGAGCAGACCCCCCCGTGACTTCCAGAACTGCCCCAGCAGCAGCTTACGCTGCCAGGAGCCACCCACACCTTGGAGGAGCCTATAGAAATCCTGTGCCTATGTGAGGCGTTACATCCCCCTTGTGCCATAACGTAGAGACAGGGATAACGAGTAAGAGGAGAGGTTATCCTAGAAATATCTGTAATCTTGGAAGTGGTGTCATGCAGCAAAAGCAGTGAGATGGGGAGGCGGGCGGCTGGGGGAGCTGAGTCTGTGCCTGTGGTACCCGACGTCTCTGGGAGCTGGTCAAGCTCAGAAGAGCAGGAGCCAGCGCTGAGCTCTGGGAGGGCCCTTCTGGAAACCCCACGGTGCTTGAGCCCTGCTTGGCTGGGGAGGCGCCTGCTCTTGCAGAGCACCTTGCAGCAGGTTCTCGGTGCCTTGTCAGAAGGGGCAGGGGGGGCACCCGGCCGGGGTCAGCGCAGATTCCTGCCCCCAGGGCCGTGCGGGGGGGTGGGAGCCCGTCCTGCACCGGAGGTGCCGCTGCACGGGGTGGTGTGGGGGGCTGGCAGTTCGGGGGGGCACGGCACGGGGTGCAGCACAGCATGGCCGGTCCCTGCTGCCTGCGGGGCGCCAGATGAACCAGGTACTTGGGGAAGGGAAGTGGCCGAGGCCGGCAGCGTGGCTGTAGCCTTTGCTCCCTGACCCCAACGATGCCAAACGACAGCCTGGCTTGCCTCCTTTGCGTTCCCCCTGTCATTTAACTCCCGTGGCTCGTTAAATGTTTTGCAGAACCTGGCTATCGGCGCGGGTGCTGTTGGATCTCTGCAGCTGACCTATATCTCCAAGGTAATGGAGGGGCAGAGTGGAGGGAAAACGAATGTCCCCGGTTTTCCCCTTCTCTGTGTGGCTTTCCTGGGAGAGGCGATGGCTCGCCCTGGCAGTGCCCCAGGCGGGGTCCTGGTCCTGCCCGAGCCCCTGCCACCCCCCCGCCACCCGCCCTGGGATGGGGGCCTGGGCGGGTCTGTGGGAAGGGGGGAGCGTCCCCTCACCTGCGAACTGGAGTGGGCTGCGAGGTTGGGGCACAGGATGAGGAGGAGGAGGAGGAGGAACTGCTCTGCCAGGAGGAAGGACGCAGGGACGGGAGCAGGGTGTCGGTGTGAGCTGGACACGGCGCTGGCGATCGGGTCCCGAGGTCCCTCTCGATGGGTTCGGGGGCACCAGTGGTTCTCCCCTGTGTTTAGAGGGCAGCTCCCTGGAGGATGAGACCTGGAAACTCGGTCCTTTGTGTGTCCTGATGGCATTATCTGGCTTCTGCGGGGAGGCAAAAATAGTGCAATAAAGGACGACTGGTGACTGGAATATGTGGAGCCGCGGCTGCGAGCGTGGCTGTGGAAAGCAGAGCTGCTGCCGTCCTCCCATGAGCTGCCCCTCGGCTGCTGCTGGGGGAACTGGGGGGGCTCGCGGCTGCCACGCCGGGCTCAGCTCTGAATTGGAGCTGGATAAGGGATTGGACAGATCTCTCTGTTCCTGCTGAATCATGATTTATAAATTAAGCGCAGATGAAGCAACGCTGGGAAGTTGAGCCTTCCCCATTTCGGAAAGAGCCTCACTTATAAATTATATACATTTTAGTCTAAATGAAAATTGCTGTAGGACAGCATTTGGTCACAAACTGCAGGATTGGGTTATGCCAGAGGCTTTAACTACCAACGGTAAATACGCCAGAAAAATGGAGGTTTGCTTGAGAAAACATATTTAAAGCATTATAGACTGGCTCCAGAGGAGGAAGCCTGTCAGAATAAATACTCCATGAATGCTGTGCTTGGAGCCCCAGGGAATATTATTCTTATATAAATGTTTCCTACCCTTTAGGGAGAAACCACTGCTATTTTCCCTCAATTTTCTTAATTGCTGACAAGAGCAGCTGTGTCAGTCCAGCAGAAACTCGGGTTTTCAAGGCCTTTGAAAGCTTTCCGTGCGTCGCCTTCCAGCGCAGCCAGGGCCGGGGGGGACAGCGGGAGATGAAAGCCCCGGCTCGGCGCTGACCCCTCCTTGCCGCACGTGTTCTGCGTTCGGTCCCATGCGGGGCAGGTCCCGAGAGCTCGCGCGTGTCGTCCTCGTCCTTGGGGACACGGGACGTGGCAGCAGCCGCGCTGCCGGGGGTCCTGCCCGGCCGAGCCGGGGTGGGGGGATGCCTTTGGGAAGAAGAATCGGGCCCTGCCCGCCAGCCACGCTCGTTTGCCCCCGCCTCGAGCCGCCGGCCGGCTCTCCTCCTCGTTTGCAGATGGTTTAATTGCAGGGCTGGGGGGGGCAGACAATGCTGGGTGCAGCGGGCCGAGGCTGCCAGGAGTGTGGCGGGGCTGGAGCTTGGGGAGCTTCCCCTCCGTCCTGGGTGCAGGGGTAGAAGCTTCCAGCTCTCATGCGTGCCGTTAGCGTGTGCTATTATCTTTAATTTTTTCTTTAATTTGCTCTGTTGCAGGTTAGCATCGCCACCCCAAAACAGAAGCCGAAAACTCCGTTCTGCTTTGGTGAGTGAGGGGGGCCCCGGCTTCGGTGCCTCCCCCGGTCAGACCCGCGGGAGCTGGCCGCAGCGTCCTTGCAGCCGGGGAGGGAAGGGGACGTCGTGCCAGAGGGCCAGCGCAGGGCTAGTGCGAGCCACGGCCCCGTGTGCTGGCCCTGTCACTGTGACCCCCCCGCGAGAGGCACGGGCAGAGCTTGGTGGGAAGGCAGGACCCTGTGGGTCCCCTCCGTGCCGGGTTTAAAGCAACAGAAACGGCAGCACAAGCACTTACCTGTCCCACGGGCACGGTGCTGCCTCTGCCGTCCTCCACTACCAGGGATGCAGCCCAGGACAAAGAGGAGAGCGCACGGCGCATCCCCACGCCGGGGTTCACACCGACATTTCGGGTGCTGGTTAAAACCCAGGCGCTGAGCGAAGGCAGTCCCAAGGGGCCCTCAAACGCCCGCCAGCACTAGATTAAGTCCTTGTTTGGGCCATGCCCCAGCCTTGGTTTGCGCCTGGCTCTAGCCCTGCTCTGCCTGAGCTCGGGTGTAAGGATGTGTCCCGCTCACCCCTTGGTGCCCGGGCGCTGGCCCCTCTCTCCTGTTGGCAGACCTCGCTATCTGCACATCGCTCTGGGACAGGGGGTTGGGAGAGGCTGTCTTGCTGATTGATTGTTTAATTTGTTTTAATAATGCTAAGTAAGCACTGAGTGGGGTTCCCTAACTCTCCTGGTTCCCTTCTTTGACAGTCATCAATGCTTTGTCTCAGCGGTATTTCCTCCAAGCCAGCGACCAGAAGGACCTGCAGGACTGGGTGGAGGCGCTGAACCGGGCCAGTAAGATCACGGTAGGTCATGTTACACTCGTCCCCGGTGTTGCTGGGTGCTGCCTTGATGGGCCACTCAATACGCACCTGGAAGAACTCTGCTTTTCCTCCTTGCTTACTCTCCTCCTCCGTCACTCCCCGGGCCCGCCTGAGGAGCAGCGATGGTGATGGCCGGGCTGTCCCTGGCCCGGGGGCTGCTCAGTGCCAAGCTTGCCAGGCTTTCTTCGGGGTTAGCGCTGAGGCTGCGCCGGGGAAGGAGAGAATTGCAGCTCTAGGCTGGTGGATGCAGCATTGTCTGCTCCTCCTGCAGCCCGTGCCGCACCTGGCACATCCCTTGCTTCACCGTTGAGCAGAGCTGGTGTAACACGGGGCTGCTCAGGGATGTTTCCCTCCTGTCGCTCTTGCTGGCTGGGATTGTGTGTAACCAACGCCTTGCTGTGGCTGCCAAAGAGCGTCTTCCTTGTGCTTCAATAATGTATTCACTCAATTTTTACTCTTCCTGGAAGGCGGGGTCTCGTGCCGAGGCGAGGCGAATGCCCTGCGCTGTAGGGCACGGCAGGGTGGGTTGTGCCTGGATCCGTGGGGCTTCGTCTGCCATCTCCTCCCATTTAGCGCTGCGTTGTGTGCTGTAACCGTGAGTGAACGGTCGCTGACCCGGTAACTGGCGGAGTCTGTTCTGCCCGGTGCTCCCGGCGAGGAGGGATGCTGCTGCTCTCCCCCTCCTGTGCCGCGGGAGCAGACGGGTGTTCGCAGGGCGGCTTCCCCCTGGCCCCGGGACGTGGGGGATCCCTGCAAAAGGGGCAGGGGCACTCCAGGCTTCTCTGTACCTGCCATTACAGTATTGCCAGTGTTTAATGCTGGCAGGGTTTTACTAGGTCCTGTGCTGATGCATGTTGTTGGTAGTTTGTAAACCAAATAGAAGGAAAAATCATGACAAGGACAGGGGTCTATCAAATAACTTTTTTCTAAGAGCTTTCTCTTTAAAATCACTGGAGTGCTGTGTTGTAGTCCCTGTGGGAAACTCACCTGCAAGACCAGACCTGGCTTATATTTTCTTTTTTTTTAATCTACAAATACATTAAATGTGACAACTTCTGCGCCTGAAGCCACCAAACTGACTGCACAGGCTCCGGCTTGTCCCTTCTCTTTTATGGGTTCAGGTGATACTGGCTACAAACCCACCCACCTCCAAAACGGGGTGGGAGTTGTAACCAGAGCCCGCCAGCGACGTTTGGCTTGGCGTAGCCCCCCGGGTGGTTTCCTCTGGGGTAATTCCTGCTCATCTGCCAGGCTGGCTGGGGTGGGAGCTGGTGCGGCGGTAGGAAGAGATGCACCTTCTGTTTCCGCAGTGAACTGCGGTGATTTTCACGGCCTGGTGCTGGCCGGCCCTTCCCAGCACCGGCCGCGTCCCGAGCGGCTCGTCCAGCCCTGCAGGGAGGAGTTCTCGCCGGCTGGCTCAGAAAGACAGGGCTGCTGGGGTGCGGGTGATGCTGGTGCTCTGCCCGGCCGGGGAAACCCCTCTCCCCGCTCGGCAGTTGCCCCTCGGTCTCCTTTGCGCCCGGGTTTCCTTGGGCCGCTCCGCCTTGCAGCGGCTTCATCCCCTTGGGGTGGGCAGAGGGGCCCAGGAGGGCCGTGAGGAGCCGTTCTGGCGTTCGGCAGGGTTTTGGCCCGTGGCAGCCCCTGGCCTTGGAGTGGTCCCCCTCACCCCCGGGGCTCTGCCGGGGTGTGGGGTGCACCCCACCAAGCACATCGGGGTGTGCTTGGTGCCCGCTCGCCGCGGAAGGATGGGGCAGGGGTTCGGGTATTGCTCCTGGTGCAGAGACCCAGGTTCGGCTTCTGCTTCTCGCGGGGACTTCTCCTCTGCTCTTGGCAAATCGGTTCCTGTGTTTCCTCACCCTGTGTGCTGTCGCTGTCGCCAGGGCCGTGGCGGCCGAAGGCAGGAGGCGTGCGGCGGGCTGGCGTGCCCGTGACGGGGGACGCTGCTCCCTTCTGCACCAGGAGGCTCGAGCCGCCCCGTGCCGAGCACCGAGCAGCGCCTTCCCCCTCGCACCCAGCAGGGACGCGGCTCCTTCCCTCCGCCCGCACACGCAGTGTCTCTGCATCTGCGTTGTGAAACCGTTTCCTGCGGCCTGTGCTGGGTCCCCGACCTCGCCGTGGGCTCACCCACGACGCCGGGGCAGGCAGCCGGTGCCCGTGGGTGCTGGTGCTGGGCACGGGGCCGTGCAGTGCCGGCACGCAGGAGCCCGCCGTGGTCGCTCTCACGGCAGCGATGGTGCCTCCCCGGCACTGCCTGCCCCCTCCATCAGCCAGAGCACCCGGGGCTCTGCGTGGGCAGCGTGGCTGGGGGGTGACCAGGATCTCATCCTTGGACCTTCATCCTCTCCTGCCAGACCTCTCCTCCCTGCAGGTTTGTGAGGTCTTAGCACAGACCTCTGCCCCCCACCCGAGACTTAAGCCGGGTCTCAGGCTAAACCTGAGCCCAGCCGCCGGCCTCGGGGGGGACTTGAGAGCAGCCGAGCGCCCTGCCCTGCCCAGCAGCAGCCAATGCGCCGGGGGGTTCACACGGAGAAGACCGCGTGTTGCTCCCTGTGCGCTTCGGGGTGAGAGGCAGGGGGGCGAGTTGGAGCCAGAGCCCCTGACTAGTGTCACTGCAAGAGGGGGAGTGCAGGCTTGGGAAGGAGAACCTGGAAACCCGCCTTTCTGCCGAGGGCCGGGTGCCGGAGGGAAGGAGCTGGGAGCAGGGTCCCCCCGGCACAGCCTCTGCTCACAGCAGAGACACAACCTGCCCGGCCGCTGGGCGTGTGAAACAGCACCCGGCTGTGTGCTGGGCCCCTGCGGACGTGCTCGGCCTCGCGAGGCAGAGGAGAGCTGAGCATTGGGCCCGGCTGCGAGTCCAGCGGGGCCAAGTGAAGGAGCAGTTGTCCCACAGAGGCACCGGGCTGCCGAGGCGAGTCACGGGCTCACGGGAGTGGATGCTTAATTATTCACCGCCTCTCATCGCCCACCTCCCTGCCTCCTGCAAGCTGCCTGGGTGGGGCCCACACCCTCCTTAATTGGGGTGGATTGTTAATTTATTATTTTTTAAAGGGACATTGCTGCGTTTAGGCCGGGAGGATAGAGACAGTGGTGCTTGGTGCAGGTGTGGGGCCGCCCGGCACGGTCACGCCTGAGCCCTTCACCCCTTCCTTTCTCCCGTAGGTGCCGAAGGGCGGCAGTGTCCCACCGGCCACAGAGATCGCCAAACCTCCAGTGGTGGCCCAGGCCCAGGAGAGGAAGCCCCAGGTGGCCTATAAAACCGAGATCATCGGGGGGGTGGTGGTCCACACTCCCATCTCCATCAACCAGGTGAGCTGGCAGGATCTGTGCAGCGTCCCAGATCCTGGGGGTGAAATCCCTGCGATGTCAGCACCCCGCTTTGGTGTCTCTGTTCCCTGTGTTTTAAGCGCAGTTCCTGGTGGGGATAAGCAGAAAAGGTGGCAGCTCTCCCCACGCGTAGCTGGGCGAGGGCATTCCCACCACAGCCCGCTGAGATGTGCCTGCACCTTGCTGCCGGGTTGGGCACTGGAGCCGGGCTTGGAGGGGTCCCTGCCCGCGGGGATTTGCGTCTGGCTCCTGCTGCTGCCCTTGTCCTGGCAGCAAGGGAGTGCTGCCTTCCGAGCCCAGTGGAGCCAGGGCGGCTGGGTCTGCAAATCACTTACAGCAAAGGATACTTGGATTTCTGCTTTAGGAAGGGGGAGCACAGGGAAGGCGAGTGTTGGGGTGTTGGTATTGCTTTAGCACCCTGCTGTGCCCCGCCAGCATTCAGCAGTGCCGTGGGTGGTGGAATTCTGTTAACACACAGCAGCGCTGGGCTCTGTCGTTCTCCAACCTGCGCGTGTGGGTCCCGTGGCCTGGCGCTGGGTCTGGGGGTCCAGGGGAGGGGCCGGAGGCAGCTGCAGGTTGGGGCTACTGGGGAGGCAGGTTTGCACTTTCATCTTTGGAAACCAGCTTGGTGCCTGCGAAACCCTTCCCACTCAGAGGTGTATAAATAGCTGCCTTTAGCACCTTGTAGCACCTCTCCTTTGTCTCACTCTGAAGTGTGATGCGACGAGGGGGCGTGAGGAGGAGGAGGGCATGAATCTGTTCACCTTCCTGGCCGTCCTGCACCACCCACCCACGTGTCCTGGGTCCGAATCCCCCATCAAGGTTCCCCGGGGCAGAGGGACCCCCTATTGCTGCCCCCGTCACAGCAGCCGAAGGCACCGACCCGTCCCGTGGCTCTGCAGCCCCTTCCCTCGGCACGTGGGGCTGGTGCCTCCCGCCTTCGGGCAGTCATCTGCCTCTGGGTCTCGCTTCAGCTCTTATCGGTGGCAGCACTAAAAATAGAGCAGAGAATTAGATCATTGCAGCAATTTTTTTTTTTTTAGCTGGCAGGCGCTTTTAACGCTTCCTCGGCTGCAGGGTTGGTCAGGGTGCGCAGGGGTGTGGGGTCGGTCGGGCTGGCAGCCCTCCCTTCCCGGGGCCGCTGGACCCCCAGCCCCGTGCGTGGGGTGGGGAAGGGCAGGGAAGGGCAGGCTGTGCCTCCCTCCTTGCTTCCCCCTGTGTGCCAGGCAGCCGGGGCGGCCTGGCTGCCTGTTTGCAAACAAGTGGCAGCAGCCATCCCTGTGACTTTTGTTTTTTTTTTTTTTTCCATTTCAGTGAGTTGAAGCTGCTCTTTCCTCCCTCTCCTCCCCTGCCACCACCTCCCCCGAGCCACGAGCCCCATCCTCAGCCCTTGCACAATTCCTTTCTTTCACCGAGAGGTTTTTTAGAGGTGGTGCAGCAGCTGCCAGAATGTTTTCCGCGCCCTTGCTGCTGGCCCCGTGTGAAATGGCTATTTCTCCGCTGCAGCTTCCTGGGTGCGTCCGTGGTTTCCGGGCTCTGCCCCGCTCGGCGGGTGCTGCCCCGCAGCAGCTCTGGCACCGCGGGGGTGGCCCCACGCTCCGGCTGCACCCCCAAACCGGCCAGCAGCGTCACCCCGGCTCCTGGGCGGGACGCTCCCCGTTGCAGCAGCATCCCCATCGCTGGTTTTGGACTCGCACGCCTGTGATGCCCGGCAGAGCTGGCGCAGCCCGGGGCGAGGGGAGCGGGTGACTTCCCCTTCCCTCCCCTTCCCAGACGGGTCGGGTCGCTGCTCCGCCGCTCTCCGGAGGTGCTGGGCAGCAGTTTGGGGGCAGCCAAATGGCAGCTTCTCTCTGTCCTGGAGATGGAGGAACCCAAGCAGGCTCTCGAAGGCGCTGGGGCGGCGCGGGCCGGCTGCTGGCTAACCGCACCGGCGCGGGTGCCGTGTAAGGCTGGGAGCCCCCCCGGCTGCCATGGCAATTCTCAAACCTCAGCGCGGAGCTGGAGGAAGGGGTTGGAGGGTGGGGGGAAGGAGCTGAGCTCAGATGTTTCACCTCAACCATCCTCGGCACTGCCGGGGGGGAGGGGGGTGGTGCTGGCAGTGGGGCAGGGTCTGACCCTTGGGAAGTGCTCAGGGTGAGCCAGGGGATGGGTGCTGGGTGCACGGCCACGTGCGCAGCCCATCCCCGCTCGCAGCAGCGAGCGTTGTGCTTGGGGCTGGAGGAAGTAACGTGGGTTTTTTTTTTTTTTTGTTTTTTTTTTTTTTTTCTACCGGAACTCCAAACATCACAGTTTCTTTGGGGAGGATTTGGCTATGAAAATGTGGAGCGGAGACTTCATGACTTTCCTGAGCAGCTTATTCCTGTGATACATTGCCTTCTCCAGTGGAAAGCATCTCTGCTTTCTAACTTGGGTTTGCCTGGCTCCAGCTTCCAGCTGGTGGTTTTTCTTCTTCCCTCCACCAGATAAGAGCTCCTCATCCCCTGCGTTTCCCCACGAGAAGGTCTGTGCTGCAGTTGAGTCTCCCGGGTTTTTGATAAGCCAGGCAGATGAGGTCCTTTAACTCCCCTGCTGCGAGGGATTTTCTTCAGCCCTTGAATTGCTTTCCTGTAGCCCTGCCGATTTCTCAGCTCTGTTTTTAACATGTGGGCGCCAAAAGGGTGAATAGTACTCAGGCAGCAGTCTGGAACGCTGCACGCAGCACGATCAAATCAGCTCTCGGCTCTGGTTCACTCCCCTGCTCGTGTCCAGGCATTGCAGCCAGCCCTCAGCTTGCTTCGGGTCGCTTTTCCCTCCAGCTCAGGTGCTCTGCCTTCCAGCCGGGGATTCCCCTCCCTGCTCTCTCCCGGCTCCCCGGTAACTCTCTGCTCTCCGGTTGCAGAACGGGGGGGACGGAGGGGAGGGCAGCGACGTGGCCGCCCACCCGCTGCTGCGGCGCTCGCAGAGCTACATCCCCACCTCGGCCGCCAAGCCGCCCGCCGGGCCCCCCGTCCTCAAGAGCGGCTACTGCGTGAAGCAGGGGAATGTGGTGAGTGCCGGGGGTCCCGTGGGCCGCCGGCTCCCCCGTGGGCTGGGGGTGCTGCGGGTGCAGGACCACGACAGCGCGGGGAGAGCGCCGGAGCCCGGCACCGAGCGCTTCCCTCCTCTCTTTTGCAGAGGAAGAGCTGGAAGCGCCGGTACTTCGTTCTGGATGAATTTTCCATCAGCTACTACAAGTGTGAGCAGGTGAGCAGCCCCCGCCAGCCCCCCTGGGACCGGCTGCTCCCCAGGAGGGGTCTGGGGGTGCTGCCGGCGTGGGGGGCCCCGTGGCAGGCACACGCCAGCGCTGCGGGCCCCGGGGGCCAGCCAAGCCCGTCACCGTCTCCTCTCGCCTCCGCAGGACAAGGAGCCCTTGCGCTCGATTCTCCTGAAGGACGTCTGCAAGGCCCACGAGTGCCTGGTCAAGTCTGGGTAACGCTCCCGACCGTGGTTCCCTGCCGCAGCCCCGGTTGTGCCGGGGAGCAGCGCCGGGGCAGCCGAGCCGGAGGAGGGCAGGCGGGAACCTCGGCGCCTCCTCTGGGGACCCCGGGGGCCCCCGACAGCGGCTGCTGCGAGCCGGGGCCAGGCTGAGCTGGGCTGCCACTCGCTGTTCTTTTACAGCCCTGCAGCCCAAGCGTCACATCTCTGTTTTGCTTTTAAGCAATTTCTTCCCCTTCAGCTCCATGAGCAGGTCAGGGAAATGTGGCTGGGTGCAGGATATTGTCCATCTTCTGTTCCTCTGGTGCTGATAGCCGTCTCTGCTGGGCAGGCGTGCTCCTACAGCTCTTATCTCCATAGATTAAGGAGTGTGAGGCCCTGCACAGTAAATAGCATCATATGACAGAAGAACAAAGGTGTTCCTAAAGCTGCTGAAAGCTGTGTATAGGTGTTTCCCTTACACTAGCACAGGTGCCTACACAATATCTTGGGAACAGTTTATTGCAGCGAATGCTGATAAAAATCAAAGTAACTTGAAGACTTGCAATGAAAAATGAACTAAGAAAACAAACCTCCTTAGCTAAAGTAAAAATATAATTTATTATTGTATCTTTGAATTGTTTATTCTTAATAAGTAATAGAAAGCTCACATTTAAAATTAACTGTAAATGAGATGGATTACGGGTCTGGGGAGGGGTAGGGGTTTGCCTGCAGATGGCAGAAGCTAGAGTGTTTGTAGCTGAAGGTCTCTGGGGAGCTGGAGTCATCTTCTCAAAATCCCGATGAGATCCGTGGTTTGCCTTCAGCATGTTTTGCCCCAGCACACTCTGGTGATGAGGATAAATACTGTTGTTTTGGTTTGGTTTGGTTTTTTTTCCATCCATAATGACTTTTCCATTCCTTTCTCACTGTTTCTAGTGACCTCCTGATGCGGGACAACCTCTTTGAAATCATAACGAGCTCCAGGACCTTCTACGTCCAGGTGAGGCAGCCGAGGCTGGTTTACCCCTCCAGGCAGTAAGTTCAGCTCTCAAGAGCTCGAGCGAGGGGGGCAGCTCCCCCCGGCCTCCGGGCCAGCAAACGCAGGCGGGTGGGTCTGTAAGAGCTTCGCCTGGTGCCGGGGCATGGGAGGACTGCCGGGGGGTTTCACTTCTCCCCTTGGGCTTTATAATAGCGGCTGTTTGTGTGAGCAGGAAAAAGCAGAGAGAAGAGCACAGGGCAGCCCAGTGAGCACCCCGAGCGTGGGGGGCCATGCCAGCACGTCCCCTCTCCGGCAGATTTGGCCGGCCTGCTCTGCGGTGCGGGGGGACGTGTACACCACCCTCGCCCTTGCTGGCTGGGCTGGGCAGGGGATGCTGTGCACGGCGTGTCCCCGAAGAGCAGCCAGTGTGCCGTGGGTGCACATCCCCACGGGCACAGGCAAAACCCCCAAATCCAGCTGCCCGAGCCTCTGCAGGGGCAGGGTTGGCAACACAATATTTTTTTTTTCCTTAAATGTTTTATCCGTTCTTGATACACAAATGCTGTGGCATGGAGAGCACGGCTCCCCTTCTGTGGGGGAAGATACGGTGGTGCAGTGATTTTTAAGCAAGGATAAATCAGTAGCAAATATACTGGGAACCCTGGTAGCCTGTCCATCTGTGTGTCGGTGCTTCGTGGCAGCAGGGATCAACTCTGGCTGCAGCGGGGGCTTGCAGAAGGTCAAGTCTCATTTGGGCTGGGGTGTTTTGCAGGCAGACAGCCCGGAGGACATGCACAGCTGGATCCGAGTAATCACAGGGGCAGTCCAGGCCCTGAAAACCCGCCCGAGGGTAGGTCACGTCCGTTCTGTTTCATATTTAGTGTCAAGTTAAGATTATGCCAATGTACAAGATATTTGTTTAGCAGCTTGTGCAAGTGCTCGGTTATTCTGTTTCCAAGCCCTCTCTGGGTTTGTTTACCCACCACTGAAAAAAGCTTCCTTGAAAAAGGCAGAAAAGTGAGATTCAGCTATTGAACTGGAACTGCATGAACTGCTCCGAGACACAAGTGAGAGCCTGACTGATGGCAAGGGGCCAGTTAATTCAGACTTTCAGTTTGTTTAGTTTTTTTTTTTTTCCTTTCTGCAGAGCCTGTGAAGGGCCTGGCCCTGGTCCCCAGAGCTTTGCAAACGGCTCACAGCCTTGCACGCTCGAACACCCAACCCCAGCCAGCGCTCACGCCGTGTCTGTCCTTGCAGGAGATGTCCTTCGTGAGATCCACCTCCATGGTCAAGCCCGGGGGCTCCTCGGCCCCCTCCCAGCTGAGGCAGACGGTGGAGGAGAGGAGAGCGCTGTGCAAAGCCCCTTCCTCCTCCTCCTCCTCCTCCTCCTGGCAGCCCTGGACGCCGGTGCCGCAGGCGGAGGGGAAGCAGCCGGTGCCGGAGGAGGTTCCCGCGCCGCCGAGAGACTCGGTGTTCGTGCCGGCCTTCACGGAGCGCGACGCCGGAGCCGCGCCGGGCAAGCGCGTGCGGCACAAGTCGGAGCCGCAGCACCTCAAGGAGAAGCCGTTCGCCTTCGACCTGGACGATGAGACCATCCGGACCTCCGACGTCTGACCGGGCACCGAGCCACACCCCCCGCGCCCGCGCCCGCGCCCGGCCGCCTCCCCGGCTGCCGGGGGGGCCCCGCGGGGCGATGTGGGGTGCGCAGCCGCGCTGTGCCGGGGACGGCCGCTCTCCACGCGCGGCTCAGCGCCTCGGACCGAGCTCACCCCGTCGTCTCGGCGGGGGAAAAAGCGGCCCCTTCCCTCCACCGCTGCCCTTCCCGGCGATCCCGGGTCCGGCTGGACCCGCGGCGCGGGGTCCCTGCCTGGGCTTTCCCCGGGGGGGCTCCGTGTTTCGGAAGCTGCCCCCGGGCAGGGCGGACTGCGGGCACCTGGCGCTGCCGTCGCTGTGCGGAGCGGGGAAATGCTGGTCCCCGGCGCGGGCTGGATCAGGGGGCATCCGATTCTGCAGCTGCGTAACTTTCCCTCCAAACCAAGCCTGGAGGAAGCGGTGGGAGGTCTCAGAGGTGTGAAGGGCAGTGTGGCCTTCTTTCTGTGTGGAAAAACATTTTTCTCCCCCCTCCATGCTGCTCAGCCTTCCCCGGGCAGAGCTGGGGAGACGCCAGCCCACAGCTGCCCGCACAAGGGACGCGCTGCAACTTCCCAGCTGGATGACTTTTTTTCCCTGGATACCAGCTCCTTACACTGCCTGCCTGGGGGTGTATCAACAAAGCTGTTGGCTTTTAATTTCGCCTTTCTATTCCTGTGGCTGCTGTTAAACCCTGGCACTGGCAGGCTCCCTGCTCAGCCGCTCCCGAGGGTTCGTTGGTACTTTCTGAGCGGGAGCCTGGGCAGGCAGCCGGTGTGTCGGGGGCTCCCGGGGGCGGGAGGATCCTCAGGTACGGTGTCGGTTTTGCACTGCGTACATCCAGGCACCAGAAAGCCCCGCTGGGTGGTGAAGCGCTTTTAGCACAAAGCGACGAAAGCCGAGTGTTTAATGAAACTGGGAAGACTTGTCCAGCCAACTCGCCAGCTGCCTGCCTTGAAATGAAAACGAGCAGGAGTTCGTAGGGCAATGTGAGCTTGTCATTTCCATAACCAGGTCAGCTCCTGTGGGAGGTGTGATAAAGAGCATGTAGAAAATTCCGGAATTCCCTAGGCAGCGAGATCGTCCGGTATCTTCCGCCCGCGGTGCCTGTGCGAGGAGGCAGCTCCCCGTCCTTGCTGGCAGCGGCAGGTCACGTCGGTGTGACGCCGCGAGAGCTGCAGCACGCAGCCGTGCTCCTGCGGATAAATCCGGGTGGCTGCCGTGGGAATTGCATTGCGGGCTTAGCGGCACGTGGCGCGAGCTGGAGTTAACAAGGCTTCCCTTTACTGTGGACTAGTTACCTGTTCTTTTTCTTTGCTCTTCTTTTTTCTTGTCATTACATGTTCTCTGCTCTGCGAAATCAGCTCATTGTGCAGGAGCAAAAAAAAAGCGGGTTGTCCCTGCCCTTTGCAGGTCTCCAGCCGTTTGGCAGCTGTGCTGCAGCCTAGCTAGGCTCGGCCTGGGATGGAGCGGAGCTTTGTCACTTGAGCTCTGAGGTGTTGGTTTGCCCAGTGGATCTGAACAAGATTAAAACTGCATCTTCCTGCCTTGATCTCCTCCAGCTGCGCTGGGGCCCGGGCAGGCACAGCTGAAGGTGCCTTGGTGCAGCCTGGGGCCTCCCAAATTCGGGGGTTGGAGTGGCTCAGGGGGGTCGTGCAGAGATGCTGGAGAACACTGAAAATATGAAAACAAGTGGGAATTGATGCAAACGGTACAGGGTGAGTGTTAATATTTGTTATTTAATTGTAGAAACCTAGATCCTGCTGTTCCTTTTTCTTCTCTTTTTTGCTTTACTTGCACTAGTTTTTGAAGTTTCTTTTCTTTTTTTTTTTTTTTTTTTTAGGCTGACTTGCTGTTTGGCTCATAACATGGTGTTCCCAAAATGGTTTAGTAATTTGGTGAGCCTATCGATCATAGAGTCACAGTGCTTGGTGATAGCGCTCTGACCTCATTTCTGGAGAACATCAAACGCAGAGGGATGATGGTTGCTTTGTGCAAGGCTCCAAAACCATGGAGTACCAAGTATATTTGTTCCTTGATAATTGCAAAGTTTCCTCAGGCCTGGGAAGGTAAAGCAGAAGCTTGTTGCACAATTAGGGTTAATTATTCAGGAGGAGAAGCTACCAGTGGCTCCAGAGCTATTGCAACATTCCTGTTTCTCATTCCCACGCTTCCCGCATCCCCAGGACAGCGTGAAGGCGGAATGTGAGAGTGAAACAAGTGTGTGCAAAGCCGAGCTGGGCTCCAGACCCATCTGTGGTGCAGGTGGTGGTGTGGGGAGGAATTGCTCTCCCATCCCCAAGGACCAGGCAGATGCAGCCAGGACTCTGGAGCTTTGTTGCGATTACTAAAGCGAACTGGTATCCCCTCACCTCTGCGTTTGCCTCCCGGTTCTCCCACGTGGGGACAAAGGCATCCCCCGTAGCTGCTCCCTTTGGAGAATGAAGTGCGTGCTGTGAGTTCCCCGCTTTCCCAGGGATGTGTGCAGGTTCCAGGTATCTTGTGTGGAAAGAGTGGAGTGAGAGATCCCCAGCGGTTTCGGCCGTTTCTGTGAGTGCTGGCAGTGGATTTCAAGTGCTCTTAGGGCCCGGGTGCCTCACGTGAGCGATGCTCCGTGACCCCCGCGGTGTCGGTTACTTGCCTCCCACCCCTCGCCTGTAAATGCTGGCTGCAGGAGATGGAAACGCCCTTTTTTCCCTGTGTTTTTAAATAAAGAAATAAATCCCAGACGCTTTTCCAGGCTGTCCATTTCCACTGGGTATTTTGGACACCGATTGCCGGCGGGGTTGAACGCCGTCCCAGCCGGGGCAGGAGCTGGGGGGGGACGGTGGGAGGTGCTGGCGGGTGCTCCCCGCTGTGCAGGGGGGGCGTTGGGGATGCTGCACGGAGCTGCCACAGTCCTGCCTGGTGTCTCTTGTGCCACGCTTACGGCTGGAGCCCCCGCTGTGGGGCTGCTCAGCACCCCACCGCGTACCCCGGCCAGCTTCACCCCGGGGAGGGCGAAGGGCCATCGTGGACTCTGCTTTGAAAAGGTTTTTGATCCTGTTTGTCACTGCTAGAAAACAAGGGGACAGGCTAACTGGGTGAGAGGAATCCCTCACTGCCAGGGCGTGTGGTCAGGAACACGACAGATCGGAGCAGGAACTCCCCATCTCCAGGCAGTGTGCCTCCTCCCAGCCCGAGGTGCAGGTTTAATTTTATTGCTGCTGATGTTAAGACAGCTCCAGCTCTTGCTCATCTTGAGCCCTTCCATAGGTAAGTGTGTCCCAATAAAACTCTCGGTTTAAACACTTGGGGTTTTTATTGTTTGGGTTGGGGTTTTTTTGCTTTCAGTGTCACATTTTCCAGTGAGAACTGGCAGAGCACACGTCTTGTGGGCACAGAGGCTGCTGCCCTGCACGCAGGTCAGTTCTGGGTGTGAGAGGGGGCGAGTGCCCGGCGGTGGCAGGGAAGTCACAGCTCTTTGCTTTTCTGGGTATGGGCAGGAGGAGAGCTGTCCCACCAACACCCTGGCATTCCTCGGCGTTGTCCGTGACAGCCTCGTACACGGGTGGGATTTGAGGTCCTGCTGTTAGCTGGCAGCTGCGGGGCTGAGGACAGGGGGAGATGTTAATGATGATGGGATTTTGCACATGGGATGATTATATTTTTTTCTTTCTGTCTCGCTGCATAATTTTCCCCCCCTGTGGGCTTTTCAGCCCTGTTGTTCCACTGGTCTGAAGAATGAGGCAGTTTCGTGATGGGGCCTCCCCCCACCCCAGTGCCCTGAGACCTATTCAAAGCTGCCAAATTCAGATTACTTGTGACCTAAATGGGATATAAACCCCATTCCCTGGAGAGGAGGGCTTGTTGCAATAAACCACAAACCAAAGCTGGAATAGGCAGAATTCCAGGCCAGATCGAACCCTGTTGCAGCTCCACTGGGGGCAGAAGGAACGCAGGCAGAAATTGGCCCAATGGAAACAGCTGGAGGGTCTTTGTTTTGCAGAACTGCCTGAGAACGGAGGGTGTTATGTATGTTTGCTGCATTTTACGTCAAAATGGGACTGGAGTTTTGCATATATGGATTTTGTGTCTGGTTCTGGCTGTGACTGCAGCTTCCTTTTCCCGTTTTTATTCAGCTCGGTAAGTTTTCAGACTGCATCTGGTGGGGCTTCCTCTTTTGGGCGCGTGGCTGGTTGAAGCTGCCCCTTGTTTTGGTACCGCACGTGCCCTGGGCCACGGGCTGGAGCTTGAGGGGTGACGGGCACACGGATGGGACCGGTACCTCCAACATCTCCCATCCGTTCCCCGCAGCCCCGGGTGGAAAGGAGCCTTCTGTCACGAATGAGGCAAGGCTGGCATTTAACAGTTCTGTAAAATACAGATGGTTGCCACTGAACGGGTTTTCAAGAATATAACAGTCTGGCAGCAGGGAAAGGGAATGCAACCTGCTGCCAGGGGCAGCACGAGGGAGCGTGTTTTGAAAAGCACAGTCATTTACTGTGAAGGGCAGGGGACGGGAGGAGAACTGTAATTTTAAAATAACACGTCCTACTCTGCAGCAGTCGTAGTGTCCTACAGCTGATGCTTCTGTGCTATGAGCATGACAGGGAGAGTTACATCAACAGACACAAGTGCTTCTTTTGAGAGGCCGGAACAGTAACTTTATTTGCTGCACTGTGGCTTTCCCAGCCTGCAAGAGTGGAAAGTAATGTTCTCAAAGGGTGCCGTTCCTACTAAATCTAGCCCAGCTCCCCCTGCAGCCAGTGAATGTGATTTTCAACAAATAACGTAGAATTAGAGCTCATCGCTTTGCCACAGTCTCTATAACCTTGTGTTGGGTTATTCAACCTTAAGGGTTTGCAAAGTCTAGTAACACAAAACCTCACTCATGCCCTGCGTTTCTCTGTGGCTGTATGTATCCTGCTGATACTGAAAGTACGTGGCGTCAGCTCCTTCCCAACTTTATTAACATTTGTTTGACCACCTCTGTTTGCAAGGCCTGATTCTGTAAACTGTCCCCGTGAGGCGGGGGGGGGGGGAATATCCAGATTATTTTAAACAAGCAAAATATATAGCGAACAATCTCATGTCCCAAGTTTGTACAGAGGAATTGACAAGAATATTGTTCTGCACGTTAAGTTACAGCTTGTCAATCCACGTTTGTGCAAGGCAGAAGTCTGTTCTGGTGCTGCGGAACGCGGGGAGGAGTCCTGCTGCCGTCCTGCCGGGAGCTGTGAGCCTCTTTTGGGGTCGGCCCTTCTCCCCTCAGTACACCGTGCACCAGTTGCTGCCGTCGCTGGGCATCAGCCCGCCGGTGATGAGGAGAATCAGATCAACGAACCACCAGATCCCCAGCCCTCCGAGAGTCAGCAGCTTCCCCACAGCGGTCCCGGTGTGGCCCAGGCAGAACCGATCCACTCCGAAGCAGCCCAGGAAAAACGAGTAGAGCAGGGTGGTTATAAAATAGTGTCCAGTGTACCTGCAAGGGAAGCGTTGGGAGCCGCGTCGGGGGGGGGCGCCCCGCCGGCTGAGCCCCGTTTCTCGCCGCGGGGCTCGGTGAGGGGAGAGGGGCGCGGAACGCTCCTACTTGACGCAGGGCCGGCTGCCCCGCAGGAAGGAGCGCGGCTCGGCGCACTCGATGCCGTCCAGCGCTCGGCACTGCACCCGGGTGTGATCCACCTCGCCGTGGGCCTGTCCGCCGAACTAGGGGAGGCACGGCCGCGCTCAGGGCCCGGGAGGGCCCGGGGGGGGCCCGGGGGGGCCCGGGCCCGGGCCAACCCCCCCCCCCCCCCCGCCGCCTCCCCTCACCTTCACGCAGCCGTGGCCCAGCTCCTGCTGCGCTGTGGCGTTCCCGCCGTGGTCCACCGGCTCCTCGCACTCCACGAACTCCTCGGGGCTGCGGGGGGCGGTGACGGGCGGTGAGGGGCGGCGGCGCGGCCGCTCCCCCCCCCCCCGCCCCCAGCCACCCCCCCGGCCCTCACAGGTAGGTGCAGAGGACGAGCGGCGCCCGCGGGTCGGTGTAGGCCCAGGCGGCGGCGGGCGGCCCCGGGCCGGGCTCGTCGGCCGCGGTGCCGTTGTGGGGGAGCCCGCGGGAGGCTCCGTGCAGCAGCAGGAGGTTACCGAGCAGCAGCGCGGCCTGCCCGCCCAGCAGCGCGTAGCCCACCGGCCCGCCGCGCCGCGCCGCCATGGCGGCGCCCGCTGCTAGGAAACGCCGCGCCCGGCCTGCGGGCCGCGCCGCCGCCAGCCAGCCAATGGGGGCGCGCTGCCGCGCCCTGCGGGGCGGGGAATGGCGGCCGGCGGCCAGTCAGAGCCACAGCGGGTGAAGCCGCGCGGGCGGGGCTCGGGAGAGTCAGGGCGGAAGTGCGCGCCGCGCCAGGCGGCGATTGGCTGCTGCTGCCGGGGCTGCCGGGCGAGGGGCGGGGCGGCGGTGCTGGGCGCGGGCCCCGCGGTGAGGGGCGGCCGCGCTCCCGCCGGTCCCCGCGCAGGCGGGCGGGGCTCGGGACGCCCGGCCCCGCTCGGTGTGAGGCGCCGGGGCGCGGCGGGAGCCGTCGGGCGCTGTGAGCCCGCCGCGAGGGGAGGAGCGGCCCGCTGCCCCCCCCCCCCCCCCCCCCCCGGCGCAGCCGTTCCGCCGCTGTGGCCGCCGGTAAAAGGCCTCGGGCCGGGCCGCGCTCCCCCGTGCCCGCGCGTTGTAGGGCGAGGAGCGGGGGGAGCGGCTCGCTGGGGGTCCGGGGTCCCCCTCTCCGCCTGCCCGTGAGGGGAGAGAGGCGTTCGGCAGACGGGTCCCCGCGGGAGGAGGCCGAGAGCCCACCGTGTGCCCGGTGTCGGCAGGTGCCACCTTCCTGAGGGCGCTGCGCCTTTGGCGTGTTCACTGCTGGCTAACGACTGCTGCAGGGCTCTCCGGGCCTACTGCTGGGGTCGTGTTTCCTCTGACCGGCGACAGGATTTGGTTTGCCTGCTGGATGTGATGGCCGGCTGCCTCATTAAGCCCTTTAATCATTAAGAGGCTTCCAAGTGCCTTCAGAAATAGCTTAAAGATTGCACAGGACGCGGGCTGGGTGGCAGCGGATTTGGTTCGCAGCGCTAAGGAAGGCATAGGAAAGATCGCATCCAGCTTGCGTTTTACTCGGGTTTTGCACCGTTCTGGCTGCGTAAAGCATCGCTGAAATGGGTGCAAGTGAAGCTCGTGCTTTAGGGCCTGGTGTTTCATACTTTACCACGCTAATTGCTGGGGGAAAGGTTGTGTCCAAAGGGGCTGGGAACGCTGTTGGAGGCGAGAAGCAGCAGCAGCGAAATACCAGCTGGGGCAGCAGCGGGTCACGGCCCGGAGGGAGCTGTGCAGTCACGGGCTGCTTGGAGGAGGCTTAGAGCCAGGAAACATGAAAGTGAGTCTCTGTTCCCTGGAGCTCCCCAAAGGATGGCTGTGAAGGTCTTTAGAAATAAATGGGAACTGACCCCTTGAAAAAACTTCGCATTAACAGGAAAACAGGGAAGGGATTTCAGGAGTTGTCTAGACTATCTCCCTGCCCAGAGGAGGAGCTAGTCCTGCTTGGATAGTCAAGTAACAGAATTTTTCTATCCTAACTGCCCTACCCCTTGTACAAAGTGATGGGCATCGGTAGACCCCCTTGCCTAGTCTTGGCCCTTCTTTGCTGTGCTCAGAGAGCTGTAGAGCTCTACCTCAGGGTGCTTTCTGGATGAGACTCGGTGATTAATTGGAGAGAATGGAGCGCTCTGCTGTATAATAGTAAAGGGTTAGAGACTGAGGTCCTGCTGTTGACTCTCTACATCCTGACAAGCTGCTGCTTGTTTTCATCAGGTTTTTTCTGCCTCATTTTCTTCTACATTATTTAATACCCCTCACAGTGTCTTGAGGTCATTAGATTGGAAATTCCAAGCGTGGTTTGAGACAGGTACGTGGCATTCATTAACTCCCAACTGGAAGCCAGGCAAAACATGTAATTTGATAAGAATGCATTCAGGAAAGAGCCATCACCAGGATTCATAGGTGCTCGTCAGCCAGCTATCACTGGTACAGTGTTAACGAGTGTGCTTCCTAAGGCAGCTGGACTGTTGCTGGTGAAGTCCTGACTGGATCCCAAATCCTTAATCTGTTTTATTTACAGTGCTTATAAGCAAACAACATGCAAGTGGTATGTGGAGAGGATGTGGGAGCCAGCAGGACTGAGGTTGGAGGGAGAACATGACACATCTGACTTTGCTATTTAAAACCACTGTTACATGTTTAGCCAGGTTAGTTGGAGTCCTTATACCCTTCAGTCTGGCAAAGGTACGCGTCTGGTGTTCACTAGAAAAGGGAACGTAATGGCCAGCCCCATCATGAAGATTCCTGAGAAATGTATTTTCTTGTTGATTCTACAGCTTTGTTCCAAAGAATTGTGAAAATAACTGACAAACAGCAGATGTCATTTGAGGAATTCATTCCGTATCCTCTCCCCTGCTCTCACTGCCTGCTCGAGCGCAGTATGGTTTGCTAAACCACAGCCTGGCAATGTCTGTTGTCCAGCTCACGAGGCGTCAGCGAGCTCCACGACTGCCCACACGTACAAGGTTTATGCCCTGATACACCGGACCATACTGCCACTTGTGTTGTACATCAGCCTTGCTCCCTTCAGAAGCCAGTGTAAAAATCTTCTGAAGCCTGCAAAGGGAATTGGCAGTGCAAAAACACAAAGGAGAAAATACCACTTTCTGTGGGCTTTCCTGACCACTGCAGAGGAGATGCAAAGGTCCCAGTTATTTGCTGGTTGTTACATCTCTGGCCTTGCCCTCTCCCCTTTGCTGCATTCCTTAGGAAATGGGGCTGCTGTCTTGGGGCCCCACTGTCAACCACAGGCAAGAGACTCTGCCCCTGCTCTGTCAAAGGATGGTGGATTGCTTTTGCTTGAAAACACCAAATTCCGTTTCCCAGACACTGAGTGATGTCCTTTTCAGCATCTACCACATAAGCATTGTTACTGAACTGGATACTACTTTGCCTTTGGTGTAAATAGTTGGTTTTGCATCTTTTTGACTCACCAGCTGCATCAGTGAATGATTTCAGCTGGACTGGCTGCTGTATTGCATGGCTTACCCTTGTATTACCAGTGTCTTGTGGAAATGAGACATCCAGCACACATTTGGTTTCTGTTTATGTCCATTTTTTCTAAGTTCACTTTGAGATATTTCCTGTTTCTGTCTTTTATGCCTATTTAAGAGTATTGCTCCTATTTAAATCTTTGAAAGAATGAAACATCCTCATTTTAATGTCAAGTAATCTCCTAACGCTCCTGTCTGCAATGGGTCTTCTCACTTTGCCTTACTCTAGTTGTAAAGTCTGTGTTGAAGACAACTGATGGCCTGAAGGATCCCAGGGCTTGCCTTTGAGGTTTCATTTGTGACTTAAGACATTGCAGAACTCCAGGATTTGTGGGTTTGTTTCAGCCGTCTCTTCTCCAAGAGCGTCTTCTACCATGTCTGAGAGAGAGCTCTGTGATGGGGGGCATTTCAGGTGTGTTTCAACTGGTTGATCAGATGAGAGGTTCTCCAGATTTTTTGTTTCCGAAATTGGCAGGTTTGCATTTGACCCAAAATATGTGTTCAGAAGCTGTCCTAACTTTCCGGCCTCGTTTCTGGAGCTTTGGGGTATGTTGTCTTCAGTTCCTTGCATTGCAAGGCTGCAGTAGTGGTGGTGAGTGTCAGGAGAAGTCAAGGGAGATGGATATGGCTCTTGCTAAATATGGACCTGGAAATCTCATGCCCCTCAGGCAGGAATGATTCATGTTTGTGTGTTATTTGTGCAGTGCACAGTGGTATCCGTATTTGATCCGTATTATCATAACCCATGGGAAGCTTCCCGTACCGAGGGAAGCACAGGGTACCTGACTCAGAAGCGATGTGCAGTTTCCATAAGGGTTGGAGATACATAACCGCTGTTTCTAACATCAGGTGGGAATAAAATCCTCTGTCTCACCTTGCAGCATTATACAATTTAGAGTGCTGGCTTCCCGTATAGCTTTGTGGTTTGGTCTGTTAGGATACACAGAACTGGCTTCACAGAGTTGAGCTGTCACCTCCTTCCAACAGGAACAGGAGGTCTTCTGGTTGCTGCAAGGGGGGAAACCTGAGTTTCAGGTCACTTTTCCTACAGCTCCTGCAAAAATGGATGCAGAGTTTTGTAATGCGAAGGGCCAGATAACTCTTTTCTCTTTAACTGTTCACTGTAGTGGCAGCAGCATAAACCTCTTGTAAAATCTTCCAAGAACTCACCATTAAGGAGAGGGGGAAGACTTGTGCCAGTTGCTCAGCCTGCTACAGGTTTATTATGGCATCTTTTGCATTACGTGCATTCAAAAGCAATTTCCAAACCATCATAGATGTCAGTCAGACCTCTGTGAGTGAGAACTTGGGTATGTACGGGTGTTTCTGGCTGACGCACTCAAAGGGCACTCGTCTAGTTGTCTGTTGTTTGCGCTGATGAGATGCGTGTGGCCTTCGGTGGAGGTCTGGCTCTGTATCTGCAGTGAGGTATTTTGCCGCATGTTTTACTCCAGAGCGGTGACCTACTAGGGAAAAGAACGTGGATGCTCCAAAAAACCTGTGAAGTACCACACTTGAAAACCAAGAAAGGTTATAGGTATCTGAGAAATTGTTGGTAAAACTGGATTTTATTTACACAGGCTCTTGTACGCTGCTTATCACCGCAGTACGAGGGTGCTTCTCCATCACCCGTTCGGTAATGTGACTGATGTGTCACACGTTGTTTATTCCTCCTTCTCCCGGAGGAAGACACCGAGCTCCATGGAGTGCCTTGGGAGGGTGTTTAATGGGCTGCTGCGAGCTGGCTGGAGGCAGGTCAGCGCAACGCGTATGACGCTTGGCGCGGAGGGTAGAGCCCGGGATGGTGTTTCATTCTGGAGAGTTTTTCCCCTTACTCGCTCCTATCGCGGGGTGTTGCACGGCTGATCACTAGCATGAAGTTGTATCTCCGCGCGCTACAAATGTGTAATGTAGGTTTTTTTTGGAAGGAAAGGCCAGAAGAGGCCATGGTGCCCGTGGTCTGTGCTGACGCCAGTTCCCCGCGGCGAGCTTGTTCTGCGGGACGCGCTTGTTCCCGGGATTTAGTTGCTTTCTGATCCCCCCCCCCCAAAAAAAGCACCGGCGGCGTTACCGCTGGGTTTCCTCCGGCCCTGCGGCTCAGCCCCTCGCGGCCCGCCCCGCGAGGAACCGTCTCGGGTGGGCTGCGGGTCCGGCGGGCGGAGCGGCCCCGCCCCGGGGCGGCGGCAGGGCGGCGCGGCGCAGGCCCCGGCCCGGCTCCATAAGGCCGCGGGGCCGGCGGCCGGACCCAGCGGCCCGAGCCGGGAAGGGGCGATGCGGCCGCGGAGCGCCATGGCCTGGGCCCGGGCGGCGAGCAGCTGCCTCTGCCTCCTGCTGCTGGCCGCGCCCGGGCAGCCGGGCCGCGCGGGTGAGTGCGGCGGGGCCTGGGCCCGGGCCCGCGCCGGCCCCGCTCCCTCCCTGCGGCCGGCCGCGGGGGTCTGGCGTCCCTCCGCCCTTCCTCGGCGCTGGCGGGGGGTGCGGGGAACCCCCCGTTCCCGTCGCCGGGGCGCTGGGGGGGGGTCCTGCCCGGCTGCCCCCCCCCGGCGCGGGGGGGGTTCTGAGGGCTGGGGGCTGTGCCGGCGGTGCGCGGCCACGGCGCGGGGGTCGCAGGTGTGCGGAGGAGCGGGCGGGCGCTGGGGGTGCCGGCTCGGCCCGGGCCCTGTGCGGGACCGGCCCTGCCGAAGTGCTGCTGGTGATGTTGCGCCCGGTCGGAGGGTGCCGCGGGGGTGGGGAGCGGGAGGACAGCGGGGCCTTTGTCCGAACCCTGAAACGCGAGGCGGCAATCTCGGCCGGCGAGCCGCGGGGTCCCCTTACACCTGCGGGGAGCGCCGCGGCTCGCCGCCCGTGCCCGGCCGGGCGCTCTGCTCTCCACACGCTCTTCCAGGCTCCCGCCAGGCAGCTGGCGATCCACGCGCGGGGAAGGGCTGTGGGGCGGGCAGCCTCTTCGCGGGCATCCCAGAAATCGGCGTGGGCAGGTCCTGGGGACGGCCGTGCAGGTTTCCCCTGCCTGCCCAGAGGTGGTCGTATTTCTGCGTGGAGGTGACGGAGCACCCGCGGTTGTTTCCACTGCGTTTCAAGGGGCATGTTCAGGGACCCGTGTCTTCCCCCTCTCTGTCTGGGCGGCCTTGGCCATCATGGAGCCAGGGCACGGGGCAGGGCCGTGGGCGGCTGCTCGGCCCCGAGGAGGATGGAGGTGACGGCAGCGAACGGGCACCATCGCTCTCCTTATCGACTTCGAACGAGTTGATGCTGTGCTGTCTTTATGGGCTGCTCATGAACTGAAAATGTTCTGCTCGTGGGCTTTTATGAGGCTGATTCTGATGTTATATATACACGATAGGCAGAAATGTCTCCTGTTGTTGTTCTCCTCTTCCTGAAGGGATGCATGCGCTCTGTTGAACTTCTGTGTTTATCATTAACACATCGTTCTGTAGTCAGGACTTCCTAATCGAGGATTCTTTTCTAAAACTACTATTGATGCTTCATGCTGAGAAGCAGTGCTGGTGGTGCGTACGTCTCCCTGAGGGATTCTGTGCTGTGACTCTCTTGCTGCTCACTTGGCGTGTTGTTACTGGCGGTTGTGAGCTGTGCGCTAGACGAAAGCCAAGCTTTGAAAGGTGGCTGTTGGCTTGTGGTGGAGGTGGCACAGCGTCTTGGAAAGTGCCTTGCCAGGGCACCGAGGAGTGAAGTCTTAAGGGACGCGTCTCTGGGATGCTGGATGCCTGTGCTTCCAACGGACTGGTCGGTGTTTTGAGGAGTAATATTTTAGCTTCTACCTGTGGGTGGGAGGAACGCAGGTCACCGAGTTACTGATGGTGGATGGCGGTGTTTCTCTCTGCCTTCTGAAGCCTCTGTCCTGGCTAATAAAGCCAAACCTGCAGTAAAAGTTAATGGACCTTGTTTGTGTCAGGTCTGAGCGTGAAGGAGAGGGGAGAAACAAGTCACCTGTTTCAGTTTATCCAGAAACTTCCAACTTTTGGGTTGGAATATAAATACTTTGGGCACTCCCCAATAAATAGGGATATGAGGCAGAAATGGGATGTTACCGGAAACTACTAATAGAAAATTCCTGAATGAACACAATCCTGTAGTGATGTGTAGCCTTAAGGGATTTGTGTAGTGTAGGTTTTCCCCTCCTATTTGTGTCTGTAGGAGACCTCAGTGTTTGGCTGTATAAATTCATAAACCCTCTGGCATTGCCATAGGCGGGGACTGTGGGTTTTGCTACTTGGTGTCTTTCTTGATACTGGCTGTCACGCACAAACCAGGATGTTCTAGTCACGCTTTACCAGTTTTTAAAGGAATTCTTAAAGTGTCTAAACACTTCGGTTTGAATTTCTGGGGAGATGCAGTGTTTGGGTAGGATAATTCCTTTATTGGGCTCATGAAAAACACAGCACTGCCTCACTCATATTTCAACAAATCTGGGACAATCATTCAGCAGAGTAAAGAGGGTTTCTGTCGTTATTTTCTCCATGTGAAGAATAAAAAGAGGAAAGATATTTCAGTGTAGCCAGTGTTGCCTCTTGTAGTGCTTTGTTTTCAGAAAAAGGAAGTTTGAAACATGACTTTGTAGTTCTTGCATGTCTCGATCATTCTCATTTCTCAAGCTAAAATTAAAAAAAAAAAAAAAGTTTATTTGCTTAACTATACTGAGTTCTGTGGTTGAATTTCTATAGCGTGGTTTCCTCTGATGGCCAAATTTAAAGATAGCGACATCTCCAAAGAGAAGCATTCCCACGAACCTCCACTGTGTGAAGTGAGCTGACATCTACACAGCTGACGAGACATGGAGGAAGTGAGCAGGCTCTGTGTCCTCTCCATGGGTCAGGCTGTCATGGGTGGAAGGGCAGAGGCTCCAGGACCATTGACCCGGGAGGAAGGGTGTCCTGGTGAGATTAATCGTCTTGCACCAGAGGATAGTGTGGCTTTGCTCTTTTTCTCCTTGTAGGAAGGTTCCAAGGTGGAGAGGATGTTGTGACCGTACCAGAGAACAAGAGCGATAGTCCTTTTTGTGAAACAAGAGTAGCTGTTGTCTTGCAGATAAACCACTGTGGCTTTAGAAAGGACAGAAGAAATAGTAAGAGTCTAGACAGGAAACACTTACCGCATGGGTCAGGATTTCAGCAGGAGAAGGGTAAGAATTTTCTAGGAAATATTGCTGTAAAAGAGCTCAGTATCCTCATTAACGTCCAACACCCCCAGTAAAATACTAAGAGAAATTACATTAACCGTTCTTGCCAGCTTTAACGCTAAACAAATATTCCAGGTGTGTAATAAATCAAGTAGATGAGTTTCCTTCTCTTGCCATGATAATTGGTCATCTTTTCCTACCTTCTAAAAAGGCACTGTGACACAAGGAGACCCGCTTGGTCTGAAGATTTAGAGCAAGGGAGGGAGGCGATGGAAAGAAGAGTCACAAGGAGGATTACCCTGCAGAACAGCTGGCCAGATGTTCCCAGGTGCTTTGGAGGTGGAGCACCACCAAGGCACTCTTTACCTTTTGAGGTATGGGAAGAACTGAAACTGTTGGCCTCATAGGAAGTGTTCCTACTTTTAGCAGATTTGTTAGCTTGCTGCTTTTGTATAAATCTCTAAATATTTTTAAGTGGACTTGGATAATATTTACAGAGTGGAAGTGAAGGACATTTTTCCTTCCAGTAATCCAAAGAGTAAATCTAACGATAGCTGTCATCTTAGCAGAAAGGTCAACTGCACCTAAAAATGCTTTTCCTGGTATGTAATCGATTGAAGAAATACATTGAAGAATTGGTGATTATGTGTCATTCTGGAAGGATGTCTGTGAGCCAATTCACAGAAGTTTCTCCTCAAACAGATACTGCCTGGCAAAGTGCTTTGTGATTTTGAAAATGGGATACAGAGAACACATTGAGTTTGCAGTTGATACCCTTACAGTTGGGTAGGATTCAGGCACCTTAAAGGATTAACAGTCCCAATAATGTGGGCATATGAGAGAAAGAACTGGCAAAAAGATGTGGCTTTGTAAGGATGGGTGCAAAATGTTCGGCTGAAGTGGAAGTAATTGTCTGCACGAGAGGGGGAAAATTGGGTTGCAGGAGCATGTTGGCAGGAAAGGAAATGAGTGCTAGAGTAGGTTGAGTGACAAGTGAATCAGCCGTGCTGTCTGTTGTGGGAGGAAGATTAACCTGTGGAGGTAGAGAGACACACAAAGCATGTGAACCTTGATACTCATGAGGCCTCACTGGGCTGTTGTGTCCTGGTGTGGATCCTTTTTCAGGACTGGTACAGTCTAACAGGAGGCGTAGAGGCAGTGGAGCATAATGTGAGTGGTCAGAAGTCTAAGAAATAGGTTCCACAAGGAAATATTGAATATTGTCTGTTACTTGAAGGAAAGGAGAAGGGAATAAGACAGCAGACTTTGAAAATCTGAACATTTACAGCCAGACAGGGGACTAAACTGTGCACCTTCTTTGGGGCTTAGAGATGCAACTCGAAACAGCGAGGGAAACCTGTTGGACATCAGGGATGCTTGTTGGAGATGCTTTGTGTGGAACTGATCCTACCCAGGGACCAGAGGATGGGCTAGACGGCGGGATTGAGCTTTCAGCGCTTCTTCTAGTGAGCAGTCTGCTGCCAAAGTGTCAGATGACTGATGCAGCAGCTGACCTCATCTATTAATTGTAATTGATTATAACAATGGTTAATTTAATGAGTTTCTGTATTTAATGTGTTGGCACTGTGCATCTCTTGACTCAGACATGCACACAGCTAATAGAAGACCAAAACTCATTGCTGCTAACTGATTTTCTGGGTTTAATATGGTTTCGGTCAAGCCTTTAAGTTTATAGTGAAATAGCTAAAAGTTGCCAGGGTGGATGCAGGTACAGCATAAATCCGAAGAGAACGTTAGCCATATCTTCTGTGTGGTGCTGACTTTTTTTCCTGGCTCTATTTCTACTCTCGTTTAGGGATTGAGTAAATTGAAGTAGACAAAAACAAGTAAATGGTCATACTGGGTCCTCTCTCTGAGTTTCACTGATAGACAGCTGTGAACAAATGTGGGTAGTATCAGAGGAATTTTAGTGGTTTGCTTATAGCGCAGAATGATGTTCTTTGGTATCACTTGCGATGCTGAAAGCGGTGGGGGGATCCAAAAGGGGTGGTGAGAGCAGAAATCGAGCCCTGGGGCCATTGCTGGCAGTCCCAGCGTGCTGCTGGACCCTGCGGTGCTGCGGGTGGGGTGGTTTTGAGCCAAGTCTCCATGAATCTGGTCTTCCTTGGTGTAGGAAGGGTGGTTTTTTTGCATGTTGCTTCTCAGCATCTGTTTGCAGCCCGAACTGCTGAGCTGGTCACATGCTGATGAACTCGTTGTTATGAAATCAGCGTGGTTTTATGAAATTCTCTTGTTTTGTGGTGTAGTAGGCTACAGTCTAAACTTTCCTGGTGTTTTTTTGTGTGTTGTTGTTTTTTTTTTTTTTTTTCTTCCATTGAAGAGTGTATCTTTAACCTCACTTTAGTAGTCTTAGAGAAGAGTTACAGTAAAAGGGTGATAACTGGGGTGGACTGTTCAGTGTGGGTGGATGTAGCCGTGTGCTGTGTTTCTGTAACTGAGCCAATGATCTGCAGGAATGTGAAGACAGGAGATGCAGCTTGACTTTTGCTGAATATAGATCATACCTGTTGGGGAGTGAATAATACCCTAACAGCTTACCTTGGTGTCTGGAGAGCCGTAACGGCTATGACACGTTTCAGTGGTTTTCAAGCTCCCGCATGCCATGGAACACGCACGAAATTCCTACTCTGGATTTGGGGCGGGGAGGGGAAGATGATTCACATCTTCCTGGTTGCCTGCAATGACTGGTAATTAAAGTCATTCTTTAATGAGACAAGATAAATATAGTGGATGCAATTGTTTTCTTCTCCTTGGGAATACAATCTCTGCTAGTGTTACGCCCAAGAATGAGTGATAAGAAGCATATTCTGAGTGGTGACGTGTAGTGCAACTCAGACAGCAGCCTTGGCCAGTGGCAGGAAGCACCTGAGTACAAGAAGTCCTGTAAGTTACTGAAAAATTTATTGCAAACTACTGTGCTTGAGAACCATGCTTATTATATTGCAATAAAGTTTCTCAAAATGGGGTGGAGGAAAAACTGCAAAAAAATAGCCTATCTTGGGAAAACAGAATATAAATATCTTCAAACATCTTATGTGGAAAACAGCTGAGGATCTGGGTTGGATTTTTGCTGTCACTTCTGCCTTTCCTTAACTGCTGTGAATGAAACCACCTTTACTCTGTGCTGAAATGTGTGGATGAATTCTCATGGATAATAACTGTCTTGACTGGAGGGTAGCATCTTAATAACGCTGTGGTTGCAGGAACCTATCTGTTAATGCTTTTGCAGCATGCAGGGACCTACCGTTTATCTTGTCCTTGCTGGAGTTTTTCGCCTTGTGCTAATTAGGTCAGGCTGGATATGTTTTTCTTCCCGGAGTGGGATAAGGTCTGAATGTGTCAGTCAGTAGGAGTGTTGGGTGCTTGGTGGGACTTGAGGTGGCCCATGTATTACTGGATTCGGGACATAGCTCTCAAGATTTCTGTTTCTCCGTAGGAAGAAGGCCTGACCCTAGTAACTAGCCTTTTCACAAGGAAGATTTAGGATCAGGGTTGCCTCTTGTGTGTTCTGATTTCTGCTTCGTTGCACTTGTCCCTTTCATTGGATTTTTGATTAACTAGCCTGGTGCTCTCTTTGAAGGTCGCTAGCGATGCGTGCAATGTTGCGTGGGCAGTCAGGATGGCAGTAGGCTCTTTATAAAGTGAGGGTCAATGCCGCGGAGGTACCTGCCGGAATGGATGAGGCAGTGTGCTGCGCTTTCAGCCACTGCAGAGAGGTTTTGTCCCGGTGAGAATCCCACAGAACAAACTCTTCTGTACGTCAGTGGGCTTCTTGTCAATTGGATCTGTACTGAAACATGGGGAGAGAAAGGATGTTTTTGCCAGAAGAGGAAAGAGAACTGAAAGTTAAAGGGAAAGCTATTTGCACTCAGTTTGAACTTTTAATGTGAAGGCTGCTTTTCTTTTCAGTTCCACTAGAAAGCAAGGTGGTGCTTTCCTACCCTTATGTTTTAGCTTGTTGTAATAGGAAGTACTTTGTTAATCAAGACAAGCACGCCCTCCTCCTCCTCTGATGAATTGTGCCCACAAGGAAGGGAAGAATCAGGCGTTGTACCTGAAATCACCTCCCAATGTGAGGGAGGGAAGGAGAGCAGAATGTCGGGGGAGAACTGTCGGAGTATTCAGAGAATTGAAAATTATACCCTTTTAGTGCTGTTTCTCTAAGAGAAAGCCTCTCAGAGCTGCACTCTTCCCAGAAATCCCTCCCAGTTTTGCTAGCTTTGTATGATGATTCACTCCTTTGTCTTCTGCTTCCAAGCTGCTTTTTAGGGAGGCATGCTGCTTTCTGAGTGCTGTGAAGATTAACCATGCCCTGCTGTTTCTGTAGTGTGTGTCCTAAAAGAGTCTCCAGAACTCTGGCCAGATGTCGTAGTGTCACATCCCCCACTAATAAAGGCATTTCTGGGTGGCAGTCTGGAAGTGAGAAGTGCAGACCAGTGACGTGCAAGAGCTCGGGACCGGATATGAGTGAAATGTGTGGTTGGAAATGGCAAATGTAGAGAAGTGATTTGCTGGAGTATGTACTTTTGGTGGTTCACCCCAGGGAAGGAAGCAGCCCTTCCCTCCCCTGTTTTCAGGCCAAGGAGGTACTGACACTGTACTTTCTGTAGCCTGTGAGCATAAGGGCTATTTTCAGGAAGTTTATCTCTGCTTTCTCAATACATTTTTTTCCAGTAATCACTGTTATTAATGAAGCTTCTGCAGCAGTATGTGTACTGTGTTATTTGTTATATGTACTGAGAAACAACATTGCTCTGCCTATGGTTGTCTGACAAAAATACTGTATTACAAAGAGGTGCACTGCAGTGCATCTGTGTTCTGCAAATGGATGCAAGGGCGCACTGTAACGGGCTAGAAGTTGAAAGCAATCTAACTGCTTTTGCTTTCTCTCCGGGGCTGTCGGTGGAAAGTCTGCAGAAGGGGATGTGTTTCTCACTTGGGCAGGCACTTACCAGGGTGCCCGTTTGGAATGATGACCCGGGGTGGTGTTCGTGGTGTTGAGGTCACGCGGCAGCTCGTGCTGGGGACGGGAAGAGAGGCTGCAAAACCATCTGCAGGAGCCTGAATGCTACTGCAGCTTGGCAGTGCTGGCTCAGGGAGGCTTTTGGGGAACCCCTGACATTTAAGGCCTGCGCGGGGGCTCCTGCCCATTTCCCAAATGATGGAGCAGGCCTCCCGGGGAGGTGTTGAGCACACAGTGCCTTCGTGCGACTTGCGAAACCATGGCCGCCTTCGGGGTTGTAGTGTGAGTTCTGGCATGCTCAGAGTGCCTGGTTTTTAAAGGAATGCAGTATCTCGGTCCCGCTTGAAGATTTTGTGGAGGATCTCAGAAACTAAACACCCCCTCACCACCCCCCAGGCTTGGCAATTCTTTCTGGAGATAAATGGTGACAAGGAGGATAACTGCTCCCTTCCCCCTACCTTTGGGTCGGGAAGCTCAGGCTCCTCCGATGAGCTCACTGATTCCATTCCTGTGAGCTACTGAGGCTGTTGCTCTTAGTCCTGCCTGGAGTCCTGGGCGACCAACCTCCCAGTTCCCAGGAGAGCAGCTCCCAAGCCAGGCACAGGCAGACAGCGGCCGTTGATGAGGGAAATAATTTACATGTGCAATTTATTATTGTTTACACAGTTGTTATAGAACAGTTGCTTGCAAAAACTGATGCCTTGTAAAGAAAACTTGGACCGTAGACTTTGGTTCAGAGGATCTGTCTGATGTTGCATATGCAAATAATTTACAAAGCGATCTGCAAAAGGCTGCTTTGTTGCATGTGTTTGTTTCACCTCACTTGTTTTTATAAGGTCCTTAAGAGCTGTCTAAGAACACAATGAGTGGTGCTGGCCTTGTGTCAGAGGTTTGGCTGTGGTGTGCAGGGCGAGGGCGTAAGGCTGGGCTGGGCTGGGCTGGCTTCGTGCCGCCGTGCCATTAGGAAGTGCAGGAACTGCTGGAGCCCCTGGGAGCCGATCGGGAGAGGCTGCGTGGTCGAGCTGGTGCGGTTCTGCAGCTCTGCATGCAGGACACCTGGGCTTGACGCTCTTTCTGTGCGTCCTTGAGCAAGTTCTTTCTCTGCTGACCTGGTTTGTTAAATGCCTTGACTCCTGCTGATGAAAAGCGATGGTGTACGAGATAGATGCTTGTAACACAGTAATTGGAATGTGAAGCTTCCAGTTTGAAACCGTCTGGAAAACTTGGTGTCTTCTCTGCTGTTTGTGTGTTGTCTTCTCTGGCCTTTCACAAGGTGATCCAGGTGTGCTTTGCTCTATGCTCTCCTGTGTGCAGTGGGGCCTTTGGCTTTTTCTGTTTGGGTTACAGCTCTCTAAAGGTGTGTGTTGCCTTGGCAATGTGGTGCTGTGTTGTTTCATTAAAGTAGAGCTTGTAAGTGTGTGATAAGGACTGGTGCCAGTCCAGTGTCAGATGGATCTGCCCCGTGCAGTGCCGCACACCCACGCTGAGCAGCCCAGTTCCAGGGGCCTGTGATAAACTGGAGACCTACACTAGAATCGCAGGCTGCCCCCTTCCTACTGAAGGGGCTTTTCATGAAATAGCATCCTTTTCCTTGTGCTTTATCCTCCTGATTGCTTTGTTTCTTTAGCCAGTGTTTCTGTTCTGCTTTCTAGGTTTCCAGCAGGTTTCTCTGTTGTCTTCCTATGAAGTTATAATCCCACAGAGGTTAGGAAGAGAACGGCGAGAGGCTTCCAATGTCTCCTCAGTACAGGTACTGGACAGTCTTAAAAACGCCTTCAGTTTAGTACCTACTTCCTAATGAGGTCCAACCCAAACTGACCTGAAATTCTCACAAAACTCTATCAGACTCATCTAGCAGCAAAGAAGGTATTCTATCTAGCATTGCCTTTAGCTGTGTTTACGATAAATACCTCCCTGCTCCAGAGGTTGCAAGTTGCTGCAATGGATTTTTGATCTGGGTGTAAAAGTTGCATAAAGAGAGTTAAGCACTGGAATGGATTTTGAAGAGGTGGTGGAATCGTTATCTTGGGAGATGCTCAAAATCTGACTGGAGGAGGCCCTGAGGAGCCTGGGCTGACTCTGTAGCTGGCCCTGCTTTGAGCAGGGGTCAGATTAGACAACTTCCAGTGGTACTTTCCAGCCTATATTATTCTGCTGTAGCCATGTAACTAAAGACTGCACACTTCAAAGTACTTGGATTAGACCGTTTTCAGTCACAAATCTTATAAATATTGACAGAATTTAATATTAATGAAAATGCCTTGCAGTTTATTGCAGTCATTGACTAGTACTCCTGCTGTGATGTTTAATATGTAGTGGTCAAGCAATTCAGCTTATCCATTTAGTATTTAAGGACCCTAGTTGCTGTGTGTAGCACTTGGCTAACGCAAGGCTGTGGAGGTACTGCCTCACTGAACATTCAGTAATAAAACTGTATTGTCCTTTTCCAGCTGTAACTAAGAGTTTTCTGTGGAAGTCTTAGAACCAAGGAATAAGAAAACCACAAAGCTATTTTGAAATAGCTTCCTTCGTGTGACTTTTCCCCAGTTACACAGGAAAGGATGCCAGGTTCCAGAGGTAGGGACGATTATAAAATAGGTTTCGGGCTCACCCACCTGTGGTTATTCCTGGTCTGGTGCAACTAGCAAGATTTCAGAAGGCAAGTTTATTAGCTCAGTATCTGGCAATTTCAGTGTGTGCACATGGCAGTCATTTTGTCTGCTGGATGTCAGGGAACTGGAGCCAATGCTGACAGCTCTGGTCAGCTTCTCGTTGCGAAGCCTCGGGGGCTCTGCAGTCGGCTCGGGGCACCAGGAACGGCTGCTCCCCTGAGCAGGGAGCCAGCAAGGAGCGTGTTGGGAGAGGCAGCTCAGATCGACAGACTTCTGCATCCCTCGAGGAGACGGCTTAAATTTTGTTGGTATCTGCTGCATCTCCAGCAGCGTCTTTGCTGCTAGAGCTGTCTCTGAAAAGGCTGAGCATACAGACTAGTCCCAGGTTACAGAAGGTGACAGTAGTGATTCAAACGCCATAGCTGTGGTAGTAATGGACCTTGCAGAGACTGCCTCCTGCCAAACTCTTGTTGAGCTCAAAGAATGAGTAAAATTAACATAAATAAAATGTAACGTTTCTTTATATTTAGGACAAGGTGTCATACGCTATTGAGATAGAGGGAAAAGAACACACGATTCATCTAGAAAAGAACAAGTAAGTGATTAATTTCTTTAGATTATTAAATTCCATATATTGTGTCCAAATAATGAGCTGGCAGGTAACATGTGAGCTCTGATTCTTGAGGTCCTTTGTGAGCAGTGAAGTTACACGCTAGCTCTGCAAAATATGCAGAGAAAGGTGGTGAAAGTGGATTGAGTCACAGAGTCTTGGCTATCAGCCAGAAATTTGGTTGAACTCCTGCAACCCTGGTGATCCCCGTTCAGTGAAGGAAGCAGTAGTTTGCTCGAAGGGGATCTGGGGAATTGCTGAAATGACTCTCTTCATTCACATCTAAAAATAAACAAACTGAACTATATTTCAAGTAAATATTTTCACTTTTTTCTGAGTTTTGTTTATTGTTTCAGGGATGTTTTTCCTGTCTCAGGAGTGCGGAAATACTAGTAAATGAGGAAGCTGACTTTATATCCAAGGTCTTAATACCCATACCTTACAGACAATATAGATGTTGTCTGTCTTGTGTTTAATTTTTAAAAGGCTACTTGCAGCAACGTAAAGTTAACATTTATCAGGCTATTTCTACTTAAATCTGCCCTCATAATAGTCAAAAAAAGACAGAACTATTTAAATGTACAGGCCCCCGGGGATCTCTAGCTGCCACTCTCCAAGCCCCTGACCCTCAGAAACTTGGGAATTCAGCTATGCTGCATCAAGGGATTTGCCAGTGTGGGTCAGCAGTCTTAATCGTGGGAGACTTTCCCAATTCATTTCCTTCCAGAACTGGGGAAGGGAAGTCATATGCAGCAGACTGAGTGCTGTGATTTTTTTTTTTTACTTTTTTTTTATTTTTAATTCTGCATGAAAGCAAGATTTTAGCACGATGTAATGGGTTTTGATGCTTGTTTTACTCATCTGGGGTGAGGTGGTTGATTTGATTTCATTAATGGTTCCGTCATTCTGGCATCTTGGATTTTGCTGTGGAAATGCACATTTTTTTTGTTAATTTTGGGGGTGGGGGGCATGTGTTGCTTTTGAATTTTTCCTTATTTAATTCCCGTTTATGTGTTTGTGACGCTTTTGATTAAGATCATCTTACTGCCCTACTATAGAATGAAATTCCACTTGTATTCCTTTCTCTTTCCTTACAGAGAACTATTGCCCAAAGATTTCACAGTTTATACCTATAATAAGGAGGGAAAGTTGCAATCTGAATATCCAGATGTCCAGGTAGGATTTCTTTTGTTTTTATACCCTTACTGAAGGTGATTTGAACACTGAGCCTCTACAGGATGAGGGAGTTGTGTTACAAAATGAGAGCTGTGTTTTCTGCTGGGCCACCTTCTAATCCCATGCCCGTGCTGTTCTCTTCCTGGCGAGAAGCCTGGATTCTGGCTGAGGCTCTAGCCTGGAGCTTGTAATAGGCGCTTATTTTCTTATGAGGAGGTGATTGCTGTCTAATTAAAAGCTTCTCTTCTATGAAAAGGAAATGTTGTTCTCAGCTGTCAGGTGACTCGTTATCTGAGGGCAGTGCTGTCCTTGTCAGGCAGCACAGTGCAGGGATCGCTTCTGGACGCAGGCCTTGCTTCTCGCGGGGACCAGAGCCCGCGGGGCAGGACTGGGGGGCCCTAGTGACGGAGTGTATGGCTTTCACCTTTACACACAATGGTCTTCCAGATTAATCCACAAGTCAAACGAGTGGTCAGCTGCTGACCCATCTTTTCAGTTGTGCCAGGCGGTCTGTTAGTGAGTCTAAGAATTTTTGAGGGTTGACAGGCTGTCCACTAGTCCAGAAATTTGGGAACTACTACAAAGGATGGATGAGATCAAGTCTGGAGGACCTTTGAGAAAGATCTTATCTGTGCAGCATTGGAGTTATTCCACTGAAAAAGCGGTTGCAGCCACCTTCCTCTGTACAAGCAGGCTGCCTGATATGTTGCCTTTGAAAATTTAACTGCTTCATTGGAATAAGAATAAAAAGCAGCTTGTGCGATACAAAAAGCATGAGAGTATTTCTGTTGGCTTCACTCTTCTTATGTATCAGTGTTGTTCCTTTGAAAGGGTAGTGTTAGTCATATGGTTCACAGGATCTTGTTTTTGAAAACAGAGCATCTGAGTCAACTGAGTATTTACTGCCTAGTTAAGTGATGGACAAAGAGGAGAAATGCTTTTTCTGCACCAGACCATGGAAATGAGAGTGTCCCTGAAGGATTAGCACATACCTTCAGTGCTTTCTGCATTTGTTGCTGAAACAACAGGTGACCTAATCTGCCCGGTCCCTAGGATAACGTTCAGAAGTGCACCTCCCAGAGGAAACGGAGTGCCCCCTTGTCTAGTTTCCACAATGTGTATGTACCGAGGACAAAACAGAAGTATTCTGTCTCGTCAGGGCTGGTGAAGGATGTACTGTGCAACCAGCAAGTTGTGGCCACACAGTGCCTGTTGGCGAGGGTAGCTGGTGTTGGCCCTCTTCTTGCTGGGGAGAGGTTACATACAAGTCAAACATTCTGCAGGGCTGTTTGCTAGAAAACTGAATGGTGATTTGGCCCAAATCTGTAGGGAGGGGCTGGCTTTGAAATATTTGAGGCAGGGTGGAGGACAGAATTTAAGAGTAGGATGGGTTTCGGTCCAGTAAAGAAATCCAGTTGCCAGATAATGCTTCTGAGCCCTGCTTGGCTGGTATTGGTAGCACGGTGGCAGTGCCAGCGCTGAATCCAGCTTCAGGTAGAATGACTGAGTGGGATTTTAAACTGAAACCTGTAAGGAGTTGCTGTCCCCATCGAGTTTTGAAGAGCATCTGCTCTACAGAATAGGGAGATAGGGATCCAGTTGGAATCCTGTGCCCCTGGCATCTTGATCAGCTTCTGATATGTAAGCCCTTGTGGCACTAAGGCAGGTGAGGAAATTTTTAGATGCATGTTAGCAAAGGAATTGCTGTTACATTGTGGTAGAGCTAGAAGGGTGTTAGAAGCTGCAGACTGTAGATAAAAGGCATGTGGTAAATTTAACTTTGAATATGTTTTGCTCTCAAGTTGTAACTACTGCTGGTCAGTGGCAGGCGTAGCAATTACGTGAGCAGAGATGACCCTGGGCGTGCAGATCCGCATGGAATATGTGTGTAATGCTCCCTTGTTTTCCTGTGCAGGATCACTGCCATTATCAGGGATACGTGGAGGGGACCCTGGATTCTGTGGTCGCTGTCAGCACTTGCTCGGGGCTCAGGTAGCACAGCTCGTCTTTTGTGTCCCGGCTGTCACGTGAGTCTCGTGGCTCGCTGAACCTGAAACAAAACTCTTGCTCTGTTTTTAACTGCTGTTCAGCCAAGCGGGGATTCGTTGTCCAGGGCCAGGCTGCAATAGTGTATGCCTGTGTGCAGTCTTCCTGTGGTATCTTTTATTCATGTAGTTAACAGATATTTGAAATACAATTAAATAAGTTTCAGTTTGTTATCAAAGTACAGTAAGTTGTTCTTTGGCCCAAATTTTGGCTTATTTTCTAATTTGGATAGATGGTCACTACAAAGAATTGTACATAATGCAAAAATGGAAAGTCAGACACTAGTCTGCAGATTTTACAAAATTGGCCCTAAGGCTTATGCGCATCAAACTTGATCGGAAATTTTTTCCACTTTGGGCTAATTTCCATATCTTTTGGGACTCTGATTTTTTTGTAGTGCCATGTCAGATGCCAAAGTAGCAATAGTAATTGAACTAGAGCATTTTTGCTTAAGGCCTGTGACTTAATTTCTTACAAAAATGTTTAATTTTCTGTATTTGTGAAGGCCCTATCCAGTGAAAGACTGCTTTCAGGCTTGAAGTGAAGCATGCTGTTTTGCAAGGATTGAGATATAGACATGCCTTTAGTTATCAAAGGATAATTCTTCCTTTGTTTTACTGTCAAAATCTGGGTAACTGTCCTCTGTGCTTAATACAAGGATTTCTTACTACCATATTTTAGGGGTTTGGTGACAATAGGGAACATCACCTATGGAATTGAGCCCATGGATTCCTCTTCTGGCTCTAAACACATTTTATATCGATTGGATAATGTGAAGAAAGAGCCCACGGTGTGTGGAGTAACCACCGAAGACCATGAAAGGGAACACACAGAGGAAAATCACCATCCCACTATGACTCAGCTGCTGCGAGTAAGTACTCACTGTTTTCTCCACAGTCCCTTATAATGCGTTTTGTGAGTGTTCAGCTAAGAATATGGAAGCAGCTTATCAGATTTGCTGGGGTTTAAGACATACCTAAAGGTTTCTGATGCAGAAGGCTTTCTACACTGCTGAAAAATTCAGTTGCTTCAACAAAGCAGTTGCAATTTCCTTCTGTTTCTGCACGCAGCAGTGAGTCGAGTGGCTGGTTAGGTTGTTCATGGACAGAGCGTTTTGGGGTTTTTAAGGGCAGGAACGCTCCCCTCACTGGAGAGGCTCATTAACAAAGTATTGCATCAGAAGCCAGGAGAATATTGTGGTGTTTATTCCATTCTCCTAACCACCACAATAACAGTTTGGTGTGAAGGTCCCCCTTGTTGTTTAGAGACTGGCTATGCAAGCACAAGATTGCAGTAAAAGCAGGAATATGAAGAACATTGTGCTTAACTTCAAGGTTGTTGGCCTTTGCTTGTTTGTCTTTCTGCTCCTTAGTAAAAGTGTATGCTGTCTTTCCAAAGAAACCTCTGTGAAAAGTAAAAAGCTCCCTTACTTTTTGAAACATGGGAAATCTTTGTGCAGCTACACTGTAGTGTAAAACACCTACAGAGAACTTGCCCTTGCATTGGATTACACTTCTTGGGTTTGGCTTGTTTTTGTCTTGGCACAGTGTGCTTTGGGTGTGTCTCCCAAACCACTAGTTGTATCAAGTGAAATATGACAGTGTCATGATTTTTTTTATTTACACTTGAATTAATAAAATTGAAGTTGTCTAAAACTTTTTTCTGCAGAGAAAGAGGGCGGTCCTACATCAAACAAGATACGTGGAGCTGTTCATAGTTGTAGACAAAGAAAAGGTAGGGACTGTGTGTTGCTTTCCCTTCCTTCTCCCCAGGAGATGTCATGAAAAGCCTTCAGTCCTCGTTACTCCCGAATGGATTGTTGAAAGACACTGACACTTTAGCCAAGCTTATGCATATGTGCTAACCTAAAACTAAATGAACATGTTCTATGCAATACTCCTCAGGAAAAGAGGAAACTGTCAGACATGGAGGGTTTCTATCAGCAAGGAATCTAATAACGTAAGGAAATCACATGGCAAAAACTGCCTTTGCTGTTTTCTCTTGAATATTGAGCTGTTGAGCAATAGTAATGAAGATGCTGCTGCCTTGAGAAGCATCTTCTTGACAGGAGATTTGGAGCCTGGCAAAAATGTTTTTCATATTACTAGTCTTAAAATGTTTTATTCCATTTTTTAACTCTTGTCTTTATCTCTTTGTGACTAAGTTTCTTTGTCTTGCAGTTTGAAGATTTTGGGAAGAGCGAAACAGAAGTAAGAGAGCACATGGTGCAACTGGCAAACTTCCTTGACAGTGTAAGTTAAAGCTACACTGAGCATAAGTGGGAATGATGCTGTGTGCAGCAGTCCTGCAGCTCTCTTTGCTTGTGTAAACTTCTACCTTGGAGTCTGTTCTGCCACCACTTTGGCAAGAATGAAATAAAGGTTTTTATCAAGCCAGGAGCTCACCCTGTTCCCTCAGCCGTGTTGATGGCTGCACCATATGGCTGCACCATCTCGCACCTGCACGTTGTGCTGAAGGAGTTGCCAGGAGAGCAGGGCCTGTGAGGTGATGGCACTATTTACTGACAGGGGGCTTTGGTGAATGCATCACTGTGAGAGCTTTTCCATCTCTAAATTCACCTGCAATCATCATACTTGAGAACTGATTTAGGGAACTCTCCCAGCCTGCCCTATATACAGTGAGAGATGGGACAGAGTGTTGCAATTATTGCAATTCTTAAGTATTTGTCAAGGTTAGAGAAAAAGCGTATCTTTCAATTTGACTATTTCAGATGGTGCTGTTTGTTAGGATTGAGACTCCTTTTTATTTCTGTTTTGGATTTTCTCATTGATCCTGTAGCTAATGAAAGTCTGAATCACAGGGAAAATGCATTCTGGTAGCTTGAATTGTGTACTAACTTAAAACAAACAACAACAAAAAAACCACCAACAACAAAAACAAAACAAAACAAAAAAACCCAAACAAACAAAAAAACAAACAAACAAAAACAAAAAAACCCCAAACACAATGAATCCAAACAGAAAAAGTAGATTCTTGCAATAAGATACATAATGCCAAGTCACTTGTTCTTATCTGACGGTCTTCAGAAATATTTCTCCTTTTTTTTCCTCCCCAGATGTACATTATGTTGAACATCCGCGTTGTGCTGGTTGGTCTAGAGATTTGGAAGTATGAAAACATAATCAGCACAGACGGAGGTGCCGGTGATGTGCTGGCAAACTTTGTACAGTGGCGAGAGAAGAATCTTGTTTTGCGCCGGAGACATGACAGTGCCCAGTTTGTTCTGTGAGTTGCAGTTCCCTCCTTTTGACTCTTTAAGAAGCTTATTCTATTCCCATCTGCTCAGCTGTGCTCCAGTATCAAAAGTAGCTGTTGTATTTCAGCAGAGAACCCAGTGCAATCTGCTATAGTTTATGTAATTGTGAAAACATTCCAAGTCAACTTAAACATTAAGAAAGTTTCTGTGGTACTTGAATTCAGTGTCTTCTCTGACAGGTAATTGCTAAATAAATTTTTTTTTTTTTTTTCCTGCCCCACATGTCCTGCAGTGTTATATGTTGTATTGTATAAAGCTTCCATTCAGATAATCCTTTGTCAGGTTGTACACTGGTTAGACTTGTAATCTAGGGCTTTTTCTTCTTGAAATTGAGCATAAACCTGGTGCAGAGCGCTGCATTTTAATGGAGCCAAAGCTTTTTCTGCTGCTGGTATCCCGAAGCTAGCTACGTGGTTTGAGCTTTGACACGTGATGTTAATCTGTCCGTCCCTGCTGCCTTAAACTAGCACAGAGCTTCCTGAGCTGTCGTCTCTGCCCCCACTTCAGGACGCGTGCCCCGTGCGCTTCCCGCGCCCGCAGGTAGCGCGGTCCTGAGGGGGTCACTGCCCAAAGCAGAGCGAGGGCAGAGCAAGAGCACTGCTCAGCACGGGGGGCAGCCCAGTCTGCCCTTGTGCGAAGCAGGAGCTGGGAACCTCCTGCGAGACAGAACAGCACTGTCCAGGTGATGAGGGTGAAATGGCTGAAAAAATATTAATTTAAAACATTCTTATATATGAAGTAGAATGTGGCGTATTGTGCTATTGCACTTCAGCTCTAAGAATCTCAGAATCTTAGAGTCACAGCATGGTTTGGGTTGGAAGGGACCTTAAAGACCATCTAGTCCCAAACCTTCTGCCATGGGCAGGGACACCTTCCACCAGAGCAGGTCTCCCCAGAGCGGAGCAGAGGGGGAGAATCCCCCCCCGGCCCTGCTGCCCCCCCTGCTCTGGCTGCAGCCCAGGGCACGGGGGGGTTCTGGGCTGCCAGCGCACGGGGCTGCCTCACGGGCAGTTTTCCCCCCACCAACCCCCCTAGCCCCTCTCCTTGGGGCTGCTCTCCAGCCACTCCTCGAGGGCCCAGCCTGGGTTTGTGCTGGGGATTGCCCCGACCCCCGGGCAGGACCTTGCCCTTGGCCGTGTTGAACTCCATGAGGTTTGCCCGGGCCCCCCCTCTCCAGCCTGCCCAGGCCCCTCGGGGTGACATCCCTGCCCCCAGCGTGTCCCCCACCGCACAGCTCGGTGTCATCAGTCGCTGTGGGTGCACTCGCTCCCACTGTCCGTGTCCCAACAAAGATGTTAAACAGCACTGGTCCCAGTACCAAGGCCACTCATCACCGCTCTGAGCTGTCGACTGCAACTCTTTGAGTGACACCATCCAGCCAGTTCCTTATCCGCCAAGCGGTCCATCCCTCAAATCCATGTCTCTCTGGTTTAGAGACAAGGATGTCGTGCAGGACAGTGTCAGATGCTTTGCACACGTCCGGGTAGGTGACATCAGTTGCTCTTCCCTTATCCACCAGTGCTGTAACCCCGTTGTTCAAAGGCCACCAAATTTGTCAGGCACGATTTGCCCTTATTGAAACCCTGCTGGCTGTCACCAATCACCTCCTTATTTTCCATGTGCCCTAGCACAGTTTCCTGGAGGATCTTCATGATTTTGCCAGGCACAGAGGTGACACTGTCTGGCCTGTAGTTCCCTGGCTCCTCTTTATTTCCCTTTTCAAAAATGGAAGTTTTGTTTCCCCTTTTCCAGTCAGTGGGAACTTTGCCACACTGCCACAACTTCTCAAATGTGATGGACAGTGGCTTGGCCACTTCATCTGCCAGGTCCCTCAGGACCCACAGATGCATCTCATCAGTTCCCATGGACTTGGGCACCTTCATGTTCCTTAGATGGTCTTGACCCTGATCTTCTCCTACAGCAGGTGGTTCTTCATTCTCCCAATCCCCACCTTCACCTTCTGCATCTTAGGCACCGTGGCTGGAGCCCTTGCTGGTGAAGGCTGTGGCAAAAATCTCATTGAGTACCTTGGGCTTCTCCACAGCCCAGGGCACCAAGTTTCCCTTTTTCTTCCAGAGCAGGCCCACATTTTCCCTAATCCTTCCTTTTATCACCAAGGTATCTGTAAAAGTTTCTTTTGTTGCCCTTCACATCCCTGGCCAGATTTAATTCTGTCAGGGCTTTGGCCTCCCCAGTGTGTGAAGAAACAGACAACTGTGTAGAAACAAAATAAGACAGTAATGAAAAGGAGGTTGACAAGGAAAGAAATCTATGGAGTTTGACAATAGTAGAAGGACAGCTAACAGCCAATAAAAACAAATTATTTTAAGGGTGGACCACTTAGGTCTTTATAGAGGGAAGATGTGGAAGAGGCCGACTTTCTCTGCAAACTCTTGTCTTAACTCAAAAAGAATAAAAGAACCATGAATAGAAAGATAAAGCTGGACTGATACATTCATACCCGCAGTCAATAGTAGTGCTCCTTCGTTAACGTTGGAAAGCTGGAAAAGCAGTATTTTGTGCCCCACAAGCAGAAGCGATGGTGGGCTGTACTGTTGGCAGTGTCGTGTGTCTGTACAGTCGGGATGATTGCCTTTCCTTTTTCTCCCCACAACTGTAGGAAAAAGGGGTTTGGTGGCACAGCTGGAATGGCCTATGTTGGAACAGTGTGCTCCAAGAGCCACGCAGGAGGCATTAATGTGGTGAGATATCTTTAGTGATACTGTGAATGTGATCAAGATACGAGTTTTGTGCTCCAGAAGTCTTCCTGGAAGTGCAGAATCCTTGGTAACAAAGCTGAAGTGTCTTAGTGGGGGCTTTTATGTGGTTCCCAACTGTTTCTGGCAACTATGTGATATCTGGATCACAACATTTCTGTAGTCTTCTGCATCCTCTGCTCAGCTTCCCCTCTCCTCAGTGTGCAGCACTCATGGAAAAGGGACGGGGTTCCTGTGCTGGCGTTTTAAGCACCCCTGCCTTAGAAGTGTGTGCGAGCTGTGGATGTTCTCAGATCTGTCCTCTGGTGTCTGCTTGACTTGCACAGTCGTGAACTCCTAGAGCTGTGCTGGTTGACTGCCCTCTTTATGTGAAACTGCAGGGCGTTCATGAACTGAATGGCTGATCTCAGATAACTGGCAATCCCAGCAATCTTGTTTTCTTGGACTAGTAACAGAAGTACTGGAATTGGAGTTTGCATATTTAAGGAGATTTGGGCTGGTATGGCGAACTCTAGTTTTTGTGTTAATGTTGCAGCTGCACTGGAAAGTGGAGGTTGTTAGGTAGTGTCCCAGATCTCTAAGGGCTCTTAGTAATAAGTGAATGACATGCACTTGGTTGGAAAGCAGGCACAGTTGGTCTGAGAATCCTGTTAATGTAGAGACACAATGACAGATGTGTCTTTTTAGCACATAAATAAATGCTGACTTTCTCAATATAAGCTGTCTGCTAATTTTTATCTGTTTTGCTCTTGTGCAGTTTGGAAGAATCAGTATACAGATGTTTGCATCAATTATGGCTCATGAACTTGGACACAACCTGGGGATGAACCACGATGATGATCGTGTCTGTCACTGCGGAGCAAGCAGTTGCATTATGAGCTCTGGAGCATCGTAAGTGACAACAGGGAAAGCATTTTCTGAGGGCCAAAACTCCCCACCCACGTGCTTAGTTTTTACAGGTTGCTTTCACGTTGCAAAGAGTTGTGTCACACTTGCAGCTCATGGGGAAAGCAAATCTTACCCTTGTTCTACAAACTGAAGGAATGCTTGTGGGTTGGCTTAGTGTGAAGATAAGCTCGTGTTTGCTGTTGCAGGGGCTCAAGGAACTTCAGCAGCTGCAGTGCAGAAGACTTTGAGAAGCTAACTCTCAACAAAGGTGGAAGCTGCCTGCTCAACGTTCCCAAGCCTGATGAAACCTACAGCGTCCCGTACTGTGGGAACAGGCTGGTGGATGCTGGGGAGGAGTGTGACTGTGGTTCCCCAAAGGTTAGTAGCCTGTGTGTTTTGCAGATGTTGCCAGGGTGGCCTTGTGTGCCCCTCGCTGGAGAGGGGACTGTGCGTGGCAGAGGTGCGATTTCTTGACATTCACAGCACTTCTGTTTTCAGGAATGTGAGAGTGATCCTTGCTGTGAACCAGGTGCTTGCAGACTCCGATCCGGTGCTGAATGTGCTTATGGTGACTGCTGTAAAAACTGCCGGGTGAGAGACTCAAACGTGTTATTTGGAAGTGTTGCTCGGTGGTTGGGAAAAGGGGAGTGTTGGCCCAGCCAGCGTCTGAGAGAGGGAATTGGGCGCGTACGCAGCACCCACCAGCGGCTTCAGAGCGGTGCCCTGCTTTGGGGGCACCTTGGGGTCAGGTGCAGGTTCGTCTCTGCTGTAAGAGTTCTATTTTCGGATGCAGTTTCCTTTTCCCTTCTCTCTTTAGCTCCTTCCTGGAGGAACTGAGTGTCGGGCGAGTAGCAACGAGTGTGACCTTCCAGAGTACTGCAATGGCACGTCCCAGTTCTGCCAGCCAGACTTCACGGTTCAGAACGGTCACCCGTGCCACAACGAGGAAGCCTACTGTTACAACGGCGTCTGCCAGTACTACGACGCGCAGTGTCAGGATATCTTTGGCTCGAGTAAGGAAGAGCACGGCGTTACGATTTTTCTGGGAGACATAGCTAAAAGAATACACCGAGTTTATTTAAAATATAGTTACTTGTTTTCGTGTAACAAAGACCAGCTGGCTTTGGCAAAGGATTTGAAATAGTGGTATTTATGGTTTTGCCTTCACACCTTCTTCCTTTGTTACATTTAAGGCTGTGCTGGTGATTCAAGTAGTAATTTTCTTGCGTGGTCATTCCTATTACAGCAGGGCTTCGGGTGTTTTGGGCTGTAAAGAAGCCACGAAGGAATATCAAATGGTACAATTGACTCAATGTTAAGTGACTATTTTTCTCTCTCTCTTTTTAAACTTGGAACCTTGTAGTGCTGCCACGTTCACCTCTTTCTTGTTTTGATCGAGTTCATAAGCTATCTGTGCTGCATGGGAAGTCCTGTGCGTAGCAGGACGACTGCTCTGGGTAAAAGAGATGTGATGAAACGAGCTGTTTCTGTGCCTGTTTAACTTGGTTCCTCTGTCTGGGGGATGGGCTGTTGTTTGCAGAAGCCAAAGCAGCCCCCAACATTTGTTTTGCTGAAGTGAATTCCAAGGGTGACCGATTTGGCAACTGTGGTTTCCATGGCCATGACTACAAGAAATGTTCCAGCTGGTGAGTTGAGCCCAGTGCGTCAAGAAATTCCTAAACATATAATTGAGAATCCTTCCTCCGGTGCTGTAGTATTACTTTGGGGTGCTTTAGCAGGTGCACTGGGGAGAGACATGTTACCCCATAATCTAACCTCATTGACATGTATGTGTCATTCTGAAACCACAGTGAGATAGCTTAGAAAAGATGTGTTTTATCCTGTTTTCTAAAGCTATTATTAATGCTTAAAGCCCCCACACTTAGGCAGTTGTAAGTTTTTTTTTGACTTTTTCAGATTGTCTGACTTTATCTCTTGCACATAGTAGTTGAAATGAGTTTGAATGCTCAGACAATTCTTCCATAGCTGGGTTTGAAGCTCCTGGGCTCGTGCCACAGTTTCCTGCGAGTGCAGTGCTCTGTGGCCCTGGGGGACCTGTGTCTCACGCATTCAGACATGGGGCTGTGGCAAGGAGAGTGTGTCCCACGTCTCCTATCATTGATTGTTCTTATCCTAAGGTGGCCACGTACAGAAAAATAAGTAGCAAATCGTCATGTTTTCGTTAGTGTAAAGATCCTAGCAGCTTACAGAAAGAAGGGATAAATCCATACCCTTGCATCACTGAAATGAGGCCAAGCTCAATTTCGTTTGGCAAGTTGCCTCAATTTTATTTTCGAGTAGTGTCTTCCAGTAGAAAGAAAAGATCATATCAAATGTGTGATAGGCTTTTTCTCGGAATAAATTCAAGTGTCACTACAGTATTCATATGTTGTTGTTGTAGGAACGCCATGTGTGGGAAGCTGCAATGTGAAAATGTGAAAACTATGCCTGTTTTTGGAATTAAGCCTGCTATTATCCAAACTCCCATTGGAGGCACCACGTGCTGGGGTGTAGATTTCCAGCTAGGCTCTGATATCCCAGATCCAGGAATGGTGAATGAAGGCACCAAATGTGATACTGGAAAGGTAATTTACAATTTCAAAGTGATTTCTGACAGTAATAATTCAGGGGGGTTCATGAGAATAAGATTTTCAGCTACGTTATTTCATTGATATTTACGGTGCGTGTAGCTAATGCAGGACTGAGCAGGTCCATTGGTTCCCCACGCTGCCTAGTACTGCACAAATGTAGCAAGCCTTTCTAGATAAAGCAATAGAAATTGAGCTTGTTGGGAGCCAGCATCTTTGCTCTGTTAACGAGCGGGAAGAGCTGGGTGCACACGAATGCCTTTAAGACAGCTTCCAGTTAAAATCCGACTAAGCTAAAAAGCCTGGGGGCTTAGCCCCAGCAGAGGAATGTGCATTCCACACAGCCTTACTGCGGCGTTCAGTCCTGTTCCTTTACGTTCAGACTAGAGACACACGATTCCAGAGGCAGTTCAGGCCCCTGCGGGGGCTTTGCTCTGCCTGGGTGAGCCCGGGGCGGCTGGGGGGCAGGTCGGCGAAGTGCCGCCTCCCCTCCCACTGCCTGCACCTCTGCGTCCCCCCAGATCTGCCGGCACTTCCAGTGCGTGAGTGCCTCCGTCCTGAACTACGACTGCGACGTGGAGAGGCAGTGTCACGGCCACGGGGTAAGTGGTGTCACGGCCAGGGGGTAAGTGGTGTCACGGCCACGGGGTAAGTGGTGTCACGGCCAGGGGGTAGGTGGTGTCACGGCCAGGGGGTAAGTGGTGTCACGGCCAGGGGGTAAGTGGTGTCACGGCCAGGGGGTAAGTGGTGTCACGGCCAGGGGGTAGGTGGTGTCACGGCCACGGGGTAAGTGGTGTCACGGCCACGGGGTAAGTGGTGTCACGGCCAGGGGGTAGGTGGTGTCACGGCCAGGGGGTAAGTGGTGTCACGGCCAGGGGGTAAGTGGTGTCACGGCCAGGGGGTAAGTGGTGTCACGGCCAGGGGGTAGGTGGTGTCACGGCCACGGGGTAGGTGGTGTCACGGCCAGGGGGTGGGTAAGTGGTGTCACGGCCAGGGGGTAGGTGGTGTCACGGCCAGGGGGTAAGTGGTGTCACGGCCAGGGGGTAAGTGGTGTCACGGCCAGGGGGTAAGTGGTGTCACGGCCACGGGGTAAGTGGTGTCACGGCCACGGGGTAAGTGGTGTCACGGCCAGGGGGTGGGTAAGTGGTGTCACGGCCAGGGGGTGGGTAAGTGGTGTCACGGCCACGGGGTAAGTGGTGTCACGGCCAGGGGGTGGGTAAGTGGTGTCACGGCCACGGGGTAAGTGGTGTCACGGCCAGGGGGTAAGTGGTGTCACGGCCAGGGGGTAAGTGGTGTCACGGCCAGGGGGTAAGTGGTGTCACGGCCACGGGGTAAGTGGTGTCACGGCCAGGGGGTAAGTGGTGTCACGGCCAGGGGGTAAGTGGTGTCACGGCCACAGGGTAAGTGGTGTCACGGCCACGGGGTAAGTGGTGTCACGGCCAGGGGGTAAGTGGTGTCACGGCCAGGGGGTAAGTGGTGTCACGGCCACGGGGTAAGTGGTGTCACGGCCACGGGGTAGGTGGTGTCACGGCCAGGGGGTAGGTGGTGTCACGGCCACGGGGTAAGTGGTGTCACGGCCAGGGGGTGGGTAAGTGGTGTCACGGCCAGGGGGTAAGTGGTGTCACGGCCACGGGGTAAGTGGTGTCACGGCCACGGGGTAAGTGGTGTCACGGCCAGGGGGTGGGTAAGTGGTGTCACGGCCAGGGGGTGGGTAAGTGGTGTCACGGCCAGGGGGTAAGTGGTGTCACGGCCAGGGGGTAAGTGGTGTCACGGCCACGGGGTAAGTGGTGTCACGGCCAGGGGGTAAGTGGAGCCGCTGCCCCTGCTGAGCGTCCGCTTGCGGCCGAGTCCTGCTGTGGCCCGCAGAGTTTCTGCGTGCAGCCCTCTGACACCTTCCTCGCGAGAGCACTGGAGTTCTAGAGCCAATGACCGTGCAAATATGTAAACAGGCTTTTTCAATCAAAAGTCCCAGCTCGAGCCAGGTACGCTGTAATTGTGCGTAATCAGGAGAGTCTATATACTAGTCTTTTTTGCACCTAGGAGGTCTTTTGCCCTTCTCTGTTTAAGGCTGTAACTGATGTGGAATAAAGTAATTGTGCTGCTAGATGCGGTGATTAAAAAAAATTCTGTGGGGTTCTTGAGAATGGGTTTTGCTATAAAAAGCTGCTTTTTGGTACTGTTAATGAGAAAAGTGCCTTTAACAGTCAGCAAAAATTGGACCAAAGTTACGTAAGTGGAGGGAGTTTTAAAATGGTAGACAGTAACTTAATTTTTCTGTTTTGTTTAACTGTAAAACTCTATAAAATGTCTCTGGGCAAGAGAGCCTGTAACAGTATCAAAAAAATCTTTGACAAAAGCTCTTGAGATGATTTTTTTTTTTTTGCCAAGCAAGAATTCCCAATTCCAGTATTACTAATGTAATTCGAAACTCCGCATCTCACAATAAAAAAGAAAAAGCCATGCAGTTGAAGCCGTTAGAACAGCTAATCCTTGGCAGCTGGTCCTGCCCCACGCTGCGCTCGCCCAGGCGCGGGTACGGTCGGGGCGCCTGGCCGGGCGGCTCCGGGCTGCTGGCCAGAGTGGAGCGGGCCCGCGGGAGGACGCGGGAGGAGCTGAGGGGACCCGATTGCCATGTTGGTGTTGTTCAAACCCAGGTGTGCAACAACAACAGGAACTGTCACTGTGAAGCAGGCTGGGCCCCTCCTTACTGCGACGTGACGGGCTACGGCGGGAGCCTGGACAGCGGCCCGCCTTACAACGGCAAGTACCGGCGGGGCTGCTGCGGCCGGGCCCCCGGCCCTGGGGCCGCTCCGACTGCTGACGGGCCGGGGGCTGGCTCTGCACCAGCTTCCCTTCACAAACTATTCCAGTCAGGGTTTTGGGCTCGAGGTGCTGCACGTCTCTCTTCTGGGACGCTGGGGGTCTGTAACGAAGCTGGGCTGGTCTCACTGCCTTCAGGTGATTTCTGCCACCTTGGGCCAGGATCCTCCTGGACTTCTCCGTATCCAGTCCGGGAACGGAAGGCCCCTTCTGTTCTTAGAGCCAAACAAAACCTGAAGTTTGGCTGAGGATGTGGGTTCAAATCCGTGGATGTGAATCTGCGTCTCCATAAGGACGTGTGGCTTCTCGCGGTGGTGGCAGGGACGAGTAGCTGCCCTGTTCTGGTAGCTGCAGGTAGTTGCCTGTGAACCTGCAGTGCAGTCAGGACTAACGTTGACAAATCATTATTTTATTAATGCTTATCATTTGAGTTCAGACAGAATGCTTTGTTTGGCAGTAAATACCAATGGAGTCCCTGACCCAAACAACTTACAGTATGGAAGAGAAGTACGCAGTAAAGAAGCAGGGAGATACAGGAGCTTGTGACACTATATTTGCAGGCAGCTCACTGCATTTTTTTGTGGAGGGAAGAGATAGGTTGGGGAGGGAATTTTGTGTTGGTTTGTTGGTGTGGGTTTTTGGTTGGTTGGTTGGGTTTTTTTGTTGTTGCTGTTTTGTTTTGTGTTTTTTAATGTAGTTTTTCCCTCAGGAAAGGTACTAGGTCAGTGTGACGTGGCCAGATATCTGTTTGAATGCAAGAGTGGGAAAATGGTGACCGGGGCAGGGAAACACAATTCATGCACGTGAGAAAGCAAACTGAAAGAGGCTGTGAAGCTTGCTTTTCTCACTGGCAGTTTGAAGATGAAATAGGAAGCCAAATCCAAGCTGTAAGTTGGAGAAAACTTGTGCAGTGCCCATGTGAAGTATATAGGGACAGGATTGATGTAGTCCCTTCTATGAGCTGCAAGAATGATCTTGAAGACTGTTTTTCGTAAGATGGTGTGGGTTTTGGGGAAGCTAGACACTACGTTGATGCGATAACAGACTGGGCAGTTGCGTTGGAGCATGGACAGATGCTTCAAATCATCAGACAAAAAAAAGGGAAAGGCTTTTTTTTTTTTTTCCACAGCCTGCAGTGGAGAAATTTGCTACATGTAAAAATGTGGAGATTGTTAAGAACTTGAGTTCTTTGCCTACTGCAAACTATGGTAGGAAGATTTAGGAACAGACCAAAGGGCAGAAGCTCTGTTTTCCTCTTTCAGTCAAGCTCTGAAGATCTTCGCGGTAATGTAGTGACAGAAAAATTAGGTATTGATCTAGTAATTCAATATGCTGTTATATCCCGGGATATCATGGCACATACAGTTCTTTCATCTTTGACCAGACAATCCCTGTGAAAAGGTAATCAGAAAAGAATATACTTGGGCATATATCTTGCAGTCTTACTAGATTCTTTAGCTTTTTCTTCTATGGAAAAGGGAAAATAGTTGTAGAACCAATCTTACCAAATATTCACTGCTACAATGAATCAGGTGGTGGTAATGCCATGTAATGCCATGTAATACTTTTTTCTTCTTCTTTGGGGACAAAACAAAGACACCTCACTGAGAAATGGGCTACTGGTATTTTTTTTCCTGGTCCTCGCCCTCCTTATAGCGACTGCTCTGGCATTTGCAAAAAGAGACAAGCTGAAGCGATGCTGTAGAAGATTAATGTCACACTGCCATTCGTGAGTACCTTCTCCTTTTTACCTTCTCCTTTGCCCTTTTGAAATAGTCCAGAGACATTTGTTTGCACCAGCCAGGGCCCAAGTACGGAGGCATATTCCAGTCCCAAGGTGTCGGGCAAAGGCCCTGCATCAAATGATGCATGTAGCTTGCCCCAGGCAGAAAAGATAAATTCATCTTCAATTGAGGGAGCAGAGAACTTCCTTTTTAATGTTCTGTTTGCTGCCATGCATGGGTGATGGGGTTTATATTTTTGGGGTTCCACCTTTAGTATGAAGTGGCGAAATGAAGCTGTCACAGTCCTAAGCAGAAAAAGGGCTATATTGTTTATTAGATACGTGGCAAATACTATCTTCCTGACATCTGATATGTACTAAGATAAAATAAATCCATCTAGCGGGTTCGAAATGCTTGGGTTCACAGCCTGCATAGTCATTCTGTCCAGGTCGGATGCTCACACAGTCCGTATCGATTGGATTTCAGGTCAGTTCCGTCACCACCTCCTAGAACAGAAACCGAACCGAGAGACTACCACCAGAGAGGCTTTTCACACGGCATGCCTTATGCTGCAAGAGGGGTTCCCATGGTAGGAATGACCCACTCTTCATTACTTACTTGCTATCTGTTATTCTAAAGTAACAGATGAAGACAGTTTATATAGTTTTTGTCCTAATAAAAGCTTCAAAGTTACTTTACTTCTTCATTCCTGCAAATTGGGTTTTCTCTTCACTAAGAGGCAGAAAGAATGATTATTTCCTAAGGCGTGTGGAGGGAATTCCTCGGTTTCCCACTGCTTAAGCTTTTTTATGGGCTGTGCTTGGCTTGGCAAGCATTTACCTGCCTTGCTGCCCCCCTTGCCCCACCTGAGGAGGGCAGCAATCCTTGCCAGCTCCCTTATCCCACTCCTTTGCAGACCAGTTACCTCTCTGAATGCAATAACTAGCCAAAGCACGCTCGCAGAAGAAATCAAACGCTTGTTGTGATCAGCCTTTCTGTTTTTCCAAAATACAGTATTTTCTAGACTGCTGTTGCTTCTTTCTACTGAGTTTCTCAGAAGGAAAGAGCAACTCTGACATTTCCAGGTTTGTTGCAAGTGTTAAATGTCACTTAACTAAACAAATACTTCAATTCCCTATGTGCAAATTTGTGAATGTTCTCATTATGTTTTCTTCATAGGATATGGAACCAAATACCTTTCCTGTGCCGTCTTACCCAGTTAACCAGCATCCTCAGCAGGCTTATCACCAGTTTTACTACCCGTCTCCGCAGTACCAGGCACAGCAGCCACAGAAGCTGCCGACAAGGTTGGATGAGTTATTGCAAATAACTATTGGCAGTTGCACAGATATATAGAGAGATTGTCACTGCCTTCATCTCTGTAAGCATTAGGGCTCTTCATCATGTGGATGATGAAGTAAACAACATGTATTATAATAATCGTAATATAATACTAATATGTATTACATAATGAATATACTAATAATCATCATAATCATCCCGTATTATATGCATCAGGACTGACCTATTATTGGAAGAAGTTTCTCCTTCATTTCACACCGTGGAACTAAAGTGCTATTACCCATAGCATTTGTTTTACACGCCGTCATAGCTACGTTGAGATTAACGGGTTTCAGAATGCTTTTCTGGAGCCAGATTAGCCCTGCATACAGGTGAACAAAATGCCTCCCAAAATGCGCAGCTTAAAAAGGAATTACTAAATCTGTCATTTTGCTGATTCATGAACATTATTGCCAAGTTCACGATCATTTCTCATTAACTTTGAACTGAAAGTTCTCCTTTATTTTTCAATTTACTTTTTAATTGTACTTCTAAGATGTAATGCCCATGCCATGCCATAAAACACACGTATGCAGGAAGCACAGGGTATCGCGAGGGGCTACTTCAAAAGAGCTTCTGTGTTGGTGGGAAACGGTGGGAGTCTTTCAACTATTTTTGGGGAAAACGTTGTGTTAACAGACGGGGGTTCCCTGGGGATTTCAGGCAGTGGCAGGCAGAGTCAGCGCGGCGTGTTCCCAACGAGCCCGGGGCTGGGGGGCGAGGGGGATGCTGCTGTGGGATGCGGTCACCCGGACTGACACCAGCTCCTCTGTCCTCCGCAGGCCCCCGCCTCCCCAGCAGAAGTGTGCACCTCAGGGACCTCCTCCTCCACAGCAGAAACGTTTACCTCAGGGACACTATTTTCCTTCTCGACCGGCACCTTTGCCTCCCAAATAGCTTTTGGCTTCTTGGGGCCTTGGCGTGAGCTGACCAGTTCACTGAGGCAGAGCTGAAATTGCAGTTACCCTCCTTGCATTGAGCGGCCCGCGGCGGTCCCGGGAAGCCTGCCTCCTGCAGCCTGGGATAAGGCGAATGATACTGAAACGCGGAATGTAAAACTTCAAACTAAATACCTCTACCAAAGCTACAGGAACCGAAAACATCTGACCCGTTTGTAGATCTGAGTATTGTGGCTTTGTAAACTGCAGCAGGGCTGGCCAGCTGGAAGTGGAGCAGCCTGCAGTGAAATAATCTCGGAAGTACAGCACTTGGGAGTTGCTTTTGGTTTCCCGATTTCTGCGATCAGCCCTGATCATGAAATTGTCTGATTTGTTGTCATCTTTCTAAATGTACAGCGAAGAATTGACGTACCCCCTATCGTTCTCAAAACAAGGAAATCTGGCCAATTTAAAATTATTTTGCATGGACTGGAAAATGTTACCCATTTACACATTAATGGCACAAATGAAACAAGGTATCAGCGTACCTTTTCAGAGGAAGATAAATCTATTGTAAACATGTTTATGCATGTATATATGTTTATTGACGTGTAATAATGCACTTAAATACTTTCATGCTGACTGACACTGAGCTGTGCTACACGAGCACTAGAGTTAATGGTTTTAAGTTAGTACTCGTGACTTGTTAAATGAGAATCCTGTACTAATTTCCACTAATACCATGAACGGGCAATGAAAATGAAGGTACGAAAAGACATGCCCATATTTTGGTTTTAAAAACCTCGAGCTTTTAATTTGGGTCTAAAACTGAGTAGCAGTCCCTGCAGAACACCAAGAAGCAAAAACTGTTGATCTGCCTAGACCCCCCCCGGGCCGCCCTGGGCCCAGGACCCTGCTGCCTGGTGCGGCCCTTCCACCCGCATCGCTGCCAGCCGATGCTGCCGGGGACCTTGCGTTAGCTTGGGCTGGCCTCCGTTTCTACACCCCTGACTGAACTCGGGTTTAAAACCCTTTCTGAAAAGGAGCGTTCAGCATTTGGCGTGCTGGCCGAGGAGGGATCTGTTAGTCGTGAGATCCTTGTGCCGTGGGTAGAAACTGGGCGGTGGTGGTCGCGAATAGAAATCTGTTGCACAAGCTTGCTAGAAGTGAAATAAGTACTGAAAAGAGTGCTTGGCTTTTTCAGTTTGTGGTAGCCACTGAGTACAAACTCAATCTGTAAAATCCCCCGTAACAATGCAAAAAAAAAATATATTTTCCTCTGTACATACATATATAAATATATATATATATATATATATATATATATATAGTGTTTGCATTTGCAGTAATAAAATACTTGAACTCCTGTGGCTTCCCATAAACTTAGACTAAGATTTATAACACTATTAAAATATGTAAAACGTCACCTAGCATATCACCAGATGTTTTTGTGGGGGTCTTCTGTTTGTTCCAAGATAATCACTTCCTAATTTTTGTTGTGTTCTACTCCTTTGGGCTGTCTGTCTGTCTGTCTGTGCCGATTTGCTCCGCAGCTGAACGCGCAGATGTCGGCGGGAGCGTCTCGGCGGGGGGGGTCCGGGGGGGGTCCGGGGGGTGAGGTCACCCAGGAGAAAGACTCGGTTGTGTTTGAAGCTGTATGCGTGAACTAAAACTGTGCTGAAAACGGTGCCTTTTACTAGATAAAGAGTTTTTATACTTGCAGCGTGCGCGTTGGCAATGTTTGCAGGGCGGGGGTGGAGGGCAGCGAACACGCGGGTTTCGGGCGTGGTCCTGGGGCGTGGAACGGGCTCGCGCTGTCCGGCCGTGGGGTACCGGGGCTGGCTCCCCCCTTGCTGGAAGCCTGCGCTCGCCCCGAGCCCCGGGCCGCTCCGGAGGCGGCGGCCGCGCCCCCCCCGCACGCGTGTAAACCCCACGGAGACCCCGCGGTGCGGTCGGGCGCGGGCGGGCGGTCTGTCCCGGCCCCTCCGTACGGACCGAACGAGCAGTAACGGTGCCGGTGTTGGACGAGGCGCCCTGGTCCCCCTCCGCGCGGGCGCGGGCGCGGGGCCGTTACCGGTCGGGAGATGGGGCCGCGCCGGGCGCTGCCGCTGCTGCTGCCGCTGCTGCTGCGTGAGTCCGGGCCGGGCCCCCCCGCCCCGCCGGGGGCCGGGGGCGCGCTGGTCACCCCCAAGGGCTCTCTCCCCCCAGGCTGGCCGGTGCTGTCCCAGGTCACGGTCCCGCTGCGGCTGCCGGCAGAGGCGGCACCGGGACAGGCACGTTGGGGCGGGGGGGGGGGAGAGCGCGGCCCCCGGCTTGGGGGGGCCCAGATGTGCCGGCAGCTGCACGGAGGCGCCAGCTCCTCGGGGAAGCCCTGGGCTCTCGCCCCCGGCGCCCGTAGTTGCCCTCGGGGCACGCTTCCCCGAGGGCGGCGCTGCTGACCCCTCCTCTCTCCCCTCTGCGCCCGCGGAAGGACGCGCTGTCCTACGCGCTGAGGATCGAGGGGCGGCCCTACACCGTGCGCCTGCGGCAGCAGTAAGTCGGCCCCGGCGGTGCCCCGTCCGGGCGCTGCGGTCCCGTTTGGGGATGGGGCGGGGGTGCCCCACGCACCCCGAGTGCCGAGGGGTGGCAGAGGCCCGCAGCAGGGTTTGGGGGATGCTCGTGCCCCCCAGCCCCGATGCCAGCGGGTTCCGGCATCGCCGGTGCAGCAGCGCAGGCGGCAGCACCTGGAATCAGCTCGAGAAACTGGGCGAGATACTAATTTAAGGGCCTCAGTTTGCACCTTTCTTTTTCAGTGTCTTCTTATCTGATGACTTCAGGATTTATGTGTCTAATGAGAAAGGATCTTTGCGCTCTGATTCAGCCCCTATCAAGGTAACCTTGGATTGCTTTGGGGTTTTGAACCGTAAGTGTTGCAGCGCAGAGCTGGTTTCCAGTTCAGCTGGTTGGGTGACGGGCGAGGGAGTTCCCTCCACGGCCACGGACGGGGCTCCTTGTCTCTGTCGTGATGCAGGGGGGCTGCCACTACCGGGGGTACATCGAGGGCTTCCCCGGCTCGGCAGTGACCCTCAGCACCTGCTCGGGGCTCAGGTAACGACCCGACACCTCCCCGAGCTGCTGGGCCTTTGCTGCGGGGAGGGTGAGCCCCGGGGTGCTGTAGGGGAGCCCTGGGGTGCCGTGGGTGAGCCCTGGGGTGCTGCGGGTGAGCCCCGGGGTGCCGTGGGGGAGCCCTGGGGTGCCGTGGGTGAGCCCTGGGGTGCCATGGGGGATCCCTGGGGTGCCGTGGGGGAGCCCCGGGGTGCCGTGGGGGAGCCCTGGGGTGCTGCAGGTGAGCCCTGGGGTGCCGTGGGGGAGCCCCGGGGTGCCGTGGGTGAGCCCTGGGGTGCCATGGGGGAGCCCTGGGGTGCCGTGGGTGAGCCCTGGGGTGCTGTGGGGGAGCCCTGGGGTGCTGCAGGTGAGCCCTGGGGTGCCATGGGGGATCCCTGGGGTGCTGCAGGTGAGCCCTGGGGTGCCGTGGGTGAGCCCTGGGGTGCCATGGGGGAGCCCTGGGGTGCCGTGGGTGAGCCCTGGGGTGCTGTGGGGGAGCCCTGGGGTGCTGCGGGTGAGCCCTGGGGTGCCATGGGGGATCCCTGGGGTGCTGCAGGTGAGCCCTGGGGTGCCGTGGGTGAGCCCTGGGGTGCTGCAGGTGAGCCCTGGGGTGCCATGGGGGATCCCTGGGGTGCTGCAGGTGAGCCCTGGGGTGCCGTGGGTGAGCCCTGGGGTGCTGCAGGTGAGCCCCGGGGTGCTGTGGGGGAGCCCCGGGGTGCCGTGGGGGAGCCCTGGGGTGCCGTGGGTGAGCCCTGGGGTGCCGTGGGGGAGCCCTGGGGTGCCGTGGGGGATCCCTGGGGTGCTGCAGGTGAGCCCTGGGGTGCCGTGGGTGAGCCCTGGGGTGCCATGGGGGAGCCCTGGGGTGCCGTGGGGGAGCCCTGGGGTGCTGTGGGTGAGCCCTGGGGTGCCGTGGGTGAGCCCTGGGGTGCCATAGGGGAGCCCCAGGATGCTGTGGGTGAGCCCTGGGGTGCCGTGGGGGAGCCCTGGGGTGCCGTGGGGCTGGGGCTGGGCCGGCACAGCCTCCCTGTCGCGGCTGCGAGCGCCCGGTGGCACGTGGCCGGTGCCGTCGCCTTGTCAGGGGGCTGCTGCAGTTTGAGAACGTCAGCTACGGGATCGAGCCCCTGGGTTATTCTCCTGCGTTCGAGCACTTTGTGTATCGAGTGAGCGACGAGAAGCCGGCAGGGTCCCTCCTGGCCCGGGGCCACGCCGGGCTGGCGGCAGAGGAGATGATTTTGCCGTTCACGTACCTTGAAGTGAGTGGGTGCCTGTTCTCGGGGTGGTGCTGGTGGCCCCGCCACGCGAGGAGGGGTCCGACCCGCAGGGAGCTTGGTCCGGAGTCGCCTGGGCAGGCAGAGATGGGGCGGCTTTAGGAGTGCTGGTGATGGAGACGGGGCATTGTATGGACCGTTGCTCTTCTAGTGCCTATGAGAGGTGTCACCAAGGTAGAATGACTTCTGAAAAAATCAGAAATGGCTAAGTAGGAATGCGTTCCTACCTTATGCTAATTTGAAGACAGCATCAAAACATTTCTTTTGAATGGACACTTGAGTAGTGTAGCAAAACTCAGGAGGAAGATGACTAGAATGTAGAAGTAAGTAGCATCAGAGCCCATTTTCTTTTTCAGCCACTGCCAGCTGCAGCACGATCTCCCAAATACTTCCAAGTGTATGTAATTTTGGACAAGGCTTTGGTAAGTCTGTGCCAGTCATTTTCTCCTTGTGTTTGCCTGCCTTCTGTGAGCACAGAAACGGTGCCATTTCACAGCTTTTATATGTGTTTGTTTTCCCTTTTGAAAAGTTATATGTACTGTGGATTTTGTAGGAAAGAATGAAAATTCGTAGCTCACATTTACATGATTGGATGTGGGCAACCGTTTCAGTGTTTCAAGGTCGTTCCGCTTCATCACGGTAAATGCCTTATCTGCTCTTATGTCCACTTGGGTTATTTTTCAGTACAACTATATGGGTTCAGACACAAGTGCTGCGACACAGAAGATAATCCAGGTCTTCAATTTAGTCAACAATGTAAGTTTTAAAGTCTGATTTGTATCATAGCAAGATGATGGGGTGGTTTGGTGACAGTAATGGCCACCTATTTCCCAGCTGCTTTTGGTTTTAGGAGTTAGTGATGTAAAAAATTCCAGGTCCTGGCTCGCGAAGTTCTGGCCGCGATGGCTGGGCATGGCCTGGCCGGAGCTCCTCGCTCCTCGGCAGCCTGGGCCAGGCTTGATCAGAGGTGGGCGAGGGGTTTAGTCCCAGTGGGCTAATCCGGAGGCTTAACTGTGAAAATGTGCTCTTGTAAAGCTGTGACGGCACGGGCGGTGCGGTCCTTGCTGGGGTTATGGTTAGCTGCTTGCGCTGAGTGTTGAGCTGTGAGAAGTCGGTATCGAGCAGAATTCTGTTTAGCAGAACGGAGCAGGAATTGGCCGGGCCTGGCCACTGCCCCCCCAGCTCCATATTTCCAAGCTGTCTGGCGCTGACAGCCCGGGAGGGGTTTCCCGAGGGGGTTTTCTCCAGACACGTCACTCTGCCACAGATGAACACCCTTCCGCGTGCGCTGGCAATGCCCGCGCAGATGTTCAGAAATGCAGGTGCTTTGCCTTAAGGCAGCCAGAGTCCGACGTTTTGAGGTTTCCTAGATCGTTCCCGTCTCTGTGCTGCAGATCTTGTCTCACTGATCAGCCACACAGCTACTCTGCTTCCACTCAGCTGCTTGCGAGCAACTTCTATTCCTGTTCTTCATCCACTGGTGCTGTTACGATTCATGTATAACAGCAAGTTATTCACAAAAACCCTAAAACCTTCCTAGGAAGTTATTAGGCTTTGTTCTCATGCCTCTCGGTACATCTTTCTAATTTTCAGGTTTGTTCATTCTGTTTGTCATAGAGATGCCATGCAGTGGCTGGCAATAGCAATTGGCTTTCCCGGTGTGATTTACTGTGCATAGGGCTGTAATAATGCTCAGAAGGAAAGATACGGGAGCAGGCGTTGCCTCTGTTACTCTTTCAGATGTTTAATCCTCTGAATGTTACCATTGTGCTGTCCTCCCTGGAGCTGTGGACAGAGGAGAATAAACTATCGACAGCAGGGGAAGCGGATGACCTTCTACAGCGATTTCTACAGTGGAAACAGTCATACCTCGCTCTGCAGTCGTATGACACCGCTTATCTACTGGTGTAAGATCAACGTTTCCCTACTTGTTAAAGGTTACACGGCAGAAATCAGTTAAACCAAAGTAGGCTGAGCTATAAAGATTCCCATGGAAAAGGTTTTTTTTAAAAGAAACATATTCCTTAGATATTTCCTAATTCCTTAATATTCTGAAAGTCTTTCTTTCAAGACAAACGGTCTAGCCCCCCTTTCCGTGCGCCGCGGTCCCGCCAGCCCCTGGCCGGGGGGAGGCTCCGGTGCTGCCCTGGCAGGGGGATGGCTGCAGCCCCGCACCCTGCCTGGCCCTCGGGAGCCGGGCCCCGGCTGGGGGCACCGGGGCCGGCGGAGCAGCCCAGGGGGGCCGAGAGGGACTCGGGCTGCGCGGACCCGGCGTCCCCCCCGTCACCCGCGGCGACCGGGCGTCCCGGGCGCTGAGCGCACGTGTGCTTCAGGTACAGGGAGCGCGCAGCGTTCGCGGGCACCACGGCTCCGGGGAAGGCGTGCCAGAGGGACGCTGCCGGCGCAGTGGCCGTGGTACGGTGCCGCCCGTCCCCCGCTGCCCGCCAAGCCGGAGCCCCCGCGCCCGCAGCCGGGCTCGGCCGGGCTGGGCGCCGGGAAGGCGCAGCCGCGGCAGCCCGGCTCTCGCCTCCCCCCAGTACCAAGGGGCCGCGACGCTGGAGTCCTTCTCCGTCCTGCTGGCCCAGCTGCTGGGCCGCAGCCTGGGCATGAGCTACGACGGCTCCCGCGGCTGCCGCTGCCCCGGGCGCGTCTGCCTCATGAGCCCGGAGGCGCGGTGAGTTGGGGGGCTGGGGGGGTCGGGGGCCCGGCCGGCTCGTGCAGCCGCCCGGTCGCGGGCTGTCCCCTCGCCGGGGGCGTCCTCGCCGAACGTCACTGCAGCCACAGTTGCAGCAGGTCGGGGAGATGCCTTCCCTTAGGGGGGAGCAAGAGTAATCGTGCCGTTAGGGATTCGGTGCTTCGTCTGAAAAAAGCGGCCCGTTCTCTCCGGCAGCAGGACACTTCTAAATGCCTCTCGGTCTCTGCTGAAATGCCCTGTGCGATCTGGTCCGGCGAGCGAGCTCCCGGCGCGCGGGGCACCGTTGCGCCTTGTGCCGGCACCGGAGCGAGTCGTGATGGCACAGAGATGCGGCGGGGGGCGACGGGGGCGGGTGTGCTAACGCATCGACGGACCATTGCTTCATCTTAGCCGTTTCAGTGGGGCAAAAGCCTTCAGCAGCTGCAGCATCGAGGACTTTGAAACCTTCCTGAGGCACGGTGGAGGCGTGTGCCTTTCCAATAGACCCCGCTTGACCGGACTGTCCGACCGCCGAGCGCCCGCCTGCGGCAACGGCGCGGTGGAGCCCGGCGAGCAGTGCGACTGCGGCGGGGCGGAGGTGGGTGACACGGAAATTGCGGCTAAAGATGTAGATTTGTACCCTTTGAATGTTTAGAATAATGGAAGCTTGAGACCAGGGGCACAGCTGAAGTAGAGGCCAGCCCAAAAAGGATCACTTCGGGAGTTGAATTTTTTCCATGATGACATCGATCTGATGGCAGCTTTGCCCACTTTCTTCTGCTAGATACAGCCCAAGTGTAACTTTTTGGGGGGAAGAAGGAAGAGAAGAACCTCCGACAGTAAAAAACCTCTGAGGGAACAAAAAAGTGGAATAACATGATTTTGTGATGTGTCCTCAGGCATGCTTGAAAGATAAATGCTGTACACCGACATGTCAGTTCAAGCCAGGAGTGAAATGTTCCTCTGGATTATGCTGCAGTGAATGTCAGGTAAGGCACGTTTGTTGTCATTACTGCAAGATCCTTATTTATTTTTGGAGAAATGGTACGTCCCCATGCTGAAGGATGGGCCAAGCTTTCTGCCGTGCCGTCGGAGAGGTTCCTGGGGAAGGGCTTTCCAGCTCAGCTCCCTGAGACCCCCGGGAGGGATGTTACTGGGGGGAGGGCGTCTTGGCGAGCGCAAGAGGCGCGTGGGGGCCCGAGCGGCTCAGAGGGGGCCCGAGGGGCCGGGCCGTGTCTCAGGACGGCGCCGGGAGGGGACCTCGCTGGCGGGTGTGGAAGGACGGCGAGCAGAGTCCCTCCTGCCTCCTCTGCCAGTTCAAGCAGAAAAACTCGCCGTGCCGCCCGGCCGCCGACGCGCAGTGTGACCTGGCCGAGTTCTGCAGCGGGTCCTCCGCGTCCTGCCCCCCCGACCTGTACGTGCAGGACGGGCACGGCTGCGAGCACGGCACCGGCTACTGCTACAAGGGACGCTGCCAGTCTCCGGACCTGCAGTGCCGGCGGCTCTACGGGAGAGGTAACGGGGGCTGCGCTGGTGCTGCTGGTGCTGCTGGTGTGCCCGGGCGCAGCAGGTGGCCGCAGGAGCAGCGCTGCTCGGTTGTGTCTTTGCTCTCGGCGGTGCCGATCTCAGGCCGGTGTCACCGTGTGTTTTTAGCCTGGTTCTGGTGGAGATGAGGGTTTGTGGCTGGTCGGTAAGTCGTTTCTGATACTTCCCCCCCTGAGCCCGAGCCCAGTTTCAAGCACCCGCTGAGGCAGGAGGGTTTTTGGGGTCTGCACTCGCACGTTTCTGGTGACAGTGGTGAGGCCCAGCGCCCCGGGCAGGGCTTGGCCGTGCGTCCAGCTGCCCCTCGGGCGTGCGGCTTGGGCAGGAGGGGGAGCAGAGGCGGTGGGCGCGGGACCCGAAGGGAGGGCGGAGGGGAGGAGGGGGGCACCCAAGGAGGGCAGGACACAGCTTTGGGAAAGAATCGCAAGCTCGGTTTTGACTCAAAGTACGGTTCAGCAGCATGTGGTTCTCCCCGTTCCTCAGAGATACCTGTGGAAACAACAACAGCAACAAAGCAGATTATTATCTGTGAGCAAACTTAATCAGTGAACTAACCTGCTGCCCCATGCTAACCTGAACTAATCCTGTGTTTCTGGGGTTCAGGACTGCTGAGGGTTTGGCAGCTCAGGGACAGGTATTATATTTTCTCTAATTAGTGAATAGCATGTGTGTTCTGCTGTGAACAGGATGAAAAATTAAAAAGTTATTAGATATCATAATATGTCAATTTCTGTTCCTTTAAATTGTAATAAATATTATTGCTAAACTTGTAGGTTCAAAAAATGCTCCTGTGGCTTGTTACGAGGAACTCGGTGCTCAGCAGGACAGATTTGGACACTGCGGGGTCCGGCGCGGACAAGGCTATAAGTCCTGTACTTGGAGGTATGCTCCAGGGAAAGGACACTTGCTCTGCCAAAAATATATATTCAGTTGGGGCTTTAGAGTTGAGGGCGGTATCAAGACTCCAGTTGACAGTAAGATGCGTGAAGCACTAGAGTTACGTGCGTGTTCTCCTTGTCAGTAGTACGGTGTCTCTCCTTAGGTCACAGATCATCTCTTGGGTTTCCCAGTCCTGCTGGTTTTCCCTTCTCATGCAGTGCTCCAGATCTGTGTCGTGCCATCTGTTTTCAGGTGTTTCACCAGGCAGCACACACATATATGTGTGTGATACACATCCTATGCAAATTGATCTTACAGGAATCTCAGATGTGGAAAGTTGGTCTGCACGTACCCGTACAGCACTCCCTTTCCATCAGATGTTGCTGCTGTTGCTTACGTCCAAGTGCGCGAGCATTTGTGCGTGTCTTTGGATTATTTGAATGCACCATCAAGGCTGGATCCTATTCTGGTTCCGCCAGGTACAAAGTGTGGTTCTGGAAAGGTGAGGAAACATTTTATACTCATCTAAAATGCCAGATATAAACTGTAAATATTAACAAGGTTTTAGAAATACTTGCTCCTTTGCACTGTAAGTGTACTTGATATTTACACCGTAAAAACACGCAAATGGTACATGAAAGGTTTGGCACGGTGTAAGCATTAGACAGAGCCCAACCCCAAGATAGTAACTGTAGCTTTCTAAAAGCACCGTTGTTGGTTTTTTTGGAAGTAGTCTATTTTCACTCCCTTTTGGGATGTAAGACTGATGGGCCGAGTGCTGCGGTGCTGAAGCAATGCTGAACTAGAACTGTGGTGGTTTCTCCCAGGTGTGTATAAACAACACTTGTCACCCACATTCGGTCCTGGGGTACGACTGTGACAGCCAAGTGAAGTGCCACGGCCACGGCGTAAGTCGCTCCACGCGCGCGGTGCTGCCGCGGGCCGGCGGCTTTGGCATAAAGATTTGCTGCGGTTTGTGTGGGAACCGGTCCGAGACCCGTTTTAGGCTGATGCTCTACAAAATTGTGCCCTCGTCGGCTAATGCATGGAGTAAAACCTTGTAAATTATTGGTCCTAAAACCAATATCAAAATTCAGTGATGGTTTTCGGTCACAAAAATGGAGAGTTTGACAGTTTGTTTGGTTTATGGAGGGGAAAGATAAGAACGTAAAATTGAAGGAACGTGGAATTGAGGTCAGTGGAGCTGGCGCAGGTACCGAATGCCGCGTGGCCGTAGGGAGCCGGGGAGCTGCGCTGCGCTGCGTGGGGGCTGCCGGGCTCTCCGGACCCCGGCCTGGCTCCGGGGAGCCGATAGCCGGGGCGAGCCGCTCCCGGTTTCCGTTTATCAGAGGAATGCACGCGGGGGTTGCAGGAGGGCGATGCTTTATGCTTGTTCAGTGTCTCAGGGCTGTTGGAGCCTGCCCTGCACGGCGTGCTCCTCGCCTGACACGCTTCCTAAACCGCCGCAGTGCTGGTGAGCGCGCACAGCCCTGTCCCCGCGCGACCGACGCCGGGCTGGGCGGGAGAATCCGCGGTGTGAATTCATTACTAACCTTTACCACCCGCCCCCGGGCCTTTCAGGTGTGCAATAATAAGAGACACTGCCACTGCCACCCCGGCTGGCAGCCCCCCGACTGCCGGCGGAGGGGGTCCCGCCTGGGGGGAAGCATCGACAGCGGCTTGCAGGTGGCGGAGAGCGGTTAGTAGCGGCAGCGGCGGAGGGGACGGGCGCCGGGCTGGGGTCCCCTGCCCGCCGCCACCTGCGCTGTCTCCTGCCAGGCCTGGGGGTCCAGCGAGCACTGGAGGGGATGGTGCCGACCTGGCCCGTGCTGGGCTCCTGCCTCCTCCTCCTCCTCCTCGCCGGGACCTTCTGCCTCGTCATCTGGCAGCCTGCGCTGGGCCGGTGCTGCGGGCGGCAGCCCCCGAGCACGGAGGGGTGAGCGGGACCCTCCCTGGCACCGGATCCATGGCGGGGGGACAGGGGGGTGCCGGGTCGGGATCCCCAGGGGAAGGGGGGGGGGGCTGGGGGGATCCCCGGGGCTGAGGTGATTCCCGGGGGGAACATGAGGAGATTCCCTGGGGCTGAGATGATGCCCCCATGGCTGAGGTGATTCCCTGGGGGAGAAGGGGCTCATTCCCAGGGGGGGAACATGAGGAGATTCCCCGGGGCTGAGGTGATTCCCTGGGGGACTAGGGGGTCATTCCCAGGGGGAACATGAGGAGGTTCCCGGGGCTGAGGTAACCCCCAGGGCCGGGGACTCCCTGGGGGCGTCAGGGCTGAGGCACCGCCCCGGGTCTGTGCGCAGCCCCGGCACCGAGGAGGGCAGCGACGGCCGGGACACGGGCACGGACACGGACACGGGCACGGACACAGGCACGGGCACGGGCATGGACATGGACACGGGCACGGACACGGGCAGGGACACGGGCACGGACACGGGCACAGACACGGGCACGGGCACGGGCACAGACACGGGCACGGGCACGGGCATGGACACGGGCATGGACACTGACACGGAGCCGGAGCCGGGGCCGGGGCAGCAGCGCGGGCACTAATAAAGGCGTTGGGCAGAGCTGCGTGTCCAGAGCTACTCTGTGCAGGGCGGCGGGGCCGTTACAGGTGGGGCCGTTACCAGTGCTTCCCCGTTACCGGTGGTGCCCGTTACTGGCACTGCCCATTACCAGTGGGACCTGTTACAGGCAGTGCCCGTTACTGGCAGTGCCCATTACCAGTAGGACCAGTTACCAGTGGTGCCCGTTACTGGCACTGCCCCATTACCAGTGGTGCCCGTTACTGGCACTGCCCCATTACCAGTGGGACCCGTTACTGGCACTGCCCCGTTACCTGTGGTGCCCGTTACTGGCACTGCCCCATTACCTGTGGGACCTGTTACAGGCAGTGCCCGTTACTGGCACTGCCCCATTACCTGTGGGACCTGTTACAGGCAGTGCCCGTTACTGGCAGTGCCCATTACCAGTAGGACCAGTTACCAGTGGTGCCCGTTACTGGCACTGCCCCATTACCAGTGGTGCCCGTTACTGGCACTGCCCCATTACCAGTGGGACCCGTTACTGGCATTGCCCCATTACCTGTGGTGCCCGTTACTGGCACTGCCCCATTACCTGTGGGACCCGTTACTGGCACTGCCCCATTACCTGTGGGGCCCGTTACTGGCACTGCCCCGTTACCAGTGGGACCCGTTACCAGCGGTGCCCGTTACTGGTCGCGATGGGGCCGTGCCTGGCTCTGCTGGCCACACTGGTGGCCACGCTGCGTGAGTGGGATCCCGCCCCGCACCCCCGGGCCCCCCTGTGGCACCCGCTGGCCGAAGGGCCCCCCTGTTCCCCTCCCCTTCCCCCCACCACCCCCAGCACGATCCCTCCCAGCCAGGCGCGCAGGGACCTCATGGGCTGGAAACTGGCACGGGCTGGCAACTGACGTCACGCCCTGGCAGCTGACGTCACGCCCTGGCAGCTGACGTCACGCCCTGCAGGCTGACATCACGGCCAGGCAGCTGCCCCCGCAGCCCCGGCCAGGGACAGGGACAGGGTGTTGCGCCGGGGGGGCCGGGGGGCCGCGGGGACCCGTCTGTCGCGGGGCCGGGGCGGGCGCTGTGGCTCCCTGTGGAGTGGGCATTTCTCGCGTGGCCGTGGCTGTGCGCGGGTGGCTGGCCTCTCTGCGCCCCACCTCTGCTCCTGGCGCAAGGTGGGTTTGTTCAGCTGGCGCTCGCGCTCCCATCCTACGGTGTTCGTGTTCCCCAGCTCTGATCCAGCAGGAGGAAGTGCACGTAATTCTGTTTTGTTTGGGGTTTTTTTTCTATACAAGTGTCTAGATACTCTAAAATAAAAGTGTGGGTGAATGATAGCAGGGCAGAAAGCAGAGCTGGTGAACGCCTGCGGTCCGTGTGGCTGTAAAGGTGTCTGTCAGGCATACTGAGAGATTCTGACTGTGGCTGGTGGGCACAGCCGTGGGGATAAGAATCTGCGATTATAACTAAGAAACAAATTCTTTCCCTAGGTTCACAAATGCTGCTGCACATCACAGTTCCCCAGAAGTTGCTCTCAAAAACAGCTGGAGAGAGGGTACCTAAGTAACCACATTATATCGTGTGTGTGTGTGTGTGTGTGTGTGTGCGCGCGAGTGGACACACGAGCGCGGGAGATGGGCAACAGCCGAGACCTGCCTGGCAGAGGGAGAGTTTTAGGAAACTGTGTCCTGCCCGTGCAGGTGATGGGGGGGCCATGCTCTGCAGAGCTCGGCCTCGGGGCACGCTTCCCCGAGGGCGGCGCTGCTGACCCCCCCTCTCTCCCCTCTGCGCCCGCGGAAGGACGCGCTGTCCTACGCGCTGAGGATCGAGGGGCGGCCCTACACCGTGCGCCTGCGGCAGCAGTAAGTCGGCCCCGGCGGTGCCCCGTCCGGGCGCTGCGGTCCCGTTTGGGGATGGGGCGGGGGTGCCCCACGCACCCCGAGTGCCGAGGGGTGGCAGAGGCCCGCAGCAGGGTTTGGGGGATGCTCGTGCCCCCCAGCCCCGATGCCAGCGGGTTCTGGCATCGCCAGTGCAGCAGCGCAGGCGGCAGCACCTGGAATCAGCTCGAGAAACTCTGGGTAAGACCATTTCAGCAGATTTTATTGTTCTTCTGTTCTAGATTCTTTTTACCTGACGATTTCAAGATTTACACGTACAGTGAGGAGGGATCCTTGCACTCTGACTCACCCTATATCAAGGTAAAGGTGGCCTGCTTGGCGGTTTTGTTACTGAATTGTTCCAGGGCAGCCTCGCTGTTCTGGGGGTGTCACTGGCTACTGCGGGGGATCCACGCTTTCCCACTTCCTTCACATTCTTGCTTCCTAATCATGGCAGGAGATACTGGGAGGAAACAAAAAAATTTTCTTGCAAATGCATGTTCAGATTCATGTTTGTGAAGGTTTTTGGAGTTGCTGATCTTTGCTCAGTTCAAAGCCTGTGATCCTGCCTGTGGCCACTGTTCCTTACGGGGAGAGCAGGAGAGGAGCCCCCAGTCCCAGCTGGGCTGCTCGGCACTGGGCAGGGTGGTCCCATAGCGTGAGGAGGCTGCATCCTCACGCTGCGGTTTGGTTTTAATTACTTGAGCCAAACAGAGATTGTCTGCAAAATCCTTGTTGTGCCATCACCCGCCGGGCTACCCTCACGGCCACGGACGGGGCTCCTTGTCTCTGTCGTGATGCAGGGGGGCTGCCACTACCGGGGGTACATCGAGGGCTTCCCCGGCTCGGCAGTGACCCTCAGCACCTGCTCGGGGCTCAGGTAACGACCCGACACCTCCCCGAGCTGCTGGGCCTTTGCTGCGGGGTGGGTGAGCCCCGGGGTGCTGTAGGGGAGCCCTGGGGTGCCGTGGGTGAGCCCTGGGGTGCCGTGGGTGAGCCCTGGGGTGCCGTGGGGGAGCCCCGGGGTGCCGTGGGTGAGCCCTGGGGTGCTGTGGGGGAGCCCTGGGGTGCCGTGGGGTATCCCTGGGGTGCCGTGGGGGAGCCCCGGGGTGCCGTGGGGGAGCCCCGGGGTGCTGCAGGTGAGCCCTGGGGTGCCGTGGGGGAGCCCCGGGGTGCCATGGGTGAGCCCCGGGGTGCCATGGGGGAGCCCTGGGGTGCTGCAGGTGAGCCCTGGGGTGCCGTGGGGGATCCCTGGGGTGCCATGGGGGAGCCCTGGGGTGCCGTGGGTGAGCCCTGGGGTGCTGTGGGGGAGCCCTGGGGTGCTGCAGGTGAGCCCTGGGGTGCCGTGGGGGAGCCCCGGGGTGCCGTGGGTGAGCCCTGGGGTGCTGCAGGTGAGCCCTGGGGTGCTGTGGGGGAGCCCTGGGGTGCCGTGGGGGAGCCCTGGGGTGCTGTGGGGGAGCCCTGGGGTGCCATAGGGGAGCCCCAGGATGCTGCGGGTGAGCCCTGGGGTGCCGTGGGGGAGCCCTGGGGTGCTGTGGGGGAGCCCTGGGGTGCCGTGGGGGAGCCCTGGGGTGCCGTGGGGCCGGGGCTGGGCCGGCACAGCCTCCCTGTCGCGGCTGCGAGCGCCCGGTGGCACGTGGCCGGTGCCGTCGCCTTGTCAGGGGGCTGCTGCAGTTTGAGAACGTCAGCTACGGGATCGAGCCCCTGGGTTATTCTCCTGCGTTCGAGCACTTTGTGTATCGAGTGAGCGACGAGAAGCCGGCAGGGTCCCTCCTGGCCCGGGGCCACGCCGGGCTGGCGGCAGAGGAGATGATTTTGCCGTTCACGTACCTTGAAGTGAGTGGGTGCCTGTTCTCGGGGTGGTGCTGGTGGCCCTGCCACGCGAGGAGGGGTCCGACCCGCAGGGAGCTTGGTCCGGAGTCGCCTGGGCAGGCAGAGATGGGGCGGCTTTAGGAGTGCTGGTGATGGAGACGGGGCGTTGTATGGACCGTTGCTCTTCTAGTGCCTACGAGAGGCACTACCAAGGGGTACAATATTTACTGATGGATTTGTAAAAGCGGGGGTACTTGTCCCCCCCAGTTTGCAGATGGTTGGCAGCGATGTGCTGGCTACTTCAGCCATGTAGTGGCTGTGAGTGTCCCAGGGCCCCGATGTTCATCTTAGCCGAGAGCCAATGTTGTTAGCGAAGGACTCTGGCGCTGTCCCAGGTGTTAGTACATGGCTTTTGCTTTCTCCTCTGAAAACAGAAACAGCAGATGGCAATGCCTTCTGGAGGGTTTAGTGTCTCAGACAAGTCAGCATTTCTTATGCCTCGTGACTGAATTGATGAAATGAATTATTAACAGTGAAGAATTTTTTTTTTTTTTCCAGTCAGCATACAAATACCAGAGAGAGATGGCACTCCATGTAGTTTTGGAAAGGGCTCTGGTAAGTCTGCGTCAGGCAGTGCCTGATCTCTGCCTGTTTTCTTTGCCCTTGCTCGAGCTGCGATAAGGCTTTGCCGTGGTTGTCCGTGTGGACCTGGCTCTGTATGGTCTGTGCCTCGTGGCCACGTGTCAGTGGGCAGAAGCCACTCTTGAGAAAGATCGTGGTAAGCCCGTGTGCTTCAGCATGGCAAATAACCTGGATACAATCTCATGTCATTTTTCAGTATGACCACCTGGGTGCAGACGAGTATGTTGTGACACAGAAGATAGTTCAGCTCTCCAGCTTGCTCAGCAGTGTAAGTTTTTCCCGTTTTATATGTGCTGATGGAAATTTTAATGGCTTATTTCAGCCAGCTAACAGCTAGGTATTGGTAGGATTTGTCTAATTTTTGAAAAGATAGTTAAATGTGCTTTCTGGAAATGTCGAGTCTCAGCTTGCTAGGTTCTGACTTTCTGGTTTAGTCTGTCAGAGCTCCAGGTTTGTCTGGGGCTTGTCCAGCGTGGGGTGGGAGGTGTGGAGGGGGCTTTGCCCCTCGCTGTCCAACACAGACACGTGCTCCAAGTCAGTGCCGCTGTTCCCACAACCTCGGGGATGATGCGCTGACCCACGGACCGTGCTCTGCCGAGGGGCCGCCGGGCGCTCGGGTGGTGCCACCACCCGCCGCTGCTCCCTCCCGTCCCTCTGTCTGCGGGGACGGTTTTATTGGTTTCCTGCCTGCGTGGGACACGCAATACTCAGCTGGGTGAGCGTTTGACTTGAAATCACAGGGAATATTGTGTTTCTTCCTGGAAACCTAAAAAATGCAGACAAGGACAAGTTTGTGTAAGCTGTGTCTTTAATTATTTATCTCTATTCAAGCTTAGGCTGTCGTCGGGTTTATTAGATACTGCTTCCTGAACTTTTTTTTTTCTTTTCTCTTTTGGACACACTCCTGTGAGTCTCTGTTTTATATTTCCCACACCTTTTTCATGACACACATACAAACCAGTCATCAGTTGCCAACCGTTCCCATCTGTTTTCCTGAAGCAGCGTGGCTGCTAATAAGAACAAACATTTAAACAGTGCTTGAAATGAAACATATGGGAGCAGCCACATCTCTTGTTAAACTTTCAGATGTTCAGGTCTCTTAATCTAACAGTCACGCTGTCCTCCCTGGAGGTCTGGATGGATAACAGTACATTTAAGACAACGGGGGATGGAGAGGAGGTGCTGGCGCGGCTGTTGGAGTGGAAGCAGAGCAGCCCCGTCCTGCAGCCCCACGAAGTGCCGTATCTGCTCCTGTAAGAACAAACTGTCATTGTTTAAGAGAGCGCGGTAACAACCTGCTGAACGCACGCGCTTTTGAACAGCAGACTTTGCTAAGACTGCGCTGCCCCTACGTGAGAACGCAGTGAGGTTTTGCAAACAGAACGCGAGCCCGGCCCGAGCCCGGCCTCGTCACGGGGCTCTGGCCGGGCCCGGCAGCGGCGACCGGGCGTCCCGGGCGCTGAGCGCGCGTGTGCTTCAGGTACAGGGAGCGCGCCGCGTTCGCGGGCACCACGGCTCCGGGGAAGGCGTGCCAGAGGGACGCTGCCGGCGCAGTGGCCGTGGTACGGTGCCGCCCGTCCCCCGCTGCCCGCCAAGCCGGAGCCCCCGCGCCCGCAGCCGGGCTCGGCCGGGCTGGGCGCCGGGAAGGCGCAGCCGCGGCAGCCCGGCTCTCGCCTCCCCCCAGTACCAAGGGGCCGCGACGCTGGAGTCCTTCTCCGTCCTGCTGGCCCAGCTGCTGGGCCGCAGCCTGGGCATGAGCTACGACGGCTCCCGCGGCTGCCGCTGCCCCGGGCGCGTCTGCCTCATGAGCCCGGAGGCGCGGTGAGTTGGGGGGCTGGGGGGGTCGGGGGCCCGGCCGGCTCGTGCAGCCGCCCGGTCGCGGGCTGTCCCCTCGCCGGGGGCGTCCTCGCCGAACGTCACTGCGGCCACAGTTGCAGCAGGTCGGGGAGATGCCTTCCCTTAGGGGGGAGCAAGAGTAATCGTGCCGTTAGGGATTCGGTGCTTCGTCTGAAAAAAGCGGCCCGTTCTCTCCGGCAGCAGGACACTTCTAAATGCCTCTCGGTCTCTGCTGAAATGCCCTGTGCGATCTGGTCCGGCGAGCGAGCTCCCGGCGCGCGGGGCACCGTTGCGCCTTGTGCCGGCACCGGAGCCAGTCGTGATGGCACAGAGATGCGGCGGGGGGCGACGGGGGCGGGTGTGCTAACGCATCGACGGACCATTGCTTCATCTTAGCCGTTTCAGTGGGGCAAAAGCCTTCAGCAGCTGCAGCATCGAGGACTTTGAAACCTTCCTGAGGCAGAACAGGGACTGCCCGCTCATCAGGCACGCTCTGCACCAGCCGTCCCACCGTGCGCCCGCCTGCGGCAACGGCGCGGTGGAGCCCGGCGAGCAGTGCGACTGCGGCGGGGCGGAGGTGGGTGCTGCGGCTGCGAGCTGCCGGTGCTGCCGGGTGGTGCGTGCAGCGTTCCCGCGGCTGCACGCAGGAGTGCAGCGTTCCTGCTCTCCCCTCGGCTCCCCCGAGGCTGTTGGTGGGGAGGTCGGGGGTCAGCGCAAGCAGCCGTGGCAAGATTTGCTGCAAAGAAAGATTTCTGGTGTGTTTGCAGGCCTGTGCGTTAGACAAATGCTGTACTCCGCAGTGTAACTTCAAACCAGGAATGAAGTGCTCCTTGGGATTATGCTGTGAAAACTGCCAGGTAAGGTGTGTTTGTAATTATCAGAAGTTAAGGCCATTTCTAATCCTTGGAGCAGTAGTAGATTCTACACTAGCACTGTCAACCAGCTTTCTGGTTTTGCTTGGATGGACATCTACAAAAAAACTTAAGGATATTTGTGCTGCATTTTGTTTCTTGTCTCTTCTGGATTATGCTGTAGTGAATGTCAGGTAAGGCACGTTTGTTGTCATTACTGCAAGATCCTTATTTATTTTTGGAGAAATGGTACGTCCCCATGCTGAAGGATGGGCCAAGCTTTCTGCCGTGCCGTCGGAGAGGTTCCTGGGGAAGGGCTTTCCAGCTCAGCTCCCTGAGACCCCCGGGAGGGATGTTACTGGGGGGAGGGCGTCTTGGCGAGCGCAAGAGGCGCGTGGGGGCCCGAGCGGCTCAGAGGGGGCCCGAGGGGCCGGGCCGTGTCTCAGGACGGCGCCGGGAGGGGACCTCGCTGGCGGGTGTGGAAGGACGGCGAGCAGAGTCCCTCCTGCCTCCTCTGCCAGTTCAAGCAGAAAAACTCGCCGTGCCGCCCGGCCGCCGACGCGCAGTGTGACCTGGCCGAGTTCTGCAGCGGGTCCTCCGCGTCCTGCCCCCCCGACCTGTACGTGCAGGACGGGCACGGCTGCGAGCACGGCACCGGCTACTGCTACAAGGGACGCTGCCAGTCTCCAGACCTGCAGTGCCAGCAGCTCTACGGAACAGGTAATGAGCAGCTCCGTCCTCACCGGCGCTAACGTCGAGCTCCAGGGCTGGTGGAGGGCTGAAGCAGCATCTGAGCATGAAGGACGCCCACCCTCTCTCTTGGGTGAGACTGGGGAAGCTGGGGAGCGGTGGGAGTGCGCGGCGTAGGGAAGGGCAGAGGAGCCCCCAGGAGCCATCGCCGTGCTTGCAGGGAGGGGAAGGGAAGGGCCCCTCAGAAGAGGGTGACAGTTCCATGGGGATCTCAGGCTGAACGCTGACACAGCCAGCTGTGCACACCTCACTGCCTCTCAGAGAGGAGACCAAGTCAGAAACACGCCCTGATGCTGCCGTGGAAGGTGTTTTGGACTGGTCAGTGCCCTGCCCCACACCCTGAGCACAGGCGGCTAGCGGCGGGACTGGAGCCATAGCCAGGAATTCCTCTCTCAGGGGCCAGAACCCATCAACGGCAGAGGCCACAGAGGTACCTTAGTCTGTATTGCCCTCAGTGGTAATCAGTGTTATTTCTAAACTTCCAGGTGCAAAAAATGCTCCTTTGGCCTGCTATGAAGAAGTCAACAGTCAGCAGGATAGGTTTGGACACTGTGGCAACCACCCCAAGAATGGCTACCAGCCCTGTTCCTGGCCGTAGGTTTCGAGGGAATGTGAAGTGTTGAACTGGGAACATATATTTAATTTGTGCTTCCCTTTACTGTCAATGCAAAGTAATAACCTGTGAGGAAGTTGCCTCCAGTATGTTTTTCTTTTGCTGGGCAGAATTAACTTGCAGCATTAGCTCTAAGGATTCTTTAGAGAAGTGGTGTTTCTTGTAGGGAAACCGGAGACTTCCAAAGGCAACTTCAGCGCACACCTAATTGTGCGAGCATTTAATGTTCTAATGGTTCATGGGATGGCCTCTCCGCTGCTAGCAAGGATTCTTCTGAAACATCACATGCTTGGGTTTTTATTTTGTGTAAATCCCCCTCCCCAAGTTGTGTACCTCAACATCTCCAGGACTGTGATCAATCAGATGCTGTGTGTACTGTTCTAATTTATTGTGCTAATGAATTCTTTAGGAATCTGGCATGCGGAAAGTTAGTATGTACATACCCGAATCATATTCCCTTCACAAAAGTCAAGGGTGCCATAATTTATGCTAAAGTGCAAGAACATCTGTGCGTGTCTTTTGATTTTATGCGTGGACCCACAGCGCTAGATCCTCTCCTGGTAAAAGAAGGCACAAAATGTGGTGCCAGAAAGGTAAGAAATATTGCACGAGCATCTGGAAATGACATGGACTTACCATGACTGTTACAGTTTTAGAAATAGTTGCCATTTTGCAGTATGAGTTAAACGTGGTTTCTACTTAGTTTTTAGTAATTATCACCTGTGCTATTGACTTTTGATCATCCTTTAGGGCTAGGAATCCTTTTTAGAATTATGGCAAGTGTGGTAAAGGGTGATGAAAAAGTGCCCAGCAGGTTTTTTTTTCCTTTTGGTCTTTCAGGTTTGTATGAATGGCACGTGCCAGCCCCATTCAGTCCTGAAGTATGACTGCAACGTGCAGAAAAAATGCCATGGGCACGGAGTAAGTAACAGCAATGCATTTAAGTGAGCGTTATTGGTTGTGTCGAATATTGCTGAAGAAGAAAGAGCGGTTCTGTTAAAACGCCCACTGGGGCTTGTCTGTGAATTGCCTAGACCCGTGTTTTGGGGCTAACAGTTGTTCTCAGAAATCATCACGCACCGATGAGTTATTGTGGGAGAAATTCAGTGAGGCTACCTAACTCACTTTGCATCCCAAGTGAAAAACAAGTGAGATAAAGGGGCTTGGAGTATTTGCTTGCCTAGATTAGCAGAAAACTGGAGAAAGAATATCTAGGGAGGATTTAATTGCACGTAATTGACACAGCGTTGGAAGGGATCAGCATCGCTGTGCAGGGCGAGGGGCAGCTGGTGAACAGGGGGGGCTGCGCGGGGCTGTCGCGGTGCCGCGGGGTCACCGCAGCACGGGAGCGGGGTGTGCACCGCTGTGCGGGGAAAGCAGCAGACCCGCTGGCGGGGCAGCGCTGGCCCTCGGAACGGGATTTTACAGTGCGGGATGTTTTCCGGTGTTGGCAGGTGTGCAATAACAAGCAGAACTGCCACTGCCATCCGGGCTGGAACCCCCCCCAGTGCAAGACCCGCCAATCCTCCTCGCTGGGCCCGGGTGAGAGCTGCAGATGGGCTCGGGGTGCCCCGTGGTTTTACGGGGTGCAACGACTGCTCCCACGGCCCCGTCGGGCTGGCAGCTGAGCAGGCAGCCCGTGGCATCGCCCGGCCCTCGCCCGGCGCTCTACCTCTGGCTCTGTCCCTAGATCGTGTCACCAACAGCTCTGCCCTGGCCCTGCTGAAGGACTGGCGGCTGCTGAGCTCCGGCGGCTGCATCCTCCTCGCCCTGGTCTGCGGCACCGTCCTGATTACGAAGCGCAGCCAGCTGAAAAGATTCTGTGCAAGGAGGCGATTGCAAACGGATGGGTAAGTTGGTATTAGTTACCTAATGCAGATCCTCTGTTCTGGGTGTGGGAGACGGGCAGGGGTTTGTGGGAGCATGGAATTACTGGAAAAACTGGCGAGTGGGATCTACAGCCTGGGCAGAGCAGAGAAAGTGGCGCTTGGGAAACTAACTGTTTGTTGGTAAACTGGGAACTGTTTGTTGGTCATCAAGGGAAAAAACTAGCAAACAGATGTCCAAAATATACAAATGTAGGAGAGGCAAAACTAAGGGTGGATTTCCTGGCACCAAGTGTGCTGTCTGTGTGCAAAAGCCCAAGGAAACAGGTTTTCCGTTTGCTAATTCCTGGGCAAAGCAAACTGTGAAAGGGGAGGAGCAGGCTGCAGGAGAAGCTGCAGGTCCCAGTGAAAAAGCGTGGCAGCTCGCTGTGCTGTGGAGGGGGTGAGGGGGGGAGCGGGGGAGCGGAGCAGCAGCGCGGGCTCCCCCGGGGGCTGAGGCACCGCTCCGGGTCTGTGCACAGCCCCGGCACCGAGGAGGGCAGCGACGGCCGGGACACGGGCACGGACACGGGCAGGGACATGGACACGGACACGGGCACGGACACCGACACGGAGCCGGGGCCGGGGCAGCAGCGCGGGCACTAATAAAGCGTTGGGCAGAGCTGCGTGTCCACACTCTGTGCAGGGCGGCGGGGCCGTTACCGGTGGGGCCATTACCAGCAGGACCCATTACCAGCAGTGCCTGTTACCGGCAAGACCTGTTACCGGTGGTGCCCGTTACCGGCAGAACCCATTACCAGCAGTGCCTGTTACCAGTGATGCCCGTTACCAGGGGTTCCCCTTTACCAGTGGTGCCCGTTACCGGTGGGGCTATTACCAGGGGGGCCGTTACAGGCAGTGCCCGTTACTGGCGGTGCCCATTACCAGCAGGACCCGTTACCGGTGCTGCCCGTTACCGGTGGGGCTGTTACCGGGAGGGCCCGTTACTGCTGCTGCCCCGTTACCAGCCATGCCCGTTGCCAGCGGGGCCCATTACCATGTGGGCGCTGCTGGGGCTGGCTCTGGGGCTGCTGGCCACCCTGGGCTGGTGGCCAGGCGGGATGCTGGGGGCAGTGGGGGGTACCCCACAGGTAGGTGCGGCCCCCAGCCTCCCCCGGCCCCGCTCCCCAGCAGCGGCTCCGCCGGCTCCTAACACTCCTCTCCCCGCGGGCAGCGCACCCGGACCTACATCGTCCCCATCGAGGGGACCCCCCGCACCGTGCGCTTGCGGCAGCAGTAAGTGGGGTGCAGCAGGCTGGCAGCACCTTCCCTGGGGACTCGGGAGGGACATGGCCTCGTGGGGTGGCCACGGCCTCGTGGGGTGGCCACCACGTGTGGCCACGGTGCTGACTGCAAGGGTGTCGTCTCCGTTTTGTACGTAGAGTGTTTTTGCCAGAGGATTTCCGGATCTATACCGATGGCCGAGGGGGGCTTGCAAAATCTGAACTGGCACATATCGAGGTAACACCCCGTGTGCTGTACCCACCGCTCTGAGAGCAGGGCAGCTGTGGACGTGCTCGGGGAGGATCGTGCAGGGACAGTCCCCTCTGCCACAGTGCTCTAGAGCCCTGCTCTCCCCCGACACGGTGCCAGCAGGGATTTTCTCAAGGCACCAAACCCACTCCCCGGGACCGCAGGTAACCAAGCCAGTGATGTTCAAACGCCGATGTGACTGGTTTGACATGCTGGGAGGAAGGCGGGCAGCAGCCAGCCAGGGGTTTTTTGGAGGGGCAGGGGTGTGGGCTCAGCCTCCAGGTAACACAGCGATTCAAACAATCCCACGGCTCACGGTGGAGCCTGCGTGGGCTCGGGGGGCTGCGGCTCCTGCCGGGGGAACGGCCGCATCACCCAGCCAGCACGGCGTTTGGGAGGACAGCCACGCATCGGCTCGCAGCGAGGGCTGGCGCGGGGGTGTCACGGGTTCGTGGGGACAGCAGGGAGCTGAGGAAAGGACAAAACCCACCCGGGGGTCAGGGCAGGTGTCTGCCCGCCGAGGAGGCCGCGGCGCTGCGTGCCCACCCTCTGTGGGGATGGGGAGCGCAGCGCAGGCGGTGGCACGGTCTGGAGCCTCGCAGGCTGCCCCGCTCCCCGGGTCCCTGGGGAGGAGGCACCGAGCCATTGGCAGGGCTTTGCTCCTTCCAGCGCGACTGCTTCTACGAAGGCTACGTCGAGGGTCTCCCTGTTTCGCTCGTGGCGCTCAGCACCTGCTCCGGCCTGAGGTAAAGCGGGTGCCTGCGCGGGGGGAACCGGCGGCGGTGCGGGTCCAGGCGGTGCCGGCGCCATCCCGGGGCGGCGGGGGAGCCATTCCTGCCCCTCCACGCCTTTGCTTTCCAGCGGGATCCTGCAGCTCGCGAATGCCAGCTATGGGATCAAGCCTCTGGGGGCTTCCGCTGGGTATCAGCATCTCGTGTACCCGGTGTGGAACAAAAATGTAGAGGCTCGACTGTTTGTAGAAAACAGCTCTCTTGCCTGGACCGGGGAGGTGTCACGGAAGCCAGAGGATGCGATAGCGGTGAGTACACCTCCCAGCCGGCGGGTCTTCAGCGAGATGTAGCTGTAAACGTGGGAAATTTGTAGCCAAAGGATGCCTCGATGTGTGCAGTAGTGTGTTGTCTCTGAGCTGGTTTGGTACAGCGGATGCTAAAGGGCTTGGTAACCTGTCTGTGCTAAGGATGAGGGCGGGAGCTGAGGGTGGTCTGAGGTTGGGCGAGCAGGACGAGGATTTCTCATGTGAGAGTCAACCCTGCCTGCTTCTTAACGAGGCGGAGGAGAGCCAGGCAAAGGGGACGGCACGTTCCTTTGCTGGAACTTACCCCTTGGGCCGAAGCCCCCGGGGGGACGGTGGCCCTGGCAGGCCACGGGGCTGCAGGGCTGTTGTACGGTCAGTGCTGGCCTCTGCTCTCCGTTTTAAGTCGCTTGCTTTTTTTCTCCATCGGTCGGTGGTCTTGCCAAATGTCTGTTGTTGTAAAGATGGCTGAGGCTGTGGTGTTGTGGGTGATGTATGGACTGTTTTCCTGGGAGCCCGGGGCTGTTTGTCAGACAGCCCCAGGAGGCCGTGAAGTGCGATAACTGGCCATGCACCCAGAGCTCTCCTTTGCAGAGCCACCGCTGACTACAGAAGTTCTGCACTAATGTGTGGTTTGGGGTTTTTTTTGTTGTTTAGTTTGTTTTGTTATTTGATTTCCTTAAAGAGTAAGCAAGCTGTCCGTAGATCCCTCTGGTATCTGGAAATGCACGCAGTTTTGGACAAGGCTCTGGTAAGTCTTTTGCATCCTCTCTGCTGTAAATTGTTGCCACTAGAAAAAAACAAGTAGCTCCACACGAATGTCAAAGGCAATTTGCAACAAGACTTGGGGGTCTCCACGCAATGGGAACGAACTCCCGCGGGCAGGGACAGGACTGTGTTGCTGCAGGGACCACAGCCAGCACCCTCAGAGTTTGCCTTGCACGCTGCCCTGACATGCTCTGGTTTGTCGTCTTTTAGTATGACTACATGGGAGCAGACAAGGATGCAGTGACAGCCAAGGTGGTGCAGCTTTTCAGCTACGTGAACAGTGTAAGTTGCTTTTGGTCGCATCCTGAACGTGTGTGGGGAGTGTGGTAGCGGTACGGATACGGCCCCGCGGCTGAGCAAGCGGGAGGCTGCGGGGCGGCAGGGCTCTGTGGACCAGCCGTGTGTCTGTCCACCTCCAGATGTTTGCTCGTCTCAACCTGACAATAGTGCTGTCGTCTCTGGAGTTCTGGACGGAAAAGAACAAAATCCCAACCACGGGAGATGCTGAGGAGTTGCTGCAGAGATTTTTGCAGTGGAAAAATGTGCATCGTGTGTTGCGGCTGCAGGACATAACGTTCCTACTTGTGTAAGACGAGGCTGGCTGTGTTAGTGTGGACGCAAAAGGAAGAGGAAGGTGCCGTTACCCCGTGTGTCGGGCTGAGTCTGGTCTGTTCCCCAGTTACAGGGAGCAGTCCCGTTACGTGGGCGCATCTTCTGTGAGGAAGCTGTGTCTCAGAAACCGCGCTGGAGGCGTTGCCTTGGTACGGAATCCCCGAGCTGTCTGCCTGTCCCTGTAACCTCCCACACCTGGGCGGAGGGTGGTGAGCGGCGCCTCTGGATCTACGCCCCGCACAGCCCGAGGCCGAGGAGCCCCCGGGCAGGAGCTGGGGGGCTCAGAGCGGTGCCCCCTGGGGCTGTGGGTGCGAGCAGAGCCCCAGGGGCTGAGGCCGGTCCTTGTCCCCCCTGCAGTACCCCCGGGCTATGACGCTGGAGGCGTTTGCGGTGATCGTGTCCCGGCTGCTGGGGCTCAGCCTGGGGATGACGTACGACGATCCCGGGAGCTGTCACTGCGCAGGAGCCGCCTGCATAATGCAGGCCAGTTCGGTGTAAGGCTCCCCCCGCCTCCCCCCGGCGCTCGGGGGGGGTTCGGTGTGATGGCACGAGGAGTGGGACACGCTGCCCATCTGCAGGAGCAGGGGGGGGCAGCTCCTGGGGGCGGCTGCAGCGGAGAGCGGCTGCCCCACGTTACCGGCGTCTTCTGCGGGCAGGGGGACCCACACAGCCCCAAACACAGACCCTGGTAGTGACAGCCCCGTCCCCTGGCTTGCAGACACTCGGCTGGCGTGAAAGCCTTCAGCAGCTGCAGCGTAAGAGACTTCCAGCGTTTCCTCGCGGCCGGGGAAGGGCAGTGTCTGCTGAACCGGCCAGCCTTGGACGCAGCGTATAAAGCTCCCGTGTGCGGCAACAAAGTGGTGGAGCTGGGAGAGGCTTGTGACTGCGGTACGGCAGAGGTTAGCTGTGGAGCCTTGGTACAGCAGGAAAGAGCTGAGCCGTGTGTCCCGGGGGGGAAGAACAACCCCAAGTGAGGCATGAATTGCTCCTGTACCCTCCAGACCTCTGTGCAGGGCAGAGAGGGCCCGAGGCTTCACGAAACCCTAAAGCCATGCAGACACTGGCTGGGGTTGCCACCGTGTCCCAAAGAAGCTGTCGCAGAGGGCTGTTGTGTGATGGTGGTAACGGGTGGATGGAGGGAGTTTGTAAGTGGCTGTAGCTGTAAAGAGGGGCTGCCCCAGCCCCCCCCGCGGGGACACAGCCTGTGATGTGCTGGTGGCAGCCAGCGTGGCAGAGGGCTCTGCCTGGGGACCCTGGGTGCCGCCGGAGAGCCTGGGAGATGAGAGGGGCTGCCAGAGGGAAGGGCCACGCTCTCCGGCTTGTTCCTTTGTCATCTGTGGGAGAAGCAGAACCTCATCTGACTGTCCCCACCGGTCACCCCCAGGAGTGTCAGCGTGACCCGTGCTGCACCGTTGGCTGCAAGATGAGGAGAGGGGCACAGTGCCTGTCGGGACCGTGCTGCCAGAAGTGCCGGGTGAGCTGTATGGTGGGAGCAGGCACGCCACGCTCCCGAGGGATAGCCCCTGCCCCTGCATCGCCCGCTTGCACGCCTGGTGTGAGGCGGGAGTGTAACGGGGGCCGGGGGGGAACGCGGGGACTGTGCATCCAGCCGGCGGCACCGGCTAGCGTGCTGATGTGGAGGGCTGGGAAGCGAAGCGAGCACTGTGAAGGGCTGGTGCCCGTTAGGCGCCTGTCTCCCAGGAAGGTGTTTTTAGGGCGCGGGTCCTGTGCCGGCTCCCAAAGTACTGCGGTGAAGGAGATGCCGGCTTTACGGGCACATGCGAGGCTTGTAGCAGCATCCTCCCAGCTGGGCAGCACGGGGCTGGGTGACTTGGTGGTGGTACGTCTGAGTCTCGCCCAGAGAGCTCGCCCAGGGGCCAGCTGGGGATGTGGGAGCTGGAGCAAAGGCAGGGCGAGCAGAACTCGGCACGCCAGAGTCAGGCCGTGCGGGTGCCGGTGGTCTGGTGGTGTGCAGGAGTTCCGGGGGCTGCAGCCAGACCTGGGGCTCCAAAGCACCGGCTGCTGCTTTGGTCTTGCAGATGCGCAGAGAGGAAAGGCTGCAGAGTGGTCAGGAGCCAACGGGGCTGAGAGCTGCTGTGCTGCTCTCCGTGTTGTGCAGATCAGGCCAGCCGGTGTCACCGCGGGAGAAGCTTTGGGGGTCCTTTTGTTTGTGTGTTGCTGGTCGATGCAGCTGCTGAAAATGGCAGACAGAGCGGTTGGGCTGAAATCTCCCCTTACAAGCCTTGATTCCAGGCAGCTGGAAGTCGTGTGGGGAAACTGGGGGTGCTGGTCAGCAGCAGGGTCAGTGGGAGCCAGCACTGTGCCTTGAGTGGTCAGGCAGGACAGGATGATCGGTGTAGGCCCCTTCTAAGTGAAAAATATTCTTTCTCTTCTCTTCTTCCTTTTTTCTCTCCACTCCTCTTCCTTTTTAGTCTTCTCTCTCTTCTCCTAATTCCATTGTAATCTGTTGTTTTGAAATTGTGTTCTAGTGAAATTCAGTTTTCTTCCCTCTAGTTTGTGAAAAAAGGCAGGTTATGTAGAAGCAGCTCTGAGGACGAGTGCGAGTTGAAGGAATATTGCAACGGCACATCTGGGGAGTGCACACCCAACCTCTGGGTCATGGACGGGCATCCCTGCAGCAGGAACAGCGCCTTCTGCTACCGGGGAGTCTGCCAGACCGCCGATAAGCAGTGTCAGAAGGTCTTTGGCCGAGGTAAGGGTGACAGGTTGCAGGAGGGGGGCTGGCTGTCAGGCGGGAAATGCAAAGATCTGGAAGGGAAGCACTGTAAGGGGAAACCCTGGCAACCCAACCCATGTGTGCAGGTGAAAAGGGACAGGAGGTGCAGAGGGAAGGGAGGAAACGTGTTGGGCTGTCTGACATCGGTGTGCTGCCGCTGTGTGCCACAGTGGCTGGGATGCCACAGTGCATCTGCGGGGAGACACGGGGCTGCTTTGGCGGTGTGCTGTCGGGTGTGATGCAGTCGTGAGCGTCCTGGGCACCTGGAGAAACGGCTGGCAGTGAAGGAGCAGTGTGTCGTTGGAGGTGGCAGTGGGCGCATCTGGGGGGGGGGACACTGCCACGCAGGACAGGGCTGGCTAGCTGCGAGCACTGTCCTTTCCAGCTGGGTGGATGGTCTCGTTTTCTGGGACGTGACTCCCCGAAATGTCCCAGAAGGTCCTGTGGCTGTCCCGGGGGGAGCCTGGCGTGGAGCTGACGGGCACGCAGGGGTGCAAATGGGGGGCAGCCAGAGCATCCCATAGCAGCAGGAGGGCGAGCAGGCTGGGTCTGGGCTCCTGCACAGCCGCGGCTCCGAGTGCCTGTGAGCACACGCCTGGCCCCGGGCACCACCGAGCAGCGGCTGCAGCCTGTGCCCTCAGTGGTGACGCCCAACCCCGAGGTGAGAGGGGCTGTTGGACAGACCGAGCGTGGTGTTATGTGTTTGCAGGCGCCAAGAACGGGCCCTTGGCTTGCTACAAAGAAATTAACAGCCAAAGGGACAGAATGGGACACTGCGGCTCCGATGGCCGTGGCTACCAGCGTTGTGCGTGGAAGTAAGTGCCGTAGCAAGGGTGCTGGGCTGCTCCGGCTGCAGCGCGGTCTGCCACAGAGCGGGGAGCCCGGCCCCGTGGCGGGGGGAGAGGCAGAGCACAGAGGGGGTCCCCAAGCCCACACAGACGGGGTCCCCGAGCCCAACCACCCATTGGCAGAGGGGAACATGCCGTCCTGGGGAGGGGTGGGCAGGGGCCCTGGACGTGCCCGTGCAGGGCCGGTGGGTGCACAGGCTGGGAGAAGGGGATGCAGAGGGGGCCCGTCGTGGATGTTAGTGTGTCGTGTCCGTATGCTGGGAATCGGACGCTCAGGGTCCCTTCTCCAAGCGCTCGCTCAGTGTTGGCAACTGAGCTGAACTGGAAGGATGAAGGTGGCTGTTGTCAAGTCCTTTGCTTGCGGTGCCTTTGCAGAGATCTGCAATGCGGGAAGCTCGTGTGTGAATATCCAGGCTCCAGGCCCTTTACCAAGGAGAAGGCTGCTGTGGTCTATGCTCGAGTGCAGAACAAGCTGTGTGTAACGTTAGACTACATGAAGCCTCCCACGGAGAGGGACCCCATGCTGGTGAACGACGGCACTGTCTGTGATGAGCACAAGGTAAGTGAGCCCTGATGTGTCGCAGCTCCCCTGGGAGAAGAAGGACGTGCAGAAAGTATTGCTGTGGAGGCAGCGTCGGGGCCCCCAGGGCAGCGGCTCTTCTGTTGACTCCATCCCAGAGGAGTCGGGATGGATGTATGGGCGGCACGACCCTCTTCAGACAGGGTCTGGCACGGAGCCTGGTGCTCCCTTGTGAGTTCCCAAAAGATCTGCAGCTCTCCTGAGTTGGAGTCGGGTCTGGAACCGCCTGGCTGGCCGACCCAGGGCTGCCTGTGTGCTTGTGCTGCAGATCTGCCTGAACCAGCAGTGTGTGCCTGCTGCTGTCCTGAACTACAAATGTGAGATGAAGACCAAGTGCCACAATCACGGTGTAAGTCACGGTGCTGCGCATTGTTGCTCGTGGTTTGTTCAACTCTCTGGAGACGTGGCTCACAAAAGCGGTGTCTCGGGTCATATTTGTGGGGAAGAGCAGCTGAGGGCGGCTCAATGGTGGAGGCGCTGGAGCACCTCTCAAGGCTGCATGCGTAGCACCTCCAGCAGAACTCCCTTGAGGAGCCAAGCAGCTCCTCTCTGTAAATCAGCCAAACAGAAAAAGTGTCAGAGCCTGCCAGGAGGCTGGAAGAAGTGATAAAGATGGGGAGAAGGCAGAGCCTGGGAGGGGAGAGCCGTCACTGACCGGGGCTGTGTGAGCAGGGAGGCTTTGCCTGGCACAAGGTGCCCTGGTGTCTGTGCCCAGTGTCTGGCGAGCGAGGATGTGTAGGCACGATCCTCTGCAGCTGGCTAGAAATCCTGTCTCCCGTCATGCAGGTCTGCGATAACCAAGGGAGCTGCCATTGCCATCCCGGCTGGAAACCACCGACTTGCCAGGAGAAAGCAGGGGTGACGGGTGGGAGCGGCAGCAGCCTGTACGGAGATGGTGAGTGGTGAGGGCAGCGGCTGCTCGGGGTGGGAGTTCTCACGGGAAGAGATGGGGCCGGGTAGCGGATTCCTGTTCGGGCCGTGGCTTGCCAGAGCAGGGCCGTGTAGGCAAGTGTCTGGGTCCTGTGGCGTGTCCCAGGATGGGCTCAAGGAGGTTGTTTTGTTTCCTGTGCCTGGATGAAGCAGACATCGAGGGCGAGGGCTCGCTGAAGCTGTGGCTGCTTCTGGCCTTCTGCCTCTTTGTGCCTGTCGCCGTCGGGCTCATCCTCATGGCTCTAAGGAGAAGCCTCCCGAGGTGCTGTCTCACCACAGAGGAGTTGGATAAAGACAAGTGAGTCTGTTCTCTGCACCAAAGGGTGTCAAGGTGGTGGTGTCTGGGTGACACAGAGGTGAGCAGCGGGAAAGCTGGAGCCTGGACAAGGGCTCTCACCATGCAGCATGCCTGAGGCGGGAAGAGGAAGAGGGAGCGACAGACGATGAAGGGACGAGGCCACGGGGCCCCGTGCGTGGAGGTGCCTGCCCGTGCAGGCAGGCTCGGTGGAGGGCTGGACCGAGCGTCCCTTGGGCGAGGTGCTGAGGGCTGTCCCCGTGCTGGGCCCTCGGGAGAGCGAGCCGGGGTGCAGGCGTCTGTGTCCCTTGGCACGTGAGCGTGGCAGGCTGCCGGGGCAGCCCTGGGGCGGGCAGGGACGTTGGGGTGGAGGTGGCCGGAGGTAGGTGCTGCCCAGAAGTAATCGGTTCCTCCCTGGCAGCGCGTGCAGGAGCGCAGTCCCTGGAGAGCACGGCGCGGAGCACGCTGCGGTGCAGCACGGTGGAGGGGACCCCCCCGGCCCCGGGCTTGGAGCGACCCTCAGCCTGGGTAGTGGTCGCTGTATGCGTGTGTAGTGGGTCTCTTGTGGCATGTGTCGTTCAGTAAAAGGTGTCTATGATCCCTGAGGAGCTGTGTGATCCCTGAGCGGCACAGTGTGCCTGGACCGGGGGGGCCACGGGGTGCGTGCAGGAGCCCCGGCTGCATGCTGTGACGATGAGCGCAAGGGCTGCTCCTGCCTGGGACACAGCCAGGAGACGTGGCCAGCCCTGACCAGCATGTGCCCAGTGCAATGCCAGTGACTGACTGGTGCTGCCAGCCCTGCCCTTGTTAGACTCGGAGCCGGTGGGGCAGGAGGGGGGCAGGCCTGGCCCAGCATCAGCCAAGTGATGGAGCGACCACACAGCCCTGGCGAGCCTGTGCCACCCCCGGGGCTGCAAACCCCCACCCTTCCATCCCTTGCCATGGATTTCAGCGTGGAGGAGCTGCTCCTCACCTCCCACTGACTGTACCCTCCAGGGTCCTATGGGACATTGCCCACCCCTCGGCCGCTGCTGCTTGACACCCAGGAGCTGGGTGGGCATGGGGAGCTGCCCCCGCAGCTGGTGATCCCCGAGGCACCTCAGCTCATCACCTCCCTGACCCTGGGGACACCGTTTCATCCCGCAGGAACCTGGGAGTCCTCCTCTCACTCCCCCAAGGGGGACGGTGGCATGGGCTGCTTCCTTGGGTCCGGGCTGGTGGAGGAGTGAGGACTGGGCAGCAGTGCTGGGGGGTCTGCCCAGCACCTCCAGTGCAGCCGCCTGTCCCGCTGCGGCACAGCATGACCCCCTCCGCCTGTGGGCCACGACACTGCCAACCCCCACCCCTGCCCTGCCGAGGGGGCACCAGTGTTTCCTGTGGATCCCTCAGACCTGCACCCCACAGCAATGAACATCCCACTTTCCATGCCCCCCCACCCCAGGACCCATGGCCTCTCCAGCCCCAGCCCCCATCACAGGAACCTTTCCCCTCAGGCACCACTCCCAGTGCCGCTTTTCCCCCAGGAAACCCCCTTTTGGGCAGGTCCTCCTCAAAGCATCCTGCCAAGCCCCCCCCGGCGGGGGGGGGGACACCCACCATTGTCCCTCGGCAGCGGGGGCCCTGTCCTGCCAGGCGCCGTGCTGGGGCGGCAGCGCGGGGCGGATGCGCGGTCCCCTTCCCGCTGGCGGGGGCTGGGGCGGCGGAACCTTGGCTCATCAGAGCCAGCGTCCTGCCAGGAAACCCCCCCTGCACTGGGCGGCCCCTTCCCCGCTCTGGCTGCATCCCCTGGATAGGCAAACCGCAGCACTCAGCCTCACATCTGGGGGGGCGTGGGGGTGCCCTGCCCGGCACCGGCACACCCTGGCACACAAAACCCCTCCATCCTTCCCGTGAGAAAGACCTGCACGGTTGTGCCCCCACCTCGGGCCCCCCCACCCTGTCCCCGAGGTGCAGAGAGCAAACAGCCCCGGCGCAGCATCGCTGCAGCCCTGCGCTTTCCCCGCGGCGGGGGGGGGGAACAAAGGCAGCACCCTGCTGAAACGCAGGGAGACAGCAGCCCCGCCGGGAGGGGCCCTTCCAGCCTTGTTTCATTCATCTCTGCCCCACGGTAGCATGAGCCTCGCCAGCATTAACACCCAACAGTTTTGCTCCTCTGCATCACAATTAGGGCAGAAGCCCGCAGACCCTGATTGCAGGGAGGTCTAATTACCTTCCATGCATCACCCTCTGCTCTGCCTCCGTGGGAGTGGGTGCGTGCAGGACTGCTGCTCGGCTGCAGGCCCGCTGCCAGCGCACCATTCACTGCTGCCAACTAAACCCATCCGTACAGTCCTGCACTTCATCTGGCACTGGGAAGTCAATGACAACGTCAGCTCACGTTCAGCCACGAGGCAGTTCACTGGAAATGCAGGTTAAACCCTTCAGTGACACAAAACACAGCTCAGGGACTTTCACTCCATGGCATGTGGCACTCGCTTCTGCGGCAGCTGCTTCAGATGTGGCTCCCATTAATTTATTTTGGCTGTGCTGGGTGTATTGTTAGCGTGTACATCAGCAGCACCTCCTGCGAGCACGGGGCTGAGCAGCCACTGCTGCCTCGTGTATCGCTCCTGTGGGGACAAAGGTCCCCCAGCCCCCGGGGGTCACACACACTCCCAGAGCCACCAGCACATCTGCCCAGCCCTACCCGGCGCCTGTGGTGGCCACAGGTTTGTGCTGCAGTCTGGGGTCACGGTGTGCTCGGGCTCTGCAGCCCCCAGCGAGATGTGGATGGTCCCTGGTTCTTGCACGGTTCCTGCAGACCAAGCACAGGACGTGAATTTGGCGTTGCCGGGATCCTGGGGAAGGCCAGCTGCAGAGGCAGCGTCACCCCCAGGCCCCTTCGCTGCAGCCCCCCAGGGGAGGCTGGAGCATCCCTGTAGCCCCGAGGGGAGGTCCCAGGGGGAGACATCTCACAGCCCCTACCCGCAGCACAGGAGCTTCCCTGAGCCTTCCCCATAGGCGGATGCCCAGGGGGATGGAGATCAATGTTTGCTCCACGACAACGCCTTATCGGCAACCTTTAGCCGTGTTTGCTCGGCCCCTCCGGCCATTGGGCAGCCGGGCCCTGGCTCCCCCGGGACAAGGTACGCCCCTGCGGCCGGGGCCCCCGGCGCTGGCTCAGCACATACCGGGAGCGGGGCACCCAGAGCACGTCCCGACCCTGCGCCCGGTGATGGAGGCCGGCGACGGCACGGAGGAGCCCCCGCTGCCTCTGGCACTGACAAGGTTTCAGCTCTCCGAGGAGTACGGCTTCCTTCTTCCCCATCCTCTGGTAGGAGACGGCTGTGCCACCGCGTCTGCATGCTACAGGAGACAGAGAGCAGAAAAATAGAGGGGTTGGTGAGCGGCTTTCTGGTTGGGTTTCAATTTAATGCTACTCTATAACAGTTTATAAAAAGCAATGAGGAAGGCACATGCTATTTTGATGTAGACAGTTTCATAGGACAAACCCTTTGCTTTAAAAATGATGAAACTGGCTGCAGCAAGCGCCATGGGAGGAGAGAAGGAGCTCTGCAATTCACACGTTGGCCTTGGCTTTACAAGATTTCAGGGAGTACGAGGAGAGCAGTCAGACTGCAGATCTGTGCTGCAAGCAGTGCCATTTATCACTGGGCTCCCTTCGCACTGGGAGCACTCAGGGACAGGCAGATACTTGTTTATCATCCACTAATTCGCGATCACGCAGGCTGGTATTACAAGACGGGGAACCAGACACAAACCATTAGCTGCGCTCTGCAGGGCTGGCTGGGTGCTGGGAGCATGGGCTGGCAGCGCCCGCTCCCCTCCCTTCCCCGCAGCCCTGCCAGAGCCCCAGGAGAATCTGCAAACGCCACGGAGCAGGATAGCCAGGGGCCCCCAGGCCCCCCCGGCTGGGCAGTGTCCAGCACGACCCTCCCCAGGGGTGCCCAGCGCCGAGTCAGAGCCCCGCTCCAGCCCCGCCGTGCATCCCCCCGCTGCCAGCGCTCCCCTGATTCCCTTTTCTCCCTGTTCTGTGTTACAGCCAGAGCAGGGACCGGAGCAGGAGACTCCGGGTTGTCTCTCAGCCAGTCACGACTCCCAGGAGTTTACTCAGGGCCGAGCTTACAGCCGAGCCCCCTGCTCCCTCCTGCCCCAGCACCCACCGTGTCCCAGCTCGGGGTTACCCTCCCCACCCCAGGATGGACGGGCTCCAGCTGCCTTTGCAGCAACTCCCCGAGAATCAGGCCCACCCCCAGCGCTGAGCCGGTGCTTTGGCTGTCCCAGGACCCCAACCCACGGGCGCGTTCCCCTCCACCCCGCAAACCCCGGCTCTCTCAACTGACCCGTCCCTTCTAACCCCGTGACTTCTTCCCAGCCTTGGCCCTGGCAGTGCCACGTTTGCTGTGACCTGTCCCCCCCCAGCTGCCACCTGCCCGCGCCGCAGTGCTCCAGGTCCCGTTTCTCACAACCCCTCGCTGTTTTGTGAAGGATGATGGCAGCAGTAGGTCCCCCTGCCCCAGCACAGCCCTGAAACCTCCTCTTTAGGGGAGGGGGCTGCATTCTCCCCTGAGCCTGTCCCGGCTTCTTGCACAGCCACATAGCCAGATTTAACTCCCAGACACATCTCCTCCTGCCTCACTCCTGAGCTGCTCAGGAGCCGAGGGAGAGAAGGGACGCAGCCAGCCTCTGTGCATGAACAGCCTCTCGCCTCTCCCTACCCAGACAGAGCTGCCGGCGCCCTACGGTCCCTGGATGGCGATCGCCCACGACCTGCCCCAGCTGATCGCGAGCCATCAGCTCCGCTCACAAGTTCACCAGGTACCCGCGTTATCTTCCCGGGCTCTGGCGCTCGCTCACACCTCGCTCTGACAGAGCAGCGTCTGCAAAAACGCATGGGAAAGCAACCCAGCAGCAAAGCCGTGTCGGCAGCAAGGCCTCGCGCAGACGCCTTTTTGAGTAAAATCCCGCGGTTTACGGTCCGTGCTCACAGACCAACGGCAGTGAACCAGTAGCAAATCCTGCAGGGGTGGGAGGGAATGGAGGCTCGCGGGGAGAGGGCAAGGGCAAGGAGAGGCACGGGGAGGGTCTCTCCCCGACTGGCGGGGCAGCCCCCCACTGCGGGGGGCCCTCGGCATCGCCTGCGGCGCCCCTTGCTCCCGAGGGTCTCCCTGGCAGATGCCGCAGCTGAGCACCCGGCACCTCCGAGGGCACGAGGAGCTGCACTTGGCGCATCTGGTGCTCAGCTTCATCACGATGGGCTACCTCTGGCAGGAGGGCGAGGAGGGCACCGTGAAGGTAAAAGCAACGTGGAGCAGGTTCGCCTGCTCCTTGGGGTCTGATGCTGCTCCCCTGGGACTCATCCCACGGGAGCAAAGCCCCTTTCCTGAGGCTGCAGCAGGAGCGTGACCCCCTCCTGCCTGGTCGGGTGCTGGTAGTTGGGTGCCTTTCACCAACCTGACAGCCTCCCTGTCTTCTCCTGTGCTTTGTGCCATTCAGGTCCTGCCCCGAAATCTCGCTGTCCCTTTCTGGGAGGTCTCAGAGGCCCTCGGCCTCCCCCCCATCCTCAGTCACGCGGACTTTGTGTTGGCCAACTGGAGGAGGAAGAACCCCAACGGGTAAACGGGCAAACACAGGCAGACCAAGCGCGGCTCTTCCCGCGGTCGGGGCAACAGCAACGAGCCTGAGCAAGTCCCGTTCAGCACAGCGGGGACAAATGGTCCCCAAACTGCTCCTGTTCTGCCAAAACCCATTGAAAATCCACCATCGCTGCGGGGAGGGAGGGGGACTGTCTCAGGGGTGCAGACGCAGGCACCCATTGGGGAACCGGGTGCCTCTGGGAGCATCCCCTCAGGGGACGGCGCTTTCCTCGGGCCAACAAGCTCATTTGTCTCCCACCAAGCACAGTCCATTGCTGAAACTGTTTATAATATCTCTCTTTCTCTCTCCTTTTTTTGTGCATTTGTGGGCAATGACTGAAATGCCCTCAGGCCTCTGGAAATTGAGTAAGTATTTAAGATGCTTATTTATTTTCTAGCAGTATTAGTTTTGTTTGAATTGGCTTAGCACTCCAACACTGCAGGGCTCTGCTTAGGTTGAACCTACCTCTTGATATATAAGCACAACAAAAACAGCTCAGCCTTTGGCATGCAAATGCCACTGCAACAACGGCAAAGTGCCGTGACCGTGGCTGACCCTTGGGCTGCTCTAGTCCACGCAGAGCCTGGCTATCACGGGCCTGACATTAGCCCAGCGAGTGCATGGTGAGGGTCACAGATCCCTCAAAACCAGAGCAGCCCCTCTCCCCTTTTGCTCTGCTCCAGCTCGTTTCTGCCCAGGGTGCAGATCAGAGGCTCTGCAGCCGGGAGGGTTTTGCTCCAAGGGCTCAGCGGGTCCTGGGGTGTGCGGGGAAATCCTGAGCAAGCTCCCTCCTAACCCCCGCACGCTCGGCCGCTCCGCCGGTTGCCTCTGCAGGAACCTGGACCCCATCATCTCGCTGCCGGGGGGAGAGAGCCTGCGAGGCTTCATCCTCGTCACCTTCCTGGTGGAGAAGGCGGCTGTGCCTGGGATTAAGGTAGGGAACCGCCACGGCTCTTTGCTCACCCGGGAAGCTCCCGCAGGCACCCCCAGGCTGCACTCGACGCCCCGCTCGCGGGCTGGGGGAGCGGGCAGAGCTGGCGTGGGGGGCAGCGGGTATCCAGAGCCGCTCTACAGCCATCCCAGCCTCCGCAACACTTGGTGCTCTCCCGCCTCAACCCTCGCAGGCCATCGTTCAGGCCATTCGCGCCATCCTGCAGCTCGACGAGGAGACACTGCACCAGGCCCTGCGGGAGCTGGCGGCGGCCATCGGGGACATGAGCAAGGCTTTGAAACGGATGCACGGTAAGAGCAGCCTGCAGCGGGGGGGCAGCTCCTGTCCCCACGTCGCTGGGCACGCTTCAGCTCACCGTCTGCGTTAGCGCAAACGCGCTCGGCCCATAAAGCAGCTCTGGTGGGATGGGGCAGGAGGAGGCGGGTGGAATTCAGGGAAGCTCGGTGCTCGCGGGATGGTGTGCGATGTCTGAGCCCCCCATCGGGCCCGGGGTGAAGCGTGGGGTGTTTTTGGGCTGAGCTGTGAGCACCGATGCTGTGCTGCACACCGCGGTGCCCAAGGAGCCCGGGCGGGGGAAGCCCACCCCAGGGAGGGGGCACCAGCACCCCGCACCGCGCCGGCCCCTCCGGCCGGGTCCGGCCCCCAGCACAGATTCGGGTCACCTCGCTGGGGCGGCGGGGGAGCACTGCCACACAGGAAACGCCGAGGCAGAGGGAGCTAATTGCTTTTTGCCTGCAGTAACATCCACAATCTGGTTTCCTCCTAGACTACGTGGATCCAGCAGTGTTTTACGCTGTGATCCGGATATTTCTCTCCGGGTAAGTGCAGCGCCTTCCCCTCCAAAGCCACCGTGTCGGCAGCTCCCGGGGCCGGGGGGGCAGAGGATGTGCTGGGAAGGGGCAGCCCAGACAGGGCGCGGGGGGGACTGGCTCTGTGTCTGGTGGCCCCAGGGGTGACCCGGTGCCGTCACTCTCCAGGGAGGGGGCTCCCAGGCGCGTGGTCTGCCCAGAGCCGCTGGGCAAGGGCCGGGGCCGAGGGCTGGGCTCTGCCTGCCCACCCGCTCCTCTCCATCCCACACGCCAGCTTGGCCCCGGCACGGTCCCTGCGCCACAACAGCCACAGTTGTGCAGAAATGAATCATTCCTGCTCCCGGCCCCAGCAGTTTTGACAGAAGACTAATTTCTCTTTACTTCGCACACTGCACACACAAAGCTGAGCGGGCTCTCTTCCCTCTGCATGTTAAGGAAGCATCTATAACAAGCCTCTTGCTGTTACTCCAGTACAATTCCATTAATTAAAAAAAAAAAAAAAAAAAAAAAAAAAAGAAATAATCCCAGCCCAAATACTGAAAAAAATCCATTGGGCAATGCAGAAACATGGCCATGAGAGCCCAGCGCTGCAGGTCCTCATCTTCCCTGCGGGGCTGTGAGCATCCCCGACTGCTCTGCTCCCGGGCTTCTCAGGGGGTTTCTATTTTTATTTCTCTTCAGCATATCTCAGCATTCCTAAGTCAAAAGGCTCCATGCATCCTGATTAGGTTTCTCTCATTTTTTATCCAAGCTGACCTTGCCTTGATGGTCATCAGCCTGGAAAAACATGCCTTTTAAATTTGCTTCTGCTTATAAGAACTTCCCACTAGTAAAGGTTACTATAAATACATCCCTGGGAGAGCTAAAAATATTATGGTATTTGATAATGAATCTATTTTCTCCGCAGTTTGTGCAAAATCTGTTCCAGCATTCAAACAGCCTTAGCAGCCAGCACCAAAAGCTTCATGAAGTGGTGCATTCTTCAGAAGGTCAAGAGATGTTTTTGTGCCAGGCACATTATCTCTCTCAAATTATAACTCCTCTTTCCATTTGTGAGCGAGCATTTATCCATTTTTGCACAACAGGCACATAAAGCCAGATGACAGGGGCTGTGAGTTAATGGTGCACAGGGGGGGAGGCACCGACATTGCCCGGTTCCCGGGCTTGCTGAGGACGAGCAGCTTTACGAGAGGGAGGAAATCACATTATAGGCTTGTGCTCTGCTGAAATAAATAAAGACAGGCTGTCCTGCGCTGTCTTTAAAGACATCATCTCAAGAGTAACAAGAACAGGGGAAAAAATCCCAGGTACAAACTTCAAGGGCTTGGAAGAGCATTTGGGTGACTCTATCTGCCGCAGCGGCCGCCCGGCTTCTCCTAACGGCCACCGGCATTTCGAGGAATTCATGTTAAGTGCCACTATTGCCCGGACAAACGCCCCGTCCCCCCCTGCACACCCAAAGCAGCTCTGCAGGTGCAACCCCCCCCGCGGCACCCGCCCGCCCAGGACCCGGCGGAGCCGGCGGTGCTCACCAACTCTCAGCCAGCCCACGGAACGATCCCGAGCTCCGAGGCGGAGGATAACTGAGCATTTCTCCCTACACCCCTGGCCTTGTCACGCACCTCGACACAGCGTTTGATTGCCAAGTTTATCTCGCGTTTGAGGGCAGCTGGCAAGGCCGAGCGAGGAGGAGGAGGAGATGGTGGGCAGGGTCAGGAGGGTTTTGCTCAATCTTGCCAGCCCAGGGTCCCTTCTTGCAGCCCCCCCACCCCGTTACCAGCTGCCCCGTGGCCGCTCCCGGCCTGACTGCTCTGTCTTCCCGCTCAGCTGGAGAGATAACCCTGCCATGCCGGACGGGCTGGTGTACGAAGGTGTGCGTGACGAGCCCATGGCATACTCGGGAGGGAGCGCGGCCCAGAGCACCGTCCTTCACGCTTTTGATGAGCTCCTGGGGATTTGCCATAGTGAAGAGAGCAGTAAGTCACACACTTCTCCTTCTTCCCTTTTTCCCAGGGCTGTGCCCAGCTCTGCCAGTTGGCAGGACACGCGCCCATCTCGCCCTCACAAACCCTTCACAGAGCCCAGCTGGGACGAGGCTCTGCCCAGTTCATTAGGGAGGAAGTCTACAAAGGAGGCTCTGGCAGGCACTTCCTCACCTCTATAAATTCCCAGATGGACAGGATTTGCTTTTCGCGTGTCCGCTTCTTACTGAGGTTATATAGGGGTACAGAGATGAGGGAGCAGAGCGCGCCAGCATCCTGCCAGTAATTTAGCTCATCCGTATACATAGCTTCACATCAGTCTGTCCCACAACAGAATATATTTATCAGAAATCAGCAAAACCACTCTAATAGCTAGAAAACCAAACCCAAACAACCCCAAATCAACAGACTGAGAGCAAGGGCTAAAACCTGCCTTTTAGGGTTAAGACCAACCCTAATGGAGCATTGACCTAATATGGGATTTCTTTCTCAATTAATCGGAGGCACTGAGGCAGAACGGCACCGTGGTCCCTGCAGACCACGCCAGCGCCAGCGCTGCAGTGCGGCCGCTCTTTGAGAGCATCGCCCACGACTTACTCCTTCCTTTGTTGGTGCCTTGCAGCCGCCTTCCTGCACAGGATGAGGGACTACATGCCCCCGCCCCACAGAGCCTTTGTGGAGCAGATCCGCCGTGCCCCCTCCCTGAAGCAGCACGTGCTCTCCTCCGGAGACGCGCGGCTCTGCGCGGCTTTCAACCGCTGCGTCTCCGCGCTGGCAGATTTCAGGTCCCACCACATCACCATCGTCACCAAGTACATCGCTGCTGCAGCAGCCAAAGCCAAGGCCGGGCGGGCAGAGCCGGGCGACGGGGCTGGCCCCTCCGCGGGGAAGCCCCCGTCCGCGCTGGAGGCCAAAGGGACCGGCGGGTCCCACATCTTCAGCTTCCTGAAGAGCGTCCGGGACACGACCAGGGCCGGGGTGCTAAGGGCCTGACCTGCCCCCGGGGTTGGCGAGGCCCGGCTCGAGGCAGGAGGCTGAGCGGCCCCGGTGCGTGTCCGCAGCGCGGGGGCCAGAAGCCACCCGCAGCGGCCGTCACCCAAAACCTCCTCTCAGCAGCCCCCCTCCCGCTCGCGCCCGTCTGGGACGCGGGAACGCGCTCGGGGTCGTCGAGGGGGGAGAGCACTGCTGCTGCGGGCCCCCAAAAGGCACACAGTGACCACAGCACCCTCCCACGGCACCGGGATGGGCACAGCACCCTCCCATGGCACCAGGATGGGCACAACACCCTTCTATAGCACCAGGATGGGTGCAGCACCCTCCCACAGCACTGAGATGGGCGCAGCACCCTCCCATGGCACCGAGATGGGCACAGCACCCTTCCATGGCACTGAGATGGGCACAGCACCCTTCCATGGCACCAGGATGGGCACAGCACCCTCCCACAGCACTGAGATGGGTGCAGCACCCTCCCACGGCACCGGGATGGGCACAGCACCCTCCCACGGCACCGAGATGGGCGCAGCACCCTCCCACGGCACCGGGATGGGCACAGCACCCTCCCACGGCACTGAGATGGGTGCAGCACCCTCCCACGGCACCGGGATGGGCACAGCACCCTCCCACGGCACCAGGATGGGCACAGCACCCTCCCACGGCACCAGGATGGGTGCAGCACCCTCCCACGGCACCAGGATGGGCGCAGCACCCTCCCACGGCACCGAGATGGGCGCAGCACCCTCCCACGGCACTGAGATGGGCACAGCACCCTCCCACGGCACCGAGATGGGCGCAGCACCCTCCCACAGCACCAGGATGGGCACAGCACCATTCCACGGCACCAGGATGGGTGCAGCACCCTTCCATGGCACCGGGAAGTGCCGTGCCCGTCCAAGCCCACCAGGCTCCCTCCCCACGACACCCCGGCTGGGGGCTGCCCCCCCGCTGCGGGGGCTGCAGCCGCGGCTGGACAGGGCGGGGGTCATACAGACCAATAAAGCAGCGATCCCCACACCCAGCCGTGCTGCCGGGCCGTGGCCCATCGCGACATCCCAGCGCTTCTCCATCGCGAGGTGGCGGCACAAACCTGCTTTTGGCTCGGCCGCAGCCGGGCTCCCTGGCAGCGGAGGAACGGGGAGCGGGGGGCAGGTAAAACAAAACACCGGTCGGGATTTGGGAGGGCTGCGGCCAGTGCTGGTGGCTGCGGGCCGCAAGACGGGGCTTCCCGCTGGCTTTGGCACCCAGGCACTGCCCGTGAAACACCCGGACACGTTCCTTACATGCCGGGGGCTGCCAGGCCCCTGTGGGTCCCAAACCACCAAGGCAGCAATCCTCATCAAATCCCGATACTTGGGCTGATAACGGCAGGCAGCCCAGTCTAAAAGTCAGGCTCCTGCTTGCCCAGCCTTTCACAATTACTTGTTTATGTACAAGACAGATGGATTTGTCTGATGAAATGCCTGCTCCCAGTTTGAGTAACAGGCAGAGATCCCACACTTGCTGCGTCTGCAGCGGGATCACAATTACTCACAGGGGAAGTCTGCTGACAAGCACCAACGCTCCAGTCATGGGAATGATGCTGAAGTCACTCAAACCCAGCCAAGAGAGGGAAGTGGACGAGAGAAGTGAGCAGAACATGTGGGGAAAGTGCAGGGTGGCAGGGAGGCTGGTGTTCACTCGGAGATGCTGCATTAAGGCATAAGGCTTTACTGTCTACTGCCAACTTCACTGCAGCTCCTGATTTATTAAAGGCTCGGGATGTCACAGGGGCAAAGCTGCAACACTTGGGCTCACAAAGGCTTCACTTTCTTAAGTCGCAGTGAGGAATACCGTGCTGTGGCAGGGGATGCAGGGACAAACGGTTTCCTCAAGGGGCCGGCAGGGACAAACACCTCAGACAAACCCATGGTCCTCACCAGGTATCTACAGCAGACCGACACCCAGCCTGATGCCAGGTTCAGCCCAGGCCCTAATACACAGGCTCCTACGGTGCAGACACAGCAGCAGATGAAGCAAGACCAGCGAACAGCCCCACAGCTCGGCACAGCTCCCGGCTGCTCCCCCGCGCATCGCTCCCTGGCCCCGGGATGCTGAGCTGGCCTCGCCTCACCCCACCGTCATGGGGGCGTGGGCAGATCTTTGCACTGAGAGCAGCGTTAAAGCTTTTTTTTGCAGTGCCAGGTGCCCAAGATGCCCTTTTACAGAAAGAGAGCACTCCCAAATTCCTTGGAATTGGCATCTTTAGGGAAATCAGGCCATATGCCTCCATGTTTTGCCTGCCCAGGTTTTGCTGGCACGGCCACCAGAGACAGGTTTCACACCCAATCAGTGTCTTGGTGCAAAAATAGCTCTGGCAGTGCCACTTCTCCTGCACTATCAGAAGAAAGTCAAGGTCCTTTGAAATGAGGCTTCGTTCCCATAAGGGCAACAAAAAACTCAGCACACAGCAGCTTGAATTATTAAAGCTCCTAGCTAAATTTTATTTTGTGCCCTCTTTTGAAAGGCAGTCTTAAAACTGGGGCTTAGGAGAAGATATCTTCAGTAAACAACCTATGGGAACATGTCAGCATCTTTAAATCTTTGCCTGGCAGCCCTCATTCCACTTGATCTTCATTTCTGAATAGCTGCTGCATATTTTATGTAGGAAATATTTCATTCTGATGATTGTCTTGGTCTATTACATTTCAGACCATTTCAGGAAAACAGCAAACTTAGAGGGGGGAAAAAAAAAGTCACTCCAGCTAAATGAAAAATACAGCCAGGACTTTCAGGGAGCTGGTGCAGGCTGGCACTGCAGGGGAGACACGTGGGCTCCACGCACGCTGTGAAGCGCCCGAACCCACGGGGCTCAGCAGCGATGCCGGTGCCAGGAAGGGGCAAAGGGCCCCCAGGGGGCATTTTTTTCCCACTGCAAACCCTTGCAAAGCCCCAGGGCCCTTCTCCACACACGCCGCCCCTGCCCCGGACTGGCAGAATCACAGCAACGCTCCAGCTCAGGAGGAAGGCTGGCAGATTTGGGCTGCCCTGGAAGAGAAAAAGGAGCTGGGAAACCAGAGGAGAGATGCCAGCGGGCTCTGGAGAGCCAAGGGGGTACCCTGCACGGGTGGGCACACTCACCTTCAGCATTTGGGGGATGAGGAGGGTGCCCAAAAAGCTGCACAGAAACAGACCACGGTGTTCCCAGGTCAGCAAACTACCTAGCAAGGGCTCATCACATTTGAGTTCACTTTACCAAATGCTTTGCGAGAGACACAGCCAGCAACAGCTCACACATTAATCAGATTCAGCGCCTTTAAAAGTCAGATTCAGGAAAGATCCTGCCGCACTCTCAGCACCCAGCCAGTGAGGCACAGTGAGGCACAGACCCTTCTCGTCCTCCCTCCTGGCAGGCTGGGACAGCTGCTTCACAAGAGCTTTGATTTCTTTCTGTTTCCAAACCACTGCTGTCTAATATTGATCACAAGATGCAGACATCTAAGGTCTCAGGTGCATTACGACTGCATTTAAATAATTTACGCCTGCGCCTAAAAAATGCCACGATACGTTTGAGAATAACACGGTGCTTGGCATTAATTTTGCGTGCTGCTGTCAGGGACCGCACTGCGAGACGGGTCTGCGGGGCCGAGCTCAGCCCTGAAGGGCTCGTTTCGGCGGGCACGGGGGGAGGCACAGCCCTTCTGCCACCCAGGGTGATGCCAAGAGCAAAGGAAATTTGTAAAGAGAGCTGTGCCACAGTCACAGCCCAGAGCCCCAGTGGCACAACCAGAGCCCGTGGGACGCTCCAGACGCCCTGTGCTGCTGCCTGCAGTGGGACGGGCAGAGTTTAGCTCATTTCTGCCCAGGCTCCACACGAATGAAACGGGATTTTGCATCACCTCCCTGAACCCGGCAGCATCCGCTGGGTCAGCCAGGACAGGCACCGAGAAGGGAGCTGCTGCAAAACCGAGAGGGATGTCACAGCCCTCGGCCACAACCAGAACAGCAGCTACAGACCCAAATTAGCACCACCCACACAGAAAACTCTCTTATCACTGCAAACAGAGGCCCTGCCCCTGCAGCGCTGATGCACACATTTCCATTGCGACTCTGCGGCTCCGGAGCCGCCCCACAGCCCCCGCGTGGTACTCCCAGCCCCGTTCTGGGGGTGTCCCCCTTCTTGACACCTCGTTACCCCCCTTTATCAAGCGGAGATTTTCCTCCAAAGAATCTGACCCACGAAATGGAGGAGGAAGCCCAGTGCACACCCCGGGGGGGAGGCAGGAGTTGTCCCCCCCTGGTCACACCTTTGATGTCACCAAATCTCAGCCCGGTGGGCTGCACCCGGCTGCTGATGCACCACCACAACGACCTCTCCAAGAGCTGCAGCCTTTTCTTCTGCAGCCCAAGCAAGCCAGGGCCTGTCTGGTACCTTACCACGACCTCCCTTCCTACTCTGCCCAAGGGGACAATGCTTCCCTTCCCTAAAGCCCCGTGCATAGAGCACTAACAGGGTAAAAGGAGGAAAGGTGCCTGGGTGCCCTGCAGCGAGGTCTGTCGGGTGCCCACCACCCTGCCTCGGGGCGTGCACAGAAAACAGTCCCTGGCTCCTTCCCTGGGTGAGGGGAGGTATCAACAGCAAGTTCTGCAGGGTCCTGGGGCTGCCCCTCGCAGCAAAAATCTTCCCTGGCCCCGGGGAGGGCGGCGCAGGGGACGTTACGGGGTGTCTCACAACATCACCCCAGGAAGGGCCCCTCGCTGCAGGCTCCCCAGCAGCACTCAGCACCCCACACTGCCCGTCTCTGCCCTTCCCCTCCCCGGCGCGGTCCCCAGCCTGCCCGTACCGGCCGTCACTCCCCGTGCCGAGCCCAGCCCGGCGGCCCCCATCCCACCCACACTGCTTGCTCAGACTTTCCGTCCTGCTCCTCCATCGCTGTAGCCTTTGGTTCCTTCGGCGCCTTGCCCGGGTCTCACCCAGGTCACCTTCCACCACTGTGCAAAAGTTCCTGAGATGCCTCTGG